GTAATCACCTGCTGACTGACGCCCGCCACCACCCCCCCCCTTCTGTGAACCCCGCGGGGAGACGGCGAGAAAATTAGAGATGGATCTTAATAAGAGTCCTGGTGCTAAAAGAAAATGACCAATACTCCTCCTCAGGCAGAGAGATCATTTGAGCTGCAGCCGGTCTGTGAAGGAGCAGCGGGGGAGATTAGCTCGATTAGGCCAAATCAGACCGACGTGATGAGAGGAGGGAAGATAATAGCTCCCAGATTGGTTCCTCATGCAGCTCCGGCCGTCTCTGAAGGGAATTAAACCGCTCTTTGTCTCATCGTCTCTCAGGGTGATTCCACTCCTCCAGCCAATCACCGATGCTAGCTGCTAAATTAGAAAGCTAATATAACCTTTTCTCCTCAGCGTTACCTCCGTGTCACGCCCGCTTTCATTAGCAGGAGTCTCTTTTTTGGGAGTGTTATTATGTTTTCAACTTGTAGCACGGCTGCAGAAAATAGGTTTCTGTTAATACCAGGACTCCTCCGATACGGTTTGTTCAATCGCAGACATTTTTGGAGGGAATACACGACGGAGGGATGTTCACACTGTGAGGAAATAGGAGCTCTCTGCGGTACATAATGACGGTTTCTGAGTTTAAAAACGGAAACATACCACAAAAATGAGACATTAAAGCGAGTGTGAGGAGTTTTTACACGCTGATAAAACAGACTGATGCTTTTTTAGGGACACAAGTGAGTGAGATCAGTGTTTCCCCGACATTCATTCAGCTGGACGCGCTGAAAGGTCACATGATCAGTAATATAAATGCGCCACCAATGATTTTTACTCGCACTGTGTGAGCGCAAGAACATACAACACTATTTTCGGCCTGTTTTGAGTCCTTAAGCTTATGCACAGTTTATATAGTGAGTAGCATTGATAGCATTAGTAGCATTAATATAAATGCGCCACCGATGATTTCTCGTCGCACTGTGTAAGCGCAACAACATACGACGTCATTTTCGACTTGTTTTGAGTCATCAACTAGCGCATTAAATCCCGTCGGACACTCGTTCGCGCTTATGCACAGTTTATATAGTGAGTAGCATTAATATAAATGCGCCACCAATTATTTCTACTCGCACTTTATGAGCGCAACAACATACAACGTCATTTTCGACTTGTTTTGAGTCATCAACGAGCGCATCAAATCTGGTCAGAACATTTTCCATGAATGTTCAAGCTCATACACAATCTATATAGTGAGGTGCATTAATATAAATGCGCCACCAATGATTTCTAGTCGCGCTGTGTAAGTGCAACAACATACGACATTATTTTCAGCTAGTTTTAAGTCATCAACAAACGCATCAAATCCTGTCGGACCCTCTTCCATCAACATGAAAGCTAACGTTCAAGCCGATACATGTTCTATATAGCGAGTAGCATGAATAGCATAAGTAGCATTAATATAAATGCGCCACCGATGATTTCTTGTCACACCGTGTGAGCGCAACAACATATGACGTCATTTTCGACTAGTTTTGAGTCTTTAACGAGCGCATCAAATCCGGTCAGACCATTTTCCATCGACGTGAAAGTTAATGTTCAAGCTCATAAACAGTCTATATAGTAAGTAGCATGAAAAGCATAAGTAGCATTAATATAAATGCGCCGCCGATGAGTTCTCATTGCACTGTGTGAGCGCAACAACATACGTTATTTCCAACTTGTTTTGAGTCATCAACGAGCGCACCAAATCTGGTCAGAAGGTAACGTCTATATAGTGAGTAGCGTAAATAGCATTAGTAGCATTAATATAAATGCGCCACCAATTATTTCAACTCGCACTGTGTGAGCACAACAACATACGACATCATTTTGACGAGCGCATCAAATCTGGTCAGAACCTCTTCCATCAACTTGAAAGGTAACGTCTATATAGTGAGTAGCGTAAATAGCATTAGTAGCATTAATATAAATGCACCACCAATGATTTCTTGTCGCGCTGTGTGAGCGCAATAACATACGATGTTATTTTCGACCTATTTTTAATCTTTAACGAGCGCATCAAATCTGGTCAGAACATTTTCCATTAACGTTCAAGCTTATACACAATCTATATAGTGAGGTGCATTAATATAAATGCGCCACCAATGATTTCTCGTCGCACTGTGTGAGCGCAACAACATATGTTATTTTCGACTTGTTTTGAGTCATCAACGAGCGCATCAAATCCTGTCGGACCCTCTTCCATCAACATAAAAGGTAACATTCAAGCCGATACATTGTCTTTATAGTGAGTAGCGTAAATAGCATAAGTAGCATTAATATAAATGCGCCACAGATGATTTCATGTCACACCGTGTGAGCGCAATAACATACGATGTTATTTTCGACCTATTTTTAATCTTTAACGAGCGCATCAAGTCCGGTCAGACCCTCCTCCATCAATGCGAAAGTTAACGTTCAAGACAAAACACGGTCTATACAGCAAGTAGAATTAATATAAATGCGCCACCGATGATTTCTACTCGCACTGTGTAAGCGCAACAATATACGTTATTTTCGACTTGTTTTGAATCACCGAGTGCGTCAAATCCATTTTCCATTAGCGTTCAAGCTCATACACAGTCTATATAGTGAGTAGCGCAGGTAACGTTATGTAACGTGAACGGAACAGCGTAGCTCCATGAGCAGCAAGAGAGTGAGAGTAACAGCGAACCTCCCCGCCGCCCGACACAGAAGCGCCGCTATTGAAAAACATTTTAGGGGAAACACTGAAGATAATCTCGGACAAGTCCGACAGTTTCTTTATCGTAATTTTTAAGGGAGTAAACCTCTGCGGCGAGGATGTAAACAGACTCGTTTTTACACGTTAAATATTCACAATGATGTTCGAAACAACCGTCAGAGAACAGCAGGACGGTTTCTTTATGAGAAGACAAAATAAATACAATACACACTCTGTCCACAGGGGGCGCCAAATGTTACACAAAAATTTGATCTCAACAACATCTTTCAAAACGGTTAGGACAGGGTCGTGTTGTATCATAGTGAACGACGTGAACAGAATCACTCTGAGACCTGATTCGTTCCTTTCTCAGCTCAGTTGAGTGTGGCGTGACGGTCGGGAGTGAAACTGCCGCCTTTGACTCTTTGGCGAACGACAACCAGCCAGCGAGCAAGCGGGCAAATGAACGACATGATCAGTCAGACAGTAAACGAAACGAAGGACTTCTGAACGACTTGATGCAGGCAGAGGAGGGAGGGGTGTGTCGTCGATCACGAACTGCCGAGCAGCGGTTCGTTGACTGACTTTACTTCCCCATGTTGTCAGTCAGTCTCTTTCCTGCGTCACACTTCTGCTCTTTTTCTGCTCCTGTAACATGAACTTCAGTTATTCATTCACCTTGTACAAAAGGACCTGAACCTCCAGGTGGGATCTATACGTCGTAGTTCTGCGTAGGTCTGGATGTCAAAGCCTGAATGGAGACGTAGATCTGACTGAAGCTGGAGCAGCGGGGCGGGTGACCTCATGTGAAGAGGAAATAAAAAACACGTCTACAGTCTTTTTTTTTAGATTACACATAAAATAAACCGAGTCAGAGCGCTGCCCTCCATCTGAGGAAGGAGGTTTTACAACCAGGTCCAGGATCTGCAACCGGGTTCTTCTCCAGAGGTGGTAACAGGCCGACCCAAACGCAGGGACTTCAGGCCGACACCTTTGAGGGGCAAAACCAGGTCTGGTGAGTGATCAGTTCTTCCAAACTGTTACCAAAAGTCAAGGAGTCTCTGTTTAAACTCGTGTTAAAATGCTCAATATACAGTTCTTAATACTTTACCGCTGAGCGCCCCCTACAGGCCAGGAGGACTTTCAGAATCTATCCTCTTGTAGTTTCGCGCTTTTATTGACATTTGCACTTGACAGAATCGCACACGATTTCTTGTACCTGCACAAAAACAATAAAGATATTCTGTTGTGATGGCTGGAAACGCAGAGTTGCTTTATTTGCTTCTAGGGATAGGAACTGTTAAGAATTTAGTGATTCAGATTCAGTTATTGATACGATTCCTGATCGATCCTCATTGAGTGAAAAATAGAGAACTACAAATGGGTTTGTTCTCATTCACTCTTTGATATTTTCACCTTTGGACTGAAGATACGGCGTCTACTATTAATTTGTAACGTGACCGACCATTCGTTTATCTTCTTTCTTCTTCCCTTCCTCGATGACCAGGGCCGCCAAAAGTGCGTGAAAGCTTCCCGCTGTTAGCGTGACTCTGGATGTCATCGTCATCTTAATGTAATCTAAGTAGATGGAGAGTATTTATACAGTAAAGGGAGTAAACATGGAGCTAACATCTACAACAGGCAGGACCTGGAGGAGTTAAACGTCACCTTGATGACGCCGAGACGTTAGCGCTGCTCCTGCTTTTGTCTGTTCTGGTCTCGCCTTCGCTAAGTCGAGTAACAAACACGTCACACATCCCTTGGACGAAAGTAAAGCTTTGCATGTGTTGCAGGTCGCCCCGGTATCGTCTTTTAGCGTGAAATACAACCAAACTCTGGAGAGCTTTTGTCGTAACGCCATTCTAGAAAGTTCTGAACCAAAACACACTTCTCATGTACGACGTCATAGAGAAACCGATAAGCAGAATTGTTAAGGAGTCAGACAAACAATTCTTAGGAATCGATTCTCACCCCTGTTTGCTTCCCTTCTGTATTTGCAACATCAACTTTATGGTTTTTATTGAGATTTGAACGACAACATCAGACTTTAAAGGTTTCTGTGTTTGTTTATAATCTTCACTGATCTGCTGGGACAGGAAACACCTGGTTTCTGATTGGACGTCGACCCCAAATCCGACCATATCACTGAAACTGAGAGATAAAATCATCAGAAATGACCTTTAATTTAGAAGGACTGGGTCCGGACACTCACTGAAAACATACCGATGTTTTCTCTGGAGGTCACAGACACAAAAGGTTTGATCAGCCAGAAAGTTGCTGGTCTCACGTAGTCAGTGGATTTTAATTCGTACATTGAACCGTTTACTCTTGGCGTTCACTTCCTGGTTGTTGCTCTCGCTCACGTCGGCCTAAACTCGGTGGAAGCGGCTCAGACCTGGACCTGGTTTTTGGTTCCCTCTTCCTGAAGGTTGATAAGCAGCGTCAGGTCCGTCTGGAGTCGTCTGAGGGTCTGACTGATATTGTTGTTTTCGTGGTCGTAGATCGTCGGGTGGCAATCATCAGAAAAACACAGAAACTGAAACTACATCCCTGTCCTCCTCTCTTTTCTCCACCGCTCGACGTGCCACATCTCGCCTCGTCCTCATTTACCGTCTCGCCGCCTGTATTCCTGCCTCAGGTTATTGTCTTCGTCTCCCCGCGGCGATCAATAACGTTTCATCTCATCTGGATCAAACAACAAACATCTGAGAGGAGAAACAGCCGCTCGGCGAGGAGAGGCGACGCGGCGGCAGGGCGATAATTGTGAGGCTGGTTTCATTTGTTTTTACTCGTCTGTTGTCTTTTCTGCCGCTGTGTGTAATCAACATGTGAGCGAGCGCGGCGAACAGACGGAGGGATGAGGAAACGAGGGATGGAGGGATGAAGGAGGGCAGAGAGGGAGGGGGTCTGATGTTGTATAGCCGGGTTTTGTTTCCTAACAGACACAACTAAATCACCGCGACACGGGAAAACTGTTGTGTTCGTCTGTCGTCATCGGGTGATGCTGCCGCTGCCAACAGAGGGAGGCTGAATGGAGGAGTTACTACGGCAACAAACCCATCATCCCTCTGTCTGCCAGAAGGGGAGAAAAGTGAAAGACAGAGAGAGGAGGAAGAGGAGGAGGAGGAGGAGAAAAAAAGGAGGAAGACAAAGATGTTGAGAGAGGAGGAGAGTGTGAGACAGGAATCAGAATCAAGGATGAGAGGTGATGAAACAGAAAACTGAGAATGACGGGATTGGTCCTTTCCTGCCTCGCTCGCCGTCATGAACGTCGGAGTCAAAAGATTTTTATCTCGTCTGAAGACGCAAATCTGATCGATTCAGGGTCAAAAAAGACGAACAAACGGACTCTGAACCAGGAGGAGTGACGCTGACCCCCGATTTCCAAAAAGGCCGTATCAGCCGATCACAGCTGATCGTAACCGTTCAACCATTTAACCGTTCAATAAATCAAACTTTGATTTGATTCATTAATTGGAAGTTAAGAGGATCCAGAACAGACTAACCCCTAATCTCCACCTTCATCCTGAACATCTACGAAAAGGTCGTATCCTCCGATCGCAGCTGATCGAAGTTTTATAATAAAGTCAAACTTCTGAGAAACTTCAGATTTACAGAGAAACTGAGACTCAAAGAGTTTTGACCTCAAATTAAGAAGAAACTTTATTCCTTTGTGGTTTTATACCATTGAAATATACAAGAGTGAAGCATCTGTGTAACTTTCTATCTACAGTGAAGCTGAGACTCCTCCCCAACACTAGGGGGCGATATGGGTCTTTCCATCCAACCGTCAACAACAACAGCAGGTCGGTGTCAGACGTCAGAAGTGTCTACAACTGCTGCTGGGCATTTTGGAGAAACAAGAAGATGGAGCATCGTACAGCGTTGTTTTTGTCCGACATGATGGACGCGCTACTTTTTCTAAAGAGGAGACCAACGCTACTCCTCTACTCTGGGGGTTTTGTTGTTTACATGACCTTCAGTTGTCCGGTCTTAATTGGAATAAGGCGATAATTCGGTTTTCATGAGTGTCATGGAAAGGTTCTGAGTGAAGTTGGGTCTGTGGAGGTCTAGATCGACTCGGGGTCAAAGGTCGTCTATATTTACTCAGCGTCCTCATTTTGGAGAAGGGGCGGGACCAGACTTTCTCGGCTGGGGAGGCGGGGCATGAAAACATGAAGGGTTTACTTCAAACTTTAGAGGTTTATCTCCTGGAATCACATCCTGAACTTCTTTTATAAAAGATCGTTAAATTTTCAGATTCTTGTGAATCGTTTTTAACTTTCAAAGGTAACTGAAAAGAGCGGAATGTTTTATTTTTCTGAGCTGAAAAAGAAGACGTACCAGATTAGGTCACCCCTGGTCTTGTGAAATAACGCCGGTGTTGAAGTGCTGAAAACTGTAATTCCTTGAGTGTCCACTGGAGGCAACACATAAGCCAAAAAAGCCGATTTCTTGAGTAAACCTGAACATGTTAGCAGTCTGGTTTATGAAAGTGGTTTTGGTCTGAACTCGTCAGGGTTAACCCGCCTCACACACACGTGTCTGGTTGGTCGATCTAAAGTTTGGTTTGTCTCGCATTATCAAAATGGAAACCGCCGCCGAAACCCACAAGAAATAACATAATGAATGAATGAATGAATGAATGATTAGATAATGATGAGACAATAGTTTAAAAATATAGATAATAAATAAATAAATAAATAAAAAGCGATCCATAGTCAGGTTGGGAGAGCGGTGTAAACAGACATGAATCAGGCGTTCATGAACCGCATGGATGTGGGTACAAATCTTGACATGAGACGGAGACGAAAAACGTCAAAAATCAAACATGGATGGATGAAAGTTTCAGAGTCAGAGTGCAAACATGATCGACACAAATAATGATTTTAAAACGAACTTTTTAAAACACAAATTAAACAGACTCAGTGAAAAAAAGACAATTAAACCGTCTCGTCCTCTAAGCAGTAAAACACGTCAGTTTAAACTCATCCCGACTTAAATAATGAAAGTTCACGTTCGTCACGTAAATCTCGTTCTCGTTCTTCGGCGTTGACTCGTGTTTCATCACGGCGTTAAACATTAAATTCTCGCCGCTCCGTCACACCTCTTTTAAACTATTTTAAATAAACTCTCCTCAGATTCCTGCGACGTTTTCTAACCTGACCGCCGACACGTCACCGGACAAACGTCCCTCTGTTGTCCTATAATGGCTGAGAAGACAAAACACGGAACAATGCAGCTGGACTGAATATTAAAGGCCGGGTTTTAGACAATAAGGGGCCCTCTGTTCAGGACCCTGAGGGGCCCCAAAGGCCCCGGGTTCACTGTTCGCCAATTAATCTGTGTAATTTGATTAATTGAAAACTGCGTTAGTGGATTTTGATGAGGGTTCAGACGTGTGCAGCTCCTTTAATGACTGCTGAGGGTTCGAACCGGACGATTAAAGATCATTTTTACCGTTTATTTCATCGTTTTTTTGTGTTTTCTTTGTTTCAGCATGTCGGTGTCAGGGACTATTTTCAGCGGCGGATGAGTCTGTATTCTCTGATTAACCGTGTGTTTGAAGCAGCAGGTTTTAGTAGTTTTAGAGAATGAATGGAGCTCAGCAGAAGAAAAGGAGACACCGGCGTGTTTGTTAAAGATCCTGAAATTACACAGATTTATGTTCACATACTTTTGTTGTTTTTAATGTAAATGTTCAATAAAGAGCCTGAGTGAGAGAGAAAGACAGAAGGAGGGGATGAAATGATAGAAAAGAGAAATAAATCAATACAGAGAGGAAGATTAAGTAACAGACAGAGGATGAAGAGAGAGAGAGAGAGAGTAATGAAGCGAGAAAACGGCGGAGAGCGAGAGACATATGGTGGCTGCTGGTTTACAGACTTTTCTGCCTGGCGGCGTCGAGCTGACAGCTCGCCTCAGCGCTCTGAATAACACCAGAACACAACACGTAAAAATAGAAATAAAAGGTAGAAACAATGGAGAGAGGCAGGAGGGAGGAAAGGTAAGAGCAGCGGCGAGAAAGCCGTCAAATCCAGACTGTCAGCAGGTCAGCGAACGGCGAGGAAACACGGGAGATTCAACCAAAACTCAAATTAAAGGGAAAGTTTAAATATCATTTAATAGGATTCTTTAATTTTAGAGTTTAAAAAATACTCAGCAGTAAAAAACACAGAGAGAGATTACAGCCTCCTTCAAGTGTCATCTTTGAACAAACCGCAGATTACAACGGATTAATTTATTTTCACAGCAGGAAGGACAGAGATTTATTTTAGGAGGGAAAACGAAACCAGAAAAATTAAGATAACAGAGAAAACAAATTAAAAAAAAGGTCTGAGAGAAAAACTGACGAGTGAAACTGAATTTAAGAAAGAAGTTAAATAAAGAAACGAGTTCAGGAAATATGAGCTGAAGATCTTTAAATAATAAGTTTATTTATTTAATTTAAAATACTTTGAAATTTAGAGTCTCAGAGGAAATCAGTCAAACAGGACAGAAATGGAAATTAAATAAGAAAAGAATAAAAATAAAGAAATGCTGTTTATAAATATTACATCTGTGCAAACTTCTTTTTTTCTTTAACAAATAAACCAAATTTTAGATTTTTGATCTGATCTGATAATAAACTTAAAAAAATAAGAATAAATGACGTGTGTGATAATCGGCTCTGAATGACAGCAGATAATAAAAACAGTCTGTGTTTATTTTTTATTTGTACGAAACCTTCTCAGACCTCCACCAAAAAAAAAGAAAGGAATTTTCTTTGACTGTTTTTTCTTCATGAATGATTTCATGATTTCATTCTCTGAACGTTGTTGTGAATCTCTCTCCGTCCTGATGTTTGCTGCTCCTCTCTGCATTTCTGAACATGATCCATACGTGTCCGTGTTTTTGAGCGTGGAGCGTGCAGCAGCCTGAATTCCCCGCAGAGCCTCATTGTAAACGGCGTAGAATAACTGATGAGGTGTTATTCGGAGGTTTCTTTACGGTCCCACAGCCTCAGCAGGCAGACGCTTAACGAGAAAACTCCACACAAAGAATCGAGCTTTTTCTTTTTCTTTCCCTCTGGATGAACAGAGCCGAGGTTTTTCTGTCTGCTGCTGCAGAAACAAACAAAAGGAACAAACAGCTGAACTCCACCGCAGAAAACAGACAACAAAAAATTAAAGAAGAGACAGGAAAACGACAAAAATTTAGGGTTTGTAATTTACAGAATAAAAATAACTAAATGACTGTTTGAAAAAAGGAGATTCTTCATTTTCAGGAAATCTAAAGACATGAAAACAGACAATAAAATAAACCTGGTTTCTATCTATTTCATACATTTAGACAAAATTCAGTTTTTTTAACTGACTAAAAGAGGAAGCTGTGGATCAACATATTTTAATTAAATTCACATTAATTCACTTTGATTTAAAAACTAAATGTGTGTTCAGACGAGAATCTAATTAAAACAACTTTTCACTTTATTAATTTTTCATTTCTCTTATCGTCTTTGACATTAGTCACCTTTATGTCAACTTTGTCCTTTATTATTATTATTATTATTATTATTATTATTATTATTATTATGAAAATATGAATATAAATTTCTGCTGGTTTCATTATGACTTATAATCACTGAGAGGAGCACCATTATAAAACAAAAATGTATTTTTACATTAAAGTCTATGAACAGTTGTTAGATCTGTATGTATTCATAGATCTATATTCAATAATGACGACACTGATTTAAACTGTATTTATCAATCATTTGTGAATTTGCTATAGAGAGTAACAGGACAGCACTATTTGTAATTAAAGTTCTGTGATATTTTAGTGTCTGAAACTGAAACACAGAAATTATGAACATTTATAAAAATCTGTATTTAAAGTATTAAAACAGGTTTGTCTTCTTTATTTTTATCTTTTGTAATTTTTAAAGTCAAAGAGACAGTTTGATAATCGAGTGTTTTTAAGGACATTCAGGTAATGAGACTTTTTCCTCTCGGTCTGATGTTGTAATTCTGAATTTTGGAATAATCATTAAATTTGTTTTACTGTTATCGGACGTGTTCAAATTTGTCTTTAAACATTTTTCTGATTATTAAACAGCATTTTTGAATATTGGTGAAATCTAAGGGAGACTTTTGTGATTCAACTAAAGGTCTTCTGGACATTTGTGGAATTTGTATTAAAAGTAATGAGATGTTTTTTTTATTGTTTTACAGTATTTTGAAACATTTGTGAAATATCTATGAAAAGAAGAGGAAAAATGTTGTTTCTGCTAAAACTGCTTCAAATAACTGTGTTTCATTTTTACTGAAAAAAATCTTTTATTCAAAACTGAATAATGTAATAATTTCCCATACAGAATAAAGTGTCTTTTCTACCTGCTTTATTTCTGTTCAAATGTGCAGCTTATATTTGACAGCCTCTGTGTTGTTGGCAAATAATGAACAAGATCTAATCATGAAGGAGAAAAAAACAAGAATTAGAAACGTAAAAGAGTCAAAGTACAATGATTTCTATTTCCGTTTTCAAGTTGAATTGAGATTAAATTAAAGATTAGCATTTCACAAATACAGACAAAACTGTTCTTTGTATTTGATATTATTGATTAACCTACAAAAACAGAGTTTTTCCTCGATTGTTTCAAAGTAAAATGAAAAAATAACCTGATGATGTTTTTAGAGGAAAAAAAAGACGAGTTTCAGTTTTTCTGCAGCTGCTTTGATTCAACAACTCATTTACACACACGTCACATGTGTGACTGTGTGTGTGTGTTACTCTGTGTGTGTGTGTGTGTGTGTGTGTTTCTCCAGACAAAAAAAAACCCTGTTTATAACACCTGAGCTCAGACTCGTCCTCCACTTTCCTTCTTTGCTCCCTACTTTTCTTGTTTCTGTTTTTCAGCTTCTGCAGATAAATTCGTCTGATTCCGTCGCCTCGTTTCTTCTAATTGTGTTTTTCTTTAATGGCTCTGTGCGAGTCTCTAAAATAATTCAGTTTTTTTGTCTTAAACCCGCCTCTCTCTCTCCCTCTCCGCTCTCTCTCTCTTTTCTGTGTGTTTTTTAATTGGCATATAGGGAGGCTTGTTTGTTTTTGTTGTCTGCTGTTTCTTAAATGTGTGTGTTCGTGTTCATGTGGCCCCCGGTGTCCCAACAAGCACCGCGGTAGGTGTTGGGAGGCGCTTTCGGAGGCACAAACACACACACACACGCACACACACACGCACACACACACAACAAAAACAACACACAGAGAAGTACACAAGACAAAATAGATGACAAAGACAGAAACACACAAAGACTCATAGCATGGGAAATAACACACAGATACACACACTCAGACAAACACACATGCCATGGAAGTGAGACGTACACACATACACACACACACAGATGAAACCAGTTGCTTCTCATGGGGCGCCATCTAGTGGTCACTCTGACGATCAGACGCCTGCAGAAAACAGATTGATTTTGTTTTTGTCATGAAGAAGCTGAAAACAGATGAAAAGAGAAGAAAATTCAATAAACTTGATTTCTACCTTCTGACTTTGTTCAACTAAAATATAAACCACATATTGTGTATTTATTGTGTGTTTCAGCTCTGAAAGAGTCTGTACGTCTGTTACAGTTTTAAGTGTTTTATTTTACGTGTTAACAGAATTTATTTACGTCCTTAAACAAAACAAAAAAACACGTTAATCTGAAAGTGTGTTTCTCTAAAAAGATGAATATGTAGCAGTTAAATACACAAATACCCAAACAGGTTCAGCCAACCTCATTTTTATGGGACAACTTGCACAAAAAGTGACAAAATATCAGGAAAGTGAAAATATGTTTTAATTGAGTTTTTTAAAGATCAAAAGCAGAAATTAAAAAAAATGTGCTATCTTTATATTTACATTTACCACTAAATATGTGTGATAAATCTATTTTCAGGATAATAAAGAGCAGCTCAGTGTGATTTTATTCAGAGCTTCTTTTAACAGGATAAGTTTTGATATAAAATAAAGTGAAAATAAAGAAGAATATTAAAGATTGTCATATAAAAAGTCCTGGAATTATGAATCATCTGTTTCATAATCTAATTTAAATTATCTGTAAAAAGTTTGTCCTTCATGGAGCTAATCTTAAAGAATTGTTAGTGTTGTGTTATGAGTTTTAATTAAACAGATCTGTGGTGTTCGTCAGAAGAAATTAAAAGTATTTGGAAAAAAAGATTGAAAAAAGTTGTAAAATTATGAGTATTGTTTGAGTATTAGTGACAACAGGACGTCTGAGTTGGTATTCATGAGTTTTGGGATCTCGGAGAAAATAAGAATAAAGTTGTTAATGTTGAAAGAAAATAAAGTCATAAGAAAATTGTATTTTTATTAGAAATACCTAAGTATGAAAAAATAAAGAAGTGAAATAGATCTTTAGTGTGTGAAGAATTGTTGGGACCATGTTTTTGAAAAAAAAAAGACCTTTAGATTTCAGGAATAAAGTCAAAACTATTAGAATAAAGTGGTGAGAATATCTTTGGAGTTAAATCCTTTTTTTTTTACGGAAATGAAATTTTAGTTTCACAAGGAAAAAGTAAGAATAATTAAACAAATGTAAAGTACATGACTGAGAACCGAGAAGAAGTCGGAAAAGTTATGAGAGTAAAATTGTAAGAGAATAAAGTCACAGTCCAGTCCTGAGATTACCTCTTTTTTACTCCACACATTTATTTTTACTTTACACTTTTAATCTCACAGTGAAAATTTTAACGACTTTATTCTCAAAATAATGACTTTGATGAAAATTTTGTTTCAGTTTGATCATAACATGTCATTATAATGTAATTTTAATTAAGCGTAAGATTTAAGACGGAACAAACCGTATAAATGAATTGATTTTCATTTGTTTATCGTGTTTGTTTTCTTATTATCAATAGATCTTATATTTTTATATTTTACTCCTGTAAACTCGCAGTTGTCTTGTGTGTTTTTTCACTACTTCAATTGTACATAACTAACAGTAAAGATGGTACAAATAACTCTTGCTATAGCAGTAGTTGTAGGTTTAGCAATATCAGCTGTTTTCAAAATAAAAGCACATTAGTTTTAATTTTTTACAGTGTACTCTGTGGATATTTAAAGTGTAGCTTTGTTAGCAGCCTGTTTTTCTGCTCAGGTCCTGGTTTCTGTTCTCTGGAGGATTACGAGTCTAACCCTGTCACTTAGTAGTTTTGACCCTTCACACTTGTCTCCCTAAGAGCTGCTTCCTCCTCATCTTCACCCTCCATCCCCCCGCCTCGAGGACTTATCTCTGTCACCACCCGTCAGCATCAAACCTGAACGTCGAGCAGAATGAGCGCTTAACACCTGCAGACACAGAGATGTTTTCCCTGTTAGTGCAGGAGAAAAGAACCTGCTACAGTAATTTACTGTTTTTTTAATCAAACAGCAAAACCTGAACAACAGTAACACACAGGTGTCTTTAGAGTACAGAAAAGAAAATGAGATCACCGACGACTTCATATCAGACAATTTTAGTTTTTTTTCTTTTCTTTCTTTTTTTTAATTCAAGAATGAGGGCTACTCAAAAGAAAAAATAAAAAAACAAAAAAAACCGGAAACTGGTATTTAAAAAGTCAGAATTCATACTTTGCTTGTCAGAGTTCTAGGAATTCCAGGATCAAAGTCAGAATTCCGAGATCAAGGTCAAAGATCAAAGTCAGAATTCTAAAATTCAAGGTTGAAATTCCAAGATCAAAGTCAGAATTCCAAGATCAAAGTCAGAATTCCGAGATCAAAGGTAGAATTCTGGGACCAAAGGTGGAATCCTTCTCTATTCCATGAAAACCTGGAACCAAAACAGGCAAATTGAAGTGGTAAGGTGACCGTAAAACTGTATTATTATTTTTTTTTTTTCTTTTTCTTTTAGTTCTGACTTTCCGGGCGCTGCATGGTCAGGCCCCCTAATCTATCACTGATTTGTTGTGCCCCTACTTCCCAGAGCGCCCCCTTCAGTCGTCGGGCCAGAATACCATTATGGTGCAAAAGTCCCGTTTTGAAACTCAGGGAGAGCGGACTTTTAAGACCGTAGCCCCCAGACTGTGGAACGATCTGCCCCTCCCCCTCCATTTGATTGATTCAGTCTTTCATATCTGCACTCATTTCCAATCTCACTGTGCTGTTTTCATATTTGTGTTTGAATGTGTACTGATCTTTTTTGTTCCGTTTTATGTTTATCTAACTGCACGTATTTTATGTACAGTGCTTTGTGATTTTGTCTGTAAAAAGTGCTCTATAATTAACTTTACTTACTTATATAAAACAATCACAGTAAATTTCCTTTTAAATGCACTTAAATATATTTGTACTTGTAGATTTTTCAGTGTAAAAATGTCTGATTGTCTCTGACTGAGTCAAAGTAACTGAAGCCTTTTAATCTTTAGGGATTTTTTCAAAACTTCATTAAAATATTTGTCTAATAAAAGACAGACCTGTGTTCGGCTGTTCCTGAACATTATGACTGTTTTGAGGTGGATGAGGGGCTGAGGGAGTTCACAGACATTTTGTGGTGGAATTTATGAGTAACAGCAGGACAGCAGATCCATCTGAAGGACTTTTAGTTTGGTTGATTTTTGGTCGTCTTCTAATTTAAAAAAAAGCTTTAAAAACAGCTAAATCACCTCATTATCATTAAAAGAGAACATAAAGAACAAACTACGAGATTTTAACTCTGACCTTTGCTACCAAAAATGGACGACAAAGGAGGGAAAGGTCTGAAGAGCAAACAGAGCGACAGAGTCTCCTCCTCCTCCTTATATGAGCTCTGTTTAGGTGGAGATTGAACTCACCTGTGGATGATGACCCCACAGGTGTGTGAGGATTTCTCACTCAGAGAACCGTCCTGAGTTTTATCCCCAAAGAAAACGACACAGAAAAACATCTTCATCATGGTTTTAAAATATCTTTATTGAAACATAATCCAGAAAAAATACACTTTAAGTTCCTGCAGATAGCAAACACTGTGTGAGCACTTCAGGCAGGTTGTTCAGAGCACAGAGGAGTGAAGCCACACGAGGAGAAAAACAGTCGACCTCTCAGCACATGGACGTACACGGCGACATCACAGGCTAACAGCTCTGAGCCCAAAGCTAACACGTTCAGAGGAATCTTTTCCATTTCACTCCTTTTACCAACACTGAGCTGAAACAAACAACAAACTGTTCATATTTTCATCTTTCTAAAACCAGGACGCTTCAGTTTCAAGCATCGTCCAGAAACAGACGAATAAAACAAACATTTTACTCAATGCAGAGGTAAAAATTTAGCTTATGAAACGCTCGGAAATATGGCTAATAAGGTATAATTAATCTGACTTCATATAAAGAGTTTGATATTTGTAGGAAACATCTATGTTGCAGAAGATTAGATCTGACTGTTAAACCGAAAACTTCGATGGTAAACGAAAAGAAAGCGGACTGAGACAGATCCAATAATCATAGAGAACAAAATACAAACAAACTTTTAAAAAAAAAACGACTTTTCCTGGTTGTAGTTTTCAGGAGGAAATGTGGGAGACTGTATGTGGGGATGGTGACTTTGTCAAGTTTAACGTAACTTGGAAGTTTTCGTGCAACATAAAAAGTTTGAAGCCCTTAGATTACCGATGGTTCTAATGTTTCGACTCTGTTTGAGATCCAAATCCTTTAAAATAATGTTCAGTTATAATTTAATTTTGTCCTCTAAAGGTTTTTTTTCTCCAAAGCTCTGGGGAAGTTCAACATTCAATAAATATATATCTCTATATAAACATTAGTGCATTCACAGTGAGCTCTATATTCGGTCCTGTACGTTAAAAATGTTAAATAGTGTAGTCTACGTTCAGACTGCAGGTCAATTCTGATTGGTTCTGATCCGACCCAGGCCTCTTCTGTATGTGGATATAAATCAGATATGTATCTGATGTGACTGCAGTGTGGACGCTCAGGTTGCGTTGATCCGACCTTTACATCGTCAATATGCGACAAACGTCACCGTTGTTCGACGACACAAACAGACGCAGAAAGCAATTCGGACGCATTCTTCATGGATGCATTCCGTTCACATTAGATGCCACATTCGTTGTTGTAAAGATCGGATTTAACAAAAAACAGAATTGTGCGTCAGAACCTGCAGTGTGAAGCCGTAGATAAAGGCCTGTTTACCTTTGTGGTAATCTGGTTTGCCGACTGGATGTCCGACAGTCTACCACCGGTGTCAGAAAGCAGCCCCTCCTGACTGGTCCATCTTACGAATTATCCAGCATGCTTTGGGAATCTAACTGGTCTCTTATGCCTTTGAGTGCCATCTTCTGGTTTAAATACCATAACACAATAAAACGCCACTTTCATGAATAGGTATGTAGCTGCTGCGGTGTATACGGCGCAGCTCACTTTTCAGATACTTTTTTCGTGTTTCTCTGGTGGAAACGACAAAAATTCTGTAATAATCAATATCGTGTTTTCTTGCCTGATATGTCGGGAAAATCTTTGACTCATAGCGAACAGTAACGTTAGCTAACACCGTCAGCGTGAGCGAGTGTTGGCTGGCCATTGGTCAAACGCCATCGTTATCCGATAGTTTGTTTTATACCCTCTCCTCTGATTTGTCTATGAAGTTCTTAGTGTGCGAAACAAACAATTATCTTTCCCACATTTAATACTTATCAAACCGTAATCCAAGCGAGGCAGAATGAATACAGGCTTGAGTTTGTGCAGAGAGAAAGTGTGGTCACTGATTTTGTGGAGTGTGTAATACTGTTATCTGGTCACCTGATATGACTGACTGTCCTTTAAAGAAAACATTCAGGAGCAGACGAGTTAACAGCTCTTCATTTTCATTCATCATGAGTTACTTTGCAAACACACGTCACTTTAAAACCATCTTTACACACAATTACAAAACAAACATTTCAACGAACGCTTAAAAAAAACAACTTTTTTTTTAGAAACACACAACAGAAGACATTTCAGTTCCAAGTGAAGCTGGAAACGCCGTTTTTCAGAGAAGACAGAAGCATTAATCAGCGCGTAGAGGCACGAAGAAGACAAGGCCATGAAGGCTTCGGAGTTACAGCCCTTATTTTCAGATCGATGGCGGTTATCGTAAAACTAACCCTGATACATGCTGTCAGACCGTGTCTCCGCACCAGAGGAGTTTAGACTATCTTATCTTATCCCTTCTGATTGGCTATAAGTGCTGACCGTTTGGCTTGAGCGTGTGATGACGATTCCAGCTTTTCTAGCCAGTCAGAGGCGAAGGAGGCGGGACTTTCCCCGGGGAAGACTTTTCCCGGGGAAAGTGCGTCATTTTCCCCCCAGAAATATTTTGTAATTTCGCGTTCTATATTCGCGTCGGCCCTGGTGTGTGAGGAACTTAAACCAGAGCTGAATTTTGTGAACTGAATTTGAATTTTGAGATTCTGTGATTCAAATTCAATTATTCATGTTTCGCAATTCTAATAAAAATGATTCAAATTCAGTTTCTGGCGTCACATATTTCAGCCCCCGTGGAGCATGACAGGAAACTCTTTTCTGAACCGTTACGGTGAAGCACGAAGGGATTTTTGAACGATTCAATCCAATAAATATCTCTTCATAAATATTTTTTTTTGTAGCAAATAAGGCATTTTATTACTTCCCTTAAAAATGTTTGAAGTACAACATAATTAGACTTTATTTATCATAACGCAAGGAAAGCCAGAGCTAGCTGAACTAGCTTTAGCTAACCTAAACCAGAACAGCATGTATTAGGGATCTAGAGCGGACAAACAACATCTATACTGCTAACAGAAGACGCTACGTAGCATTTAAGACAGTCTCCCGACCAACGTAAATTAACCTAAACACCGTGTCGTGTTTCCTTTTTTTAGGGGACAGTGTTTCTGTTTTTTATTAAAAGAAATAAAGAAATTAGACTCCCATCCTGGATTTTTTCATGAAGTCAATAAAAGAAGAAAAAGTCATGGTGATGCAAAAATAAACCCTGAAAATGTCTAAAACACTCCCGGAGCTCAGAATTATATAAAACAGAAAAATACAAACGGACATTTACGGCGTGTTTTGTAGTTTTTGGTTTGGTTTGACGCTGTTTTTGAGCGGCTGAGGATTTTCATTCCAAAATGCTTCAGATCCTTTTAAAGACGCACCGATATTAAAGTTTCTCTAAAGACAGCGCCGACCTGTTTTAGTGATTTTGGAATGAAATCCTGTTAGTTTGACCTGAAAACGTAAAAAACACGATGACCTGGATTTGAAAATGACCTGTTTTTTTTTAGCTTAAATATACAAGAACTACCACTAATGCATTTTAAAATATATAATTACAGCCGATTTCAAAACTGATATATATATTAGTAAATGAGCGTTAACTGAATGTAGCAAAATACTCAAACCTGAAAATGAATGAAAACTTAATTATTCTAAATACTTTTAAATAATCTGCCTCCTTGAGTAATGGCTTCTTTTAATTACACGTCTGTAATTTTCAGTGCAAAGTTGATTATACGATGACAAAGATGACAAACGAGAGGCTGCGACGCTTCGTGTGTTTTCACGTAAAATCAAAGTGGTTTTTACGAAGGGTCGTGATTTTTTGATTGTCAAATAGCAGCTTTTAAACTTTCAGAAAAATAACTTTGTCCCGGCTGGATTGAGGACGGCGCACTGCACTCACCAAGACGAGGAAGAAAACGCACAATTTCATGATTATGAACGTACAGTCGATAATCGTAAATTTCACAAAACTTGGAATTATAAAAGCTAGCTCGAGTTATCAAACTATTTTTCTGTTTGTGCTTTTTTTGTTTTTGTTTGTGCAAGTATCATAGTTACCTGTGAGTGTCTTTATTATTAAAACTGACGACTTTACGAGGTCAAACAATAAACAAAAACCCTAATTTATATTTTTTTTAAAAGAAAGATCCAATCCCGGTAATTTTCGGTTTGTGTTCAATAAGGACAATCCTCGTTTAAGAGTCACAATGTCGTGACCTTAAGTTTCAAGTTTGTCTAAAATGCATTTAAACATATTTATAGCAATACTGCATTAAAATAATCACGATTTTCTAACCAAATACGAACTTTGGAGGTAGCCAGCTGTTGACTTTGCACGGCCTTTAGGTAATTCATGATGCCTCAGAACCTTGCTTGCGCTTCCTGCTATCGCCTTTTCATGGTGGCTCGTGAAGGGTTCCACACAAGCACGTGGAAGGGCAGGGACCCAGAACAGAACTACGCCGCCGAATCTAACTTTGCACGATCCAGCTGAATTTTGACAAAGTGATCCTGACTGAAGTAGAATTTTATTTATTTATTAATTTAATGTCGGAGATTTTCCATCCCAGTGCGATAAATTCCGATCTTTCTCAGGTGACGTGTTTCGGACACGGATCGCTCACGTCAGTTTTGAGGATAGTTAGCTTATTTGCTGATCTGAACATTAAGTTTTTTTAACAGTAATAATGAAATATTAAGTTCTTGTCATATTAAACTGTTTCTCTCTTTGGTGAATGCAGTGTGCGGTCATAGAAAAAGGGGCGGGGTTCAAAGGTTCGTCAGTCCTGTCTCTTTAAGAAAGACACGATACAGAAAATTCGTTTTGTTAATCGTCAGAAAGAGCTTATGTTCGTCTTGTGCTTTCACTCGTCGTGTTTCAGATCTCGTTCGTTTCCTCAGAGTTCACTGACCCTCTCACTGAGGGTCTCCAGCTCCTCCTCCTGCTCCTGGTAACGCTCCACCCCCCCTACACAGGGGGTGGAGCTGTACGGACCGTTGCCCACCTGAGCGGGGTAGTCGAGGCCGCTGAGCTGGGCGTGGTGGTGCCAACGCAGGTCGTCGCTCTCGTGGGTGATGTAGCGCTCGTTCATTCGTGACTCCAGGTTCCTCAGGTCGAGCCACATCTGGTAGTCCTGGAGGAGGAAACGGACACACCTGCTTCACCCGTACGAAAACTAATCCCTTATTATAGTCTGAAAAATGTTTGAATTTTTACGTTTGGAATGAATGCAGTCATACCAATATTTGGAATTGCATTTGTTCTTAAAAGTAGGTGTTTTTTTAGTAACTCAAAAGTGTTTTTACGAAGGATTTCTCTTCCTCACGGTCTTAACCCTTGACTCCTCCTCGGTTTTGAGGACATTTGTCATTTTTTTTATCTTCATTTTAAGCTGACAGACACATTTTTAAAGATTAGGGCATCAAATTTGGTGAGAGTTCTTTTTTTTTTTATATTAAAAAAAACCTCGGCAATTATGGCAATTAGCACTACAAAAAGAATTTAAATGCACCAAAATGGATTTTACTTCTCATCATTGACATGGCCCAGACTCTTTATTTTAAATGGGAAATGTGGAGATTTTGTGTTTTTTACCATCAAAAATAAATATGACATGTTGCACAAAAGCGGGCATAAAAAGGATAATACATCGACTTTTGTATTTATTGTTTTTGCAGTGATCAGGGCTGAAGTTATTTAAAAGATATGAGCTGGAAAAGTTTTTAAAAATGTTTAAAAATGATTTTTTTATGAGCCCTTATCTGCCTGTCCGTTTTGAGGACATTGTTGGCTGGATGGAGTTTAAAATAAACAGAAACAGCGGGTTAAAAATGACTGTACCTTTACGTTGAATTTACATGTTTTGGTTAAAATAATTAGCTGCAAAAGAAAAAAGTTTGAGCAGGTTTAAAGTAAAATGTTTTTAATCAGCCCGTCACGAATGATCCCATCAGCATCTTCGCATTCGAACAAAAAATCAGGTTTAACTTTTGGTCCAAACTCACAACCTTTTCCTCAATTTTGCATGTCTTTAAAGTTTATTTTCTTATTTTCTTATTTTGAGTTTGAAGGTCATAAAACTCTGAATGTGTCTTTTCTATCAGTTAGTATATTTAAGTTCAGTTTTTTTTTATCTTTTATCTCTTTTATCTTATTTCAGCTTTAATGTCTTTTTAGCTTTTGTTAAAATTCAAAAGCATTGTTGATATTGTCTTTTATTTTTACTGTCCTGTTTCTGCTTTCGACCCTCTTTTTAATTGCATTTTCTTTCTTAACTATTTTACGTCTTTTTATGTTGTATGGTTCTTGTATTATCTTGTGAAAATGGCCTTTTATTCCGTTTTAACTGTTTTTAAAATTACTACACAGATAAAGTTATTATTATTGACGGGGGTCTCACCTGTAACCAGGGGTGACTGAGCGTTTTGTCCACACTGTACCTTTTCCTCATCTTCACCTGCAGCAGGTTGTTGATCAGGTCGATCGCTGCAGGAGAGAGAGAGAGAGAGAGAAGAAGAAGAAGAAGAAGAAGAAGAAGAAGAAGAAGAAGAAGTGATGATGATGGTGGTTTGAGTCCAGTACAGGGAAGGATGAAGACCAGGAGGAGGGGGAGCAGGGTCTTTGCCCCCCCTGTGGTGAGGGGCCAGTCAAGGCTAATGAGCAAAGCTAACATGATGTTAACATCTCTTCAGGGGTCAGCGGTTTGAACGGCTCTGGGACCCCGGGGCCCCTCAGGTCTGCAGGGGCCTCCTTCACTTGGTATTATGCACATGAATGGAGCAGCACATGAATACCCCCCGAAATCTGTCCGTCTAACTCTCTTTCCAAGAACAGCCCGGACACTCAGCTGCTGCTCTGAGGTCTTTCTCTCACACAGCCCCCCCTCCTTCAGTCCTCCATCTTCAGGGAAGTCACATGACCTCCTCTAATCTGGACCTTTTTTTTTCAGCAGTGAGGCCGAAGGAGGGCGACGTCAGTCTGTCCAACAAAACCCTCAGAGAAGGAGAACTTTCCCTGTTGATAGAAAGAAACCTACGACAGTTTCTGGGAAAAACTCTTAAAAATGTCGGTTTGCTCGATTGGCTCACGGTCGACACCTCTATCTGTCCTGAGGTCTGATCGATCAGAATCAATAACACAATAACTTTTTCAGGAAAGACCTTCATATGATCCAGGGCTTGACACGAACTTTTTTCACATGTTCTCCCAAGTTGAAAAAGTAAGAAAATCAAATGTTTGTCTTATTGATCGACCTTAGTACTATTATTAGAAATCAATTTTAGGTCTTTTGGTCACATGACAGTGAAGCTATTGAAGGAAAACAGCCTTTTCTGAGAACATCAACTGGTAATTTATTGACGGTCCCTTATTCAACACCGACGTTGACAGTGAGGGTGTCGAGTAGATTTAACCGCGCTGCTGTTGTTATTCCCGGTTATGGAGAGTGAGAAGACACCGGTAGATCCTCAGAGAATGTCCGTCAGATATCCAACCTGAAACTAACTTCACCGCCGTATTTACAGGAAAATATATCCAACCTGAAACTAACTTCACCGCCGTATTTACAGGAAAATATATCCAACCTAAAACTAACTTCACCGCCGTATTTACAGGAAAATATATCCAACCTGAAACTAACTTCACCGCCGTATTTACAGGAAAATATATCCAACCTGAAACTAACTTCACCGCCGTATTTACAGGAAAATATATCCAACCTGAAACTAACTTCACCGCCGTATTTACAGGAAAATACATTCAACCTAAAACTAACTTCACCGCCGTATTTACAGGAAAATATATCCAACCTAAAACTAACTTCACCGCCGTATTTACAGGAAAATATATCCAACCTGAAACTAACTTCACCGCCGTATTTACAGGAAAATATATCCAACCTGAAACTAACTTCACCGCCGTATTTACAGGAAAATATATCCAACCTGAAACTAACTTCACCGGAGTATTTACAGGAAGATATATCCAACCTGAAACTAACTTCACCGCCGTATTTACAGGAAAATATATCCAACCTAAAACTAACTTCACCGCCGTATTTACAGGAAAATATATCCAACCTAAAACTAACTTCACCGCCGTATTTACAGGAAAATATATCCAACCTGAAACTAACTTCACCGCCGTATTTACAGGAAAATATATCCAACCTGAAACTAACTTCACCGCCGTATTTACAGGAAAATATATCCAACCTGAAACTAACTTCACCGCCGTATTTACAGGAAAATATATCCAACCTGAAACTAACTTCACCGCCGTATTTACAGGAAAATTTATCCAACCTGAAACTAACTTCACCGCCGTATTTACAGGAAAAAAAAACATTTGTTGATTGGACAAGGAGAGAAGTCTGATTCAGATCGAATTATGAGCTCAGTCCGAGTAAACTGTGACTGTGAACGCACTGAGTGTGTCATGGCGCCGCCATCGCCCCCCAAAGTCCCCTCAGTCTAACTTCTTCCCATTAAACCGAGAGATGGTCGTGCTGCATGTGGGCCGTCCTCTCTCAGAAACCTTTCTAAAGTGACTCCTTTTACAGTGATCTTTGGAAATGCAGATTTGTTGACGCACCGAGAGTTGATTCGGTGACATTTAATCCTCCTGCGGCTGACGGAGAGGACTTTTACAACACTTATTCTGGAGCGGCTGAAGTGTCTCCGGCGGGATGAGGAGGTGGACGAGAGGTTAGGAGCGCTTCGGGGATCCGGCCGAGGAGCAAATGAGTCAGGCTGATTTAAATCTGTCTGCTAGTCAACAGGACAATTCCTGCCAACACACACAGCAGACGCATTTAGAGACAATGACGACAACACGATGAGTCACGCAGCAACGCTCCGAGGTTTCAAGGCTGTGTTTGAGTGATCACGCCACTGCGGGAGGAAATAACCTGAGCCGATGTGAGTGGATGAAAAACCCCCTCAGAGTCACTCAGAGGTGAGAAAACATCCGTCTCTGCCTTCAGCGTTTAAGGGGGTATTTGAACGGTTTATAGTTGTTGGTACAGGAAGTCTGATGTAAGGCGTGATTACAAAACGCCCCTCACCTCTCAGACACGCACAACAACTTAACCAGACATGAGGGTGCTGCTCAAGTATCAACCAATCAGGTGTCAGCAAGAGGAACCACCTGTATGGAGAGCAAAAGTAGGAGGAACACTAAACCCCCAATTTTCATCAATGATTTTCGCCGTACGCCAATTCCTACTGGATCCGTTTGTGGCGGAATCGGGAGAACTCACAAGAACCCGCAGATTCACGTTCAATCGCGCGATAACGAGTTGTCTCTATAAAGACAGACACATAGACATATAAGCAGTAGATTGTGTCCTTCCAGAGGAGGAAATCTACTTCTAGACTTCTAGAATCAGCATCTCAGCATGAATTTATCCGCCATGCTCCGGCGTCCAGAAAAAATAGAACTCTTGTGATCAGCTGAGGAGTCCGGCGATCGGCAGAGGAACGGAAAGAAGTCGGTGTAAATTGACACGTTAACTTGAATGGTTACGATCAGCTACGATCGGAGGATACGACCTTTTAGGAGACGATCAGGATGAAGGTGGAGATCGGGGGTTAAACTCACAGATCTATGGTTCTGACCCTAAGATGAGACAAACCTGATTATAGGACAGAAATAAAACAGATCCAAGTCTGTTGACGTCTTTGAAATATTCATAATCTTAATATTTTAACCCCTAATGAGCACAGATCTACTTAAACTATAATAAGCGGAGGTCAAACAGTTCTATGTTCTATATTTCTATATTGAGACTATAACGTCTCTGGTTGTCTTTGCTTCTAATTGGACCTTTACAGACACCGCCTCTGATTGGTTGACGGACTATAAAATGTGACCTCTAAAAATACCCTGATCTGTGTCGTGAGGTTGGTCTCCTGAAACCTGTTTCTTACCGTAAATCCTCTAATAGAGGCCCAGTCTTCGATGTCTTTCACAGCAGCAGGTACCAGGCCTTTATATGAGGCAGGCTTGTATTAAAGACAGATTCTCGGTTCATGTTTTAGTAAAAGCTGAGAGTCTGATTCTCTAAACCAAAGTGAGGGGTTCAGTACCTTCATTGGAGACTTTCTTCCAGGGATGGGGGGGGTACATGAAGGCGGCGTTCTGGATCTGATCGTTGATATCTTCGTCTTCGTTGAAAGGAAACGTCCCGCTGAGACTGCAGGACAAAAAAACGGACCTCAGTATGAACTGGACAGAAGTTTAAGAACGTTCGGAAACGTAAATCAGACAACAGAGCTCACTGACCTGACGTAGATGATGACCCCGACTGACCACATGTCCAGAGAGCGGTTGTAACCTTTGTTTCTCAGGACCTCAGGAGCCAGGTACGCCGGCGTTCCAACCACGGAGCGCCTGAAGGACTTCTCCCCGATGATCCGAGCGAAACCGAAGTCGCACAGCTTCACCTGAAGGAGACGACGAAGGCGTGTTAGAGACGTTTACTAATCTGTTTAGAGCCTCAAACCAGCGAACTCTCTATCAATCAGATGAAAGATCGTCAAACACGAACTCAATAACGATATCTGTGACATTCACGTGTGTTTTGGCGTTGGACAGATCAGAGACGGAGCGTGATTCTCCTCCTGGCGACTGTTGTTGTATTTTCTGAGTATTTACAGTCATTTCTGGGTAATAAATGATCATTCGCTCTGAAGCAGAGAGAAAAACACAATTACAGGGAAATTCTTAATGAGTCTGAATCATAAATGTCGGCTCCCTCCTGGCGTTGGCTCTGCGGCGGCGGCGGCGGCGGCATCAGTCAGTGTTTGGATGGAAACAGGGAGGATGAGTGAGATGAAGCTGCTGACAGTGAAGAGCTGTTGGCTGCTATCTTTACAGGATGATTCACACACACTCAGGAGAAGGATGGAAGCGGTCCGGGAAAGGTTGGCACACGGCGCCGCTGTTGTGATGAATCAGATCGTTTTAGCATCCACCGCTCGGCGCCGCTGAGGTCTATTTTCAGTTTTAGTGTTGTTCTCCTGACCGACACTTCTCATCCAGGTGGCGTTCGGATGGAGGCGGGTTGACCTTGTTTTTCGGCGGTGGATGTCGGAGGAAACCTCCAGAGGCGGCATTGTTGTTGTTGTTCAGACTCAGCCCGTGATTGACACCTCCTGTCCGCCGTACCTGGACGTCCGCTGGTTACCTGTCCTCCTCAGTGGGATGTCAATCACCACGGAGATCCAGAGCTGACTCCTGTTTTCAGAGATCAACCTTTAACGTTTAAAAAAAGACGTTTCCTGGTGTTTTTATTCCCTCTGGTCTTTGTCCTCGACGATCAAACGTGTCCTGAGAGACGAGTCACTCTGGGACGAGAAATTTAACAAACTTCACCGACAGAAACACAAACTAAAGGGATTAAAGATTCTTCTGCAGAGTCACTGAAAGATAAAAACCAACAAAACTACATTTAAACCCCAATTTCCATCACATCCTGATCGTCTCCTAAAAGGTCGTATCCTCCGATCGTAGCTGATCGTAAACATTCAAGTTAACGTGTCAATTCCCAGTTTTTAGACGTCATTTCACCCCGGTCAGTAATCCTCACAATCGGATCCAGTAAATTGGCGTACGAATTATCGCCTTATTCCGATTAAGACCAGGGCCCGTATGCACGTTGAAAGCGTTTAGCGTAAACGCGATTAGGGCCTTAAACGCGTTTAGTTCCTATACGATTTTTGCTGTAAACGGAACCGTATAGCTAACCGCGTTTACTGTGTCTTAAACGGTAAAGATATTTATAGAATTGGGTCAACCGGTCTGTTTTAAGTGTTGTGTACTTTCGGTTGAGAACGGCCCCGTAAGGTTACGAGGACTTGTGGAGTGGAGTGAGGGTGAATCCTCGGTTCGAAAGTTCAATTTCAGCGGAAATCTCCTGTGTGAGGTCGAGAATATGATGCTGTCGAAACTTACGGAACACTTCGTGGTCGTCATACGTGTCGAAGGGGTGAATTCTGTCACGAAAAATCCTGTTCGACGCAATTGTCGCCGCTGTCTTCCTTGGAACAACAAGAGTGCCGCCGTATTTAAACGCGTTTAGACCCGCTATTGGACCCCCAGAGGTGCGATAACGGCTATACGAAGTGACGTGCATACCAACATTTTTGGCGTTTAGGAGTTAAACGCGTTTTGCCAAGCAACGTGCATACGGCTCCTGACCGCTAAAGGTCATGTAAACACCTTAGTCCGAACTCTGATTAAGTCACCCGGATAACGTGATTGGAATACGATTTTCTCTACCATGTAACCAGCGTAGTCGGAGTATGATCGGTTACAGGCCACGCCCCCATAACCCTGTAACAAAACCCCCAGAGTAGAGGAGTAGCGTTGGTCTCCTCTTTAGAAAAAGTAGCGCGTCCATCATGTCGGACAAAAACAACGCTGTACGATGCTCCATCTTCTTGTTTCTCCAAAATGCCCAGCAGCAGTTGTAGACACTTCTGACGTTGAAAAGACCCATATCGCCCCCTAGTGTTGGGGAGGAGGACACGTTCACGTCAATAATTCAGTTTTCTCAGCTGCATGTAAACAAAGTCTGATTCACCAACAACCGCGTGCAAATCTGTGTCTGGAACTTTTCTTTCCATGATGGACGACGTGTGCCACCGCCGCAGAATCTGAGTTTCAGGGGTTAAAGGTCAAGGATCTTATTTATGTTGCACTTCCTCTCTCTTCAAACCTTTGCTCATCTACCATGACTACTCTCCACACTCTTCCACACACAGATCTATCTCCTTATGTGACGGCGGTGAAGACAAACACCATCAGACTCTCTTCAGCCTCCGGATCGTCCCATTAGCCGCGGTCACACGGCTCTGGTGGAAGCTAATGCATTAGTCTGAAGGAGATGTTCCCCGTGTTTGTGTCCTGATGTTAGCGGGAGCATCAGGCTCGGCTGCAGATTCACAGAAAGTAAAGTGTGTGAGGAACACTGAGCCCAACAGCCGGCCTGATGCATCATTAGCGCTAACAGTTTGTCTGTCTGACACAAACAGCTATTTCTGGAGGGAGGCTGAAAACTGCCGAGAGCTGCTAATAGTTGCGCTGAAAGCTAATGGACCGTCTGTGTGTCTGCTTTTGTTTGTTTGCCTGGATCAGCCTGTTTCACCTCGAACCCACGGCTGAGAGGAGAGGGTTCAGTGTCAGCCAATCACAGAGCAGGACTTTAAAAAGACGACAAACAGAATCAAGAGATGAGTCTGAAAGCGTTCGGATAACCACGACAACACGGCGCACACCTGTGGGAACGAGTCCGCAGACGCCAGGAGGACGTTCTCCGGTTTCAGGTCACAGTGGACGATGTTCTTGAAGTGGAGGTGACGCAGAGCCACCAGAATCTGAGCGAGACGGAGACAGAGAGGGTTATTTTTATTATCACGAGGGTTCATCCTCTGAGGAGCAGAGTCATGAACGTTACAGAGAGACCTGTGTGACCAGGAACTTGGTGATCCTCTCAGGGAGCCGTCCTTTCTCACTGGACAGGATCATCTCCAGCATGTCTCCGTGGAGCTTCTCCATGACCACGAACACTCGCTCCGGAGTCTCAAACATGCAGTCAAGGTTCACCACGCCCGGGTGGTGCAGACTCTGGAGGAGGAGAAGGAGAAGGAGAGAGAGGAGAGGGAGGAGAAGAAGGAGGAGGAGGAGGAGGAGGAGGAGGAGGAGGAGGAGGAGGAGGAGAAGGAGAGGGAGGAGGAGAAGGAGGAAAAGGAGAAGAAGGAGGAGGAAAAGGAGAAGAAGGAGGAGGAGAAGGAGGAGGAGGAGGAGAAGGACGAGAAGGAGAAGGAGGAGAAGGAGAAGAAGGAGGAGGAGAAGGAGAAGAAGGAGGAGGAGAAGGAGAGGGAGGAGGAGAAGAAGGAGGAAGAGGAGAAGGAGGATAAGGAGAAGGAGAAAGGAGGAGGAGAAGAAGGAGGAGGAAGAGGAGAAGGAGAAAGAGGAGAAGGAGGAGAAGGAGAAGGAGAAAGAAGGAGGAGAAGAAGGAGGAAGAGGAGAAGGAGGAAAAGGAGAAGAAGGAGGAGGAGAAGGAGGAGGAGGAGGAGAAGAAGGAGGAAGAGGAGAAGGAGAAAGAAGGAGGAGAAGAAGGAGGAAGAGGAGAAGGAGGAGAAGGAGAAGGAGGAGGAGGGGGAGAAGGACGAGAAGGAGAAGGAGAGGGAGGAGGAGAAGAAGGAGGAAGAGGAGAAGGAGAAGAAGGAGGAGGAGAAGGAGAAGAAGGAGGAGGAGAAAGAGGAGAAGGAGGAGGAGGAGGAGGTTTGTTATCTTTACAAACTGATGTGAACCGTTTCAGGATCTCTGAGTCTGAACGTCAGACTTCAGATCATAAAGATCCAAAAACTGAAACTACTTTAATCTGTTTTTGTTTTTTTTACCTGTTTCGATGTTTTTTTTTTCTTCTATCAATAAAAAATCAAAAATAAAATCAAACAAATAAAAATAAACAGACAAACACAGAAACTCTCCGGCTCTCAGTCAGGAGAGTTTCTAAAGTCTCTGATGTTTGTTGTGAATCAGAGTCACTGAGAGAGAAGACATGAAGTGAACAGGTGTGTGTGTGTGTGTGTGTGTGTGTGTGTGTGTGTGTGTGTGTGTGTGTGTGTGTGTGTGTGTGTGTTGCAGCAGCAGCTCCTGCAGGTTGAGCAGCGCTGAATTATTACAGGATGTCACACCCCCACAGTGTTGCCACGGTAATGAAGTCGTTCCCGACAGGAAGTCTCACTCACTGCTGACAGGAGAGTAAGTGTGTGTGTGTGTGTGTGTGTGTGTGTGTGTGTGTGTGTACCTGCAGGATGGCCACCTCGTTGCGTAGCTGACTCTCCTGTTTGGTCGGAAAGCGGAGTTTGTCGATGATCTTGATGGCGACGTCTCGGCCTGACTTCCTGTGTTTACCTGCATGAGTGAGACCCACAGGTGTGATCCTTTACTGCAGTACTGCATCAAAGTACTCAAAGTACTATTCAAAGTATATATATATATAATCCACTTCCACACACACTGATGTTTAGTCTTTAGTTTCACATCCAAACCTTCTCTCTCTTGAATTTAAAATAGTCGATCTTTTCTGGACCGTCTGTAAAGTCCAGAAAAGACTCGTTCAAAGATCTGGTCCCTGCTCAGTTTTACCTCCATAAACGATGCCGAACTGCCCCGAACCCAGGACCTCGTCAGGGAAGATCTGATACACGGAGTTGATATCCTGAAAAACAAAAACCAAAGCTGAGAAAAACCTGTGGTCAAGGTCCAGACTGAGGAACACAGGTCGGTCTTTGAATGTAGGTCTTGTGTTTGGGTATTTTAGAGTCACAGTAAACAGTTCTGTTGTATCTGATGTGTCCTCTAACACTCCTTTTCCAACAGGCTGATTCCAGAGTTAGTCCGGGGTCAGATCCTCATGTGAAGCCACAAGAGACGTTCAGGATGAGGGTGGAATTTGGGGGTAACACTCTTTTGGAGGACAGTTTCCAATTTGTCGAAAGGACAGTTGGACTTACTTGTCCAACTGTCCTTTCGACAAATTGGAAATCATAGATGCTGCATCCTCAGTTTTAGACCATATCTCCAGGTTTAGGAGGAACATCTGAAAGAATTTTTCTGTGGCATAAAAACTTTCTTAAAAAGTCTCATTTCTGTCTCAGGATGAAGGTTTACTGAGACAGAGGGAGCCGGTCTCTATTTTGATTGTTTCATTGTATGAAGACGACAGGCCGTAATGTTTCCGAGGGCCCGCTCCTCCTCTCGTTAGGTCCACTGAAGGTTGGCGACCGACCACTCCCAAACCCGGCCTCACAAACTGATCGAACCAATGAGCTGTCTAAACTGTAAAACACCTGACAGGAGCGCTGAGGTTTCATTAAAATAAACCAAATATCAACTTTCAAACTTCATCTTTTCAGCGTCTCTGAAGGTGAGGCAGTGGGACTGAAAAGGAAGCAGGGATTCATCACCAGCTGAAGGAGCGCGCTCAGAAAAGGGTTTTTGTACTTGTGGTGAAACGGCGCGGCGTCAGTGATCCGCCACAGCTTTGACACCAAGACTGCTAAATATTTTCTCCTTCTCTGCACTCACGTCTCCCTCTCCTCCCCTGTTAGCTGACAGCCTAATATCACACCTCGAGCGGAGAGGACAGAAATACAATATTATGAACCTCCTCCCCCTTCCCCGAGCTTGCTGCCTAATTACCATCAGTTGCCATGGAAACCATTTGGCTGAGTGAGTAATCACAGTAATCTCCATCCGAGGTGCTCGAAGACGTGCTCACCTTGGAGACGGCGAGGTGAGCGCCCGCGTTTGAAACGGGACTCGATGTTCTGGGCGCTCACATTAGCATGAATAGAGTTTGCAGACATTTGAGCTTTATGTGGATCTTTATGATGTAAATGTTCGCCGCGAGGGTCTGAGACGTTTACGTTCGGGCGCCTCAAAACAAAGTGGATCAGGAAGAGAAGGAAGAGAGGGGCAAAAAGGAAGTGCTTCGTGGTCACAGAGAGGTAGAGCTCCAGGCCGGGTCAGACAAAGATACGATAATTCGGCAGACGTTCAAGTTTAAGAACAATCATTTAGGTGAAATGTTCATAAGTCACAAGAACTGGTTCTCAAGTTTTCAAGGATACTGGTTTACACTGACCTGATCCAGAAACAGGACTTTAAATCCAGACTACCAGATCTCTGAATGGAACTGAAGTTACACACTTGAGCCACAAGGGGCGCCAAATCCTCACAAACCAAAGATCCTCTCAGCTAACTCTGATTTTAAACTCCGTATCTGACTCTGAGACTCTTTAAATGTCACTTCCTGTCACATGACAGCCTCTGGTGTTGGAAAACTCGAATGCCAAAAACTGCAGTTCCTCAAGCGTCCACTTGGGGCTCGCTCCAAAAGCAGATGAGACTCCATGAAGACCCATGTTAAAGGGATATTCTGGCGTAAAATTAATTTAGGGTCAAACACACTGTAACACCGAGTTAGACAACCCCCCCTCCAGAGATGAATGTTGTCGACCGCTTACTTCTCTAGTTATACCAACTTTAGTAACGACCGCAGGATAGCAATACAGAGAGCCACGCCCTCAACCAAAACGCCACTCTATAGCCACAAATAATGCTCAGAACAGCACCTAACTTCATCAACAGGACATATAGGGTCACAGACATAGTACTATATTCAGAGTTGTTTTAACTCTTAAGACAACAAGCTTAAGCGGGGGCGTTTCTCCACATCTGTAGTCTATAAGCTGGGCCAATAAACTTCTACTGTAGTAAAATGAAAAGGTAAAGGTGTTTTTATTGAGCCGAATTATCAATAAAATCATGATTTTGTTAACAGGTATGAATTTATGTGCTGTCGAGTTAATATATTTGAACAAGAGCACAGTAAAGTTAAATCAGCTAATTTTCCAATGAGGTTCTGTTACTGAACGGAACTACACCATGATCTACTGAGTTTAGTACATATAGGGTCACAGCCATAGTACTAGACACCAAACATCTTTTTAACTTTGACTCATTTCTTTAGCAAAGAGACTAAACACAACTCACCTACTCTCTTCCAGCAGACGCTTGTTTGTAGAGAGACCTCAGGCCAGTCCATTACAGACTACAGCGGGGTGCCGCAGCTCAAAGAAGAACATTTATGATCATTTCTTCATGGAAATACAATCAGACCAAGACGCTAAGACAGAAGAACTACAGCGTCTGTAAAATGATTAATATGGTGATTATTACTTCAAGGAAATGATGAAGAAATAATCATAAATGTTCTTCCTTGAGCTGCGGCACCCCACTGTAGTCCGTAATGGACTGGCTGTAAGTGACTAACTCTTTGGTTTAGATTTATTTTCTTAGAGACACGAATCTGTTAGTTAGTCGGATGAATGCTCATCTCTATTCATCAGTGAGACTCAGACTGTTTTATTCAGTCCGTGCCTTTAATACCTCATCGGTACCCCTGCAGGTTTTGTCTCTGTGTGTTTTCTTACCACGTTTTCCTGGATCTGGCAGTTGGAGACGGAAATACTGATGGAAACTTCCTCTGTTAAAGAAACACAGACGTGATGAGAGTTAAAACTGTTCAGGGTTGATTTTTCTTAGAGAAAAGACTGAAGCAGAACCGAAATAGACCGAACTGCTGAGAACTTCTCCTTGAAAAGAATTGAAGGTGAAGCTGAGGCGTGTGTTCTGGCAGATGTAATGTGTGTGTTGGTAGAAAGAGCTGAAATGTAAAAGCTTCAGGCGGGTTAAACTCAGTGTTATTCTGGTGGATTTGTCCACAGGTGAACACACAAAGACTCAGAGAAGCAGAGAGACCACAGTGAAGTGTTAGTCATGATCGCTTTGACGTCAGTAAAGGTCTGAAATATCTCTGATGGGTTTCATGTGGGCGTCGACGGCCCTGATGGGAACTGCGAGTCTGCAGGAGAATTCAGCAACAACGTGAGCATTTCCACCTGAGCTGGAAACCTGCGAGGAGTCATTTCACAGGTGGGATTGTGCTGAAATGACATTTACATTTCGACAGTTGGATTCTGACAGCTGATATGAAAGTGAAGCACATCCTTCATTTACTGCACTCTCCTTTTATTTTCCCCTGAGTCACAGAAAAGCTGTAAAAATGAGTGTTAAGGACAAAAACTGATGCATGGTCTGAATATTTTCCTTTGGATTCTTTAGAGTAGGACTTGTAGCAGCTAAGTCTTCTAGCTCTTTAATGCATTTTATATCATATTTAATTCATACTTTCATACAAATCTATCAAATCTGATCAACAAATTACTAAAAAAAAACACCTGAATACAGTCTGATAAATGATAAAAAAAAAGTCCTCTTTTAGTTTGTCAGTTTTCAAAAACATCTTACTTATCAAACGAGATCAATAAATATATTTGTTAAATTTTAAGGACATTTTGATTTTTTTTGGTTTTAAGTAGTAAGTGAAATAAACGTTTCAGCTCCAAAACAATTTGAATTTTCTGGCCATAATTTGTGGTTTAAGGCATTAAAGGGCTAGTCTGTGCTTTATCTGTGCAGACAAAGAGTTTTCGATATCGTGTTTCCATCATTTCAAAGTTATTTTCCTAAAACTTCAGTCGACACATTTGGAAACTGTCCCCGATAAAGTATAAAACATTCAAGACCTGTAGTCAACTCCTTCATGTGCACTTACATGGACTTTGTGATAATGCAGGTGGAGTTTTTAGGGCAGTAAAAGGTCCCCAGATCACTAAATCATCAGCCATATAGAGCTGAATATCATCTGCATATCGAATGATTAACCCTACAGGGACCAAACAAAGTCTAAAAAGGAGGGGATCCAGAATCGAGCCTTGTGGTACTCCACATGAAGGTTATTTACGACTTTGGCAGTAATAAGAATTAAAGTTACTGTTATTCTTTGATTTATATTTGAATGTCGAGGTTTAGTCCAGGTTAAGATTTATCGACCAATTTAATCCGAAGATGTGTAAAACTTCTGAGTGAACCATCTTTAAATGTCTGAGTTTCATTTAAAGGAGAAGAAAGTAACTTTAGGTAAAAACTCAGAGTTCATGACCAGACCTTAAAATGAACTACACCAGTGTTTAGATCAGAGTGGGGGTCTTACTGTGCCCTCCGCGGTGAGAGTTGTGGGATATTCCTGTGGAGACTGCCGGCATCAGAGCGTGCTGGATGGCCATCTCCCACATCCGAGCCACATCCGGCCCCACGCCGCTCACCTGAAACCAGGGAGTTATTTGTTAAAGGCAGAGATCCTGACAGAGCAGAGACTCTTCACTGGGTTGTAAATATATGACATTATTGACCAGAATGCTGCTGGTGGTCACGGATGAATCAGCTCTCGGCAGGTTCTCCCCGACGTAATAAACCAGCGAGGCCGTGGCGATCTCGAAGCAGTGAGGATTGGCTCCATCAGGCAGCAGAGAGAAGGTCTGCGCCGGCTCCAGGGACAAGATCTCCGACAGAGGGATCTCCTGCAGGGAAACCCAAGACAGATGGTCCACAATGGTTGGTTCTCAAAACCAAACCTTGTTACCTGGTCAGTACTTGAACTTTGACACTGGACTTACCTTATAGTATTTACTCCCTGTGTCGTTCTGAAACAGCGTGATGCACTTACTGTCCAGCCGCCAGTAATGTCTCTTCCTCTGAAACACGGAGAAGAAGAAGAAGAGGAGGTTAAAGACAGAAACAGAAAAGACTCGACAGAATCACATCCAACCTGTGGAACATCCACTCCGAGTTCACAGATCCAGATTCACCTTGACTAACTGACTACCATATTTATCACTTTTCTTTGAAGCCTGATGGAACGTTGGCCTCGTCTTCAAGACAAATCTGCCAAAATATTTGTACAGACATGAAAACAAAAGTCAAAATAACCTCGTTTTTTTGATCCACGTTTTCTCATTATCTTATTGTCTTTGAGTGTTACAAATTTAATCATCCTGCTGATACCATAAATCAGCCTAATTTCCATATCACCTCTGGTGATTGGCATTTTTATTCTTTTATTCCAAACAAAGGACCTTACAAAAGAAGGGCTGGTCCACGTCCACACAAAAGACAACCAAAACAAAATAGGAGAAATAAATATATAAAAACTGCATCTGACAAAGAGCAGCAAACATACTGACTTCACTCATTCCTATTTATAGTACATGAGTCCTAAAAATCCATCACTGGTGGTTTACTAAAGTCACATCAGAGCAGAAGTTTATTATATCTGACGGAGGAGGAGGAGGAGGAGGATGGGTGGATGAGAGGTTAAAGGTGTTAAAGCAGCGAGTTAAACACCGTCACCCTCACTGTCCTACGTTAGAATAATGATCTGATTTCAGAAATCATCAATATTTTTAACCCTGAAATACTCGACTACCCAGATGCAAACAAACACAGATGATGGAGGGCGAATTGCGGCCATTAAACAAAGCAACAACAAAACAGATAGAAACACTGTCATAGTAGATACACTGAACAAAAATATAAACTCAACACTTTTGTTTTTGCTCCCATAGATCTCAGACTTTTTCTCTGAACACCAAAGACCTGTTTCATTTTTCCAAATCTGTGTCTGTGGACCGAGATCATCCCTCCACCTCACAGGTGTGGCAGATCAAGAAACTGATTAGACAGCATGATTACTGCGCAGGTGTCACAGCGTGGTCCAGTTCCCGCCAATATCCACCAATTTCACACAGACATTGAAGAGGAGTGGACCAACATCCTACAGACCATCAACAACCTGAGCAACCCTCTGCCCAGGACATGTGACGCACTGAGGCAAATGGAGGAAACACCAGATACACCCCCCAACCCAGACGCCCCCAAGACAGTAAAACTGCACTTTTGAGAGTGGCCTGTTATTGAGTCCAGTCTAAGGTTCACCTGTGCAGTAATCATGTCCAATCAGCATCTTGATATGAAACACCTGTGAGGTGGAGGGATGATCTCAGCAAAGGAGAAGTTCAGGAAATGAAACCCTTTAGATTCTCCTTCAATTTACTCCAATACTGATCCACACAACCTTCAGACACTCAAACAGACAGGTATGGACACAGACACGTATGGACACAGACAGGTGTAGACACAGACATAAACACAGACAGGTGTAAACACAGACAGGTGTAGTACCAGAGTGTCCTTGCTGGTGTAGTGGACCATCCATCCCTCCTTCATCACGTTGCTGCTCTTCCTCTTTGTGTGTTTGACGGACTGAACGACTCTCATCAGAGGGATGTTGTTACTGGTGGACGGGCTGCAGGGGGCGGGGCAAATGTCAACCTTATATTCTTATTTATTTGTATTGAATCTTTACTTACCCAGGTTAGAGATCGAGCTCGTTCCTGTTTCTGAGTGAGAGCGTTCGTTTACCTGATGGCCCGGTTTGACTCATCCAGGTCCGGGTCGTGCATGTCACAAAGGTCACTCGGCCCCGCCTCCAACAGGAGACCCCCTTCTGATGTCAACGCTTCATCCATGTCATCCAACAGGCCGCCTCCTCTGTCCAGGTCATGGTCATCGAGGCAACCCTCCACCATGACCACGTCCGACTCCGCCCCTGGACTCAGGAGCTCTACAGGACAAAGAAACCATGAAGTGGATCACATCAGGACCTGGGTTCTGCTCTGTGGTTTGGATTAGCTAACAGTGGATATCGAAGCTAACCTCCATTTTTGGAAACTTCTCCCAGGCAGTTGTTCGGGACTTTAGGAGCACATCGTTTGTGACAGTTAAACCGACAATCTGGAGAAGATACAGAAACAGAGCGATCATCGGGTCAGAGCAGAGACCGACTGGACATCCATTCGTAGCTGTTCTGGATGTGGTAGAAACTGGAGTTAAGAGTCAGATTAGAATCACAGAGTGACCGATAACCACCAAGAGGCGAGGTTTGATGACACCTAGACATGCTGTAGATCATCACCTGGTCCAACATGCTACACAGGATCAAAAGGTTTGATCTAAACACTGAAAACAAGACCAGAACTTTTGGCCCAACTTTGGCTCAAGGGGACGATAAACCTCCAGTTCAGTGAAAGAAGATGTTTAGAGATGAACTTGAATTCTTAAATGTCAGACGTTGGGATAAGAAACAGACCTTTGCACTGCAGGCCTTGTCTGAAGAGACCTTTCAGCAGCTTCTTGCAGTGCTGGCAGACAGTGGGTCGGGTGTACGAGTGGATCAGGAACGTGTGAGGGACTTTGACCTTTGACAGTAAGATCTTGTCCAATTCGATGGGACGACCCACGTAGGACTGAGAGCTGGAGCGCCGCTCTCTGCCTGGGAAGTACTCCAACTGGTTCTTCTGCTGCCAGAGGAGGCAAAGATTCATGAAGTTCATTAAAATTCATCCAAAATTTCACTGCAGAGCAACTTGTTCTGTTACTGATCCTAAGAATAGTTCCCAGATGACAGATGGCACGCTAGAAAACAAAAGCTCAGCAATCGGCACCAAATATTCACCGATATTTTAAGAGGGGTGGTGAAATTTTCAGGACAAGGCTGTTTTAACAACGCCTGTTTGGAGTTAACTTCATCACAGATCTCCAGACTGAGTTTACGGACTTTAGGTTGAATGTCTGATGGTCTCATGGTTATCTTCAAACCCATTCAAGTCCACATGAGAATATATGATATGGAAACTTTAGTGGAAGTAAGAGGAACAGCGATGGCACATCTACTAATTTAAGGACAATAAACTGAAGAAGCTTGAAAAAGTTCAATCAAAAGTTCGAGAGGTGAAACTTACCTCCATACTTGGACTGACTGGAGACTAAAAAGGTGAGAGAGAAAGAGAAAGTTCAAGGTTTGAATGTCAGAGAAAAAACACACTTTAACTCACTTCTTTATGGAAAATATAAATCATCATTTTAAGAGGATGGAGGACCTAACGACTATAAATGTAGTTTCAACAAAGCCTGATTGGTCATAAGGAGATACCGAGTCTTGTCTGAAGGTCAGTCCTCCAATAACAGTCATGAGTCTGAATCTACTGACCAGTAGAGCCTCGTCGGTGTAGTGAGGCGGTGACGGCTCAGCAGAGAGGGGGCGGCAGATGTTCACCAGCCCTCCCGTCAGAGAGACGTTGGACGAGCGGCGCCTCCTCACCCCGCTGCAGTTATTTGGGATCTTAAAGGCACAGCGCTTGTGATAGTTGAGACCACAGCCTGGACAGAAGGACACGGAGAGAGGTTTCAAAGTGGGTCTTTGAGAAGTTGAAGAAAACTATGGATTCAGTTCTTACCTTCACATTTGAGTCCCTGTCGGACCAGACCCCACAGCATCTCCCCACAGTGGTCACAGAAGGTCGGGGCTCGGTACGAGTGGACGAACAGACAGTGTGGACGGATCTGAAAGTCCTCCACGGTGGCTGAGGCTGAAACACAATCAGATTTAAAAAGACTTCAGAGACCATCAAATATCCTGTTGGAGTGATGGTCAAGTCTTCACGGCCTTCTCTACAATCAACTCTGAGCTGTGATGGTCAGACTGAGAATCACGGAATGTTCCTTTACTCTGCGACAGAGTTCCGTTCTCTTTGATCTTTTTTTCCTTTGATCTTGAATTCCGTGATTCAAACTTGATTGTTGGAGTTTCCAAATGTAACCACAGGAGTTACAAATGTCGACCCCAGCTGTGATAGACCATCTGTCACGACCCGATCCGTACGGAAACACGATTTTTACAGCACATGTGCGAAACGTACCTCACTTTCTCAACTAGCCATCTTTGCGACAGCTCAGCGATTCTTTCCCCCTTGAGGTTTGTGGCGGCTTCAACATCAGCGAGTTTGCTTCAGTTTATTAATGCTTCAGTTTATAACAGCCACACACTTTTCTTTTCTTTTCTCCTGCTTCCACAGACTAGAGCAGAGTGCTGGAAAGTCAAGAGAATGGCGCCCAGTCTTACGATTAACGGTTCCTACTCCACCAGAATTGTAAAATTGTAACGTAGTTCTAAAAGGCTTGAATGAATGTGAATATTTCAGTGTTGAAATAGAAACGCTGTATAAAAACGCTGAAATTCATCGTCCATAACGTGTCGGCTTCTTGTTAATAAATTTAATTTATAAAATTAATGAAATAATTCCCCCCTTGATACTTTGAAAAATCAGAGGACCATAATTTTGATCAGAGTTAATGCCGAGGCGTTCGCCAGAGCTCATGCCCTGGTTTCTGAATCGATCTGTAGTTTAAATAAAGTTTTTGAGGTGAAGTAAATTTGCACTTTTGCAGTGGGATCATGTAGGTAGTGAATCACTGCCGTAAAATACATTGAAACATGAATAGAGGAAGTGACGTACTTTTCGCACGTGCTCAGTACAAATCAAGTTCCCGGGACGGATCGGGTAGTGACACCATCGACACCAGGATCCCTCTGAGGACATGTGCTAACAGCAGACTGGATCAGTGTCATAAACCTGAACATTAATGAAGCTGATTGGATTAAAAAATCGAGTTTTGATGTTCACTGTCCTTGAGAGGAAGTGAATCTTTAAGTCCGTCAGTCAAATTTAACAAACATGAAACTCTGATGGTTGAATCTGTACCATCTCTGACCTCTCACAGACTTTTACTGCATCTGAACACAGAAATCTCAAAGTCAGCAGTCTGCTGTCGACTCGCTGCGATCATTGTTTTATTGTGAATAGATTGATCCATTTTTACAAATGTTTTCCAGTCTTTTCAGAGATGAGCAGCTGCTGGGCTGACGGCCACCATCACCATCTGAGCCCAAATATCCTCCAGCTGTTCGCACAAAAACTCAGTCGGACAATCTGGCAGCAGCGAGGAGTCCTGCTGACAAACCCACAACAATACAGAGGCATCAGCCAGAGCCATCGACCGGCTCTTCAAGAGTGAAACCAACTTCCTCAGTTCAACTCAACTACCCACAGGAAGAGTTTGAGACGTCAACGCCGTCTTCCCCGGATTTGACCTCACAGCACAAAGACCTAAAGGACAGTGGAGGTCTGAACGGGCCGAGAACCAGATATCAGAGGAGATTTTGAGGAGACCCTGATCCACCTCAAACACAACATTAGAAAAGAGTCTCAGCTCCTGGAGACAGAAAGAAACGGACACTTTAGGAACATGGTTCCAGTTCTGATGGGGACCGTCTTTGTCGTTGTGTTGGAAATAAAGCGGGGTGATAAAATTGGATCTAACAAAAACGAAGAAGAAGAAACAACGACCGGGAAACACGAGACGCAACATGGAAGAGGACGCACAAGAGGAGGGAGTGATGGTGGTTTTGGGAGTACTAAATCCCGTACGCTGTAGGCCGTGCTTTATTTTTGTTCACTTTATTTGGTTCCTTGTTCCTCAATCAGCTCGCCTCTTGATTGGCTACATTCCAACAATTCACAGAGTCATGATCCGGAGTCATCGGCTTTCCCCGAACACGTGAAGATTTTTGGTTTGTGGGCCCCGACCCGTTTCAGACCCAATTATCGGGACAAATTCACTCTTAAGACCTCAGACCACAGGATCATCTTAGACGACATAAGATAATCTTCTGATTGTCGTCCTTGGTCGGAGGGGGAAACTGTTGGTCCACAGTAGTGGTCCTCCACCCTGATCATCACTAGCTGGAGTCAAAATCGTAGTTTTTGACCTTGCCTAGAATAAAATGTGAAGATGTTAATTTTACATCCGTCTCTAAAGAGTTCCTGTTTTTTATCTCCACAAACTTCCTGTCAGTTTCTCCTGGAGACGGAGAAAGTAGATGTGAGGGGTTTTCTGAGGCGGATGAGTCCACAGTGGGTGATCTGGTCAATATTAGGGGGATCAGGATGGTGCATTCTGGACTTGATGAAAATAAGGCGTACGAGAGCGGCGCATTGATGTGTTTTTGATTGATTTGGAAACACAATGGAGCTCGACGGCACAAAGGAGGACGAGGAAAAGTACAAAAGATGAGATTTCATGTCATTAGTTTTCCAGTTTGGGTGGAAAGAGCCGGGCAGAGGAAGAGGAGGGAGGCAGATAAACAGAGAGGCAGACAAAGAGTAATGAATGGGTTGTTAGCGGGTATTTTGTAAATGTTTTGGAGCTATGAGAGGCTCTTAGTGGGCACAGATGGACCGAGTGTTTGTTCGGTTGGCCAGCAGGCTTGGCAAGGCATGATGGGTAGTTTTGAGCTGTCATTCTTCGCGGCTTTTTTCTTTCTCAGCGTGTATTTGAAAATCTCTCCCGCCTTTTGGTTTTCTTGCTGTGGTCCTCCAGTAGAATACGTCTCTGATTAGACATTCTGCTGCAGGAAATTACCTCCATTTATTCAAATTATTGTTTATGCCTTTTGTTTGGAGGGCCGACATACGTTTGGAAGTGTGAACAAGCTCCCAAACTGTTATTATATGCTTCAGAAAATGACTTGTGTGTGTGTGTGTGTGTGAGGGTTTCCTAGGTAGTCCTTGTCTGAATTTAAATGCCTGTTTATGTGCTGGAATTAGGAGTGTTAAGGAGAGCGCGCTGCAGGCTTGTTAGCTCACAGCCAGAAAACAAACACTGCGTCTGGAGAAACTGTAAACCAACAGCATGTGGTGAAGCAACAATTAAAGCCGAGCTCTTCAGAAGAACACTTCCTTAGTGAACTTTAAATCTCCCAGAGATTGAGGAATATCGCTTTTTTAAATCTGTGTCAACACGACCAAAGTGGACCCTGATCCTCAAACTCACAGACTGATGAAACTCTTCACGTCTCTAATATCCTGACACGAACACACGAAGAACTTAAGGGGCGCCATGAAAACTGATCAAATAATGTTTGATTTATTGTTCGACTTTATGCTGCGTTCAAGTTTCCTCGGAAGTCAGAGGTCGGAGCTGAAAATGACGTCACACCCGAGTTCTCAGCACCAAGTTGGAAAAAAGCAAAATCGTAGGCGTGAAACAAGATGGGTATGTCTAAGGAAGTTACTTTCGCACTTGCCTAATATTCGGACAAGGCTAGCACTAAGGTCGCTTCCACACCAGAGCTGTTTGGTCCGCTTTAAATCGACCAGAGTTTGTTTCCTCGGATAGTCCGCTTCGGATGTAGCGACACAGGGCTTGACACGACCTTTATTAACGAAAAAGTAGGGAGCACAGGAAGAACTTTAGGGGCGCAATAAAAATTTATCAAATAATGTTTTTCTCATTGTCCGACTTTATGCTGCGTTTGAGTTACCTCGGAAGTCAGAGGTCGGAGCTGAAAATGACGTCACACCCGAGTTCTCAGCGTTTCAGTTACCAAGTCAGTAAAAAGCGAATTTGGAGGCGGAAACAAAATGGCTACATCTATGAAAATTATTTTAGGTCGCTTTCACACCTGACAAGCGGACTTGGTTTGATTGTGGAGCTGATAGTCGCAACATTGTTGCATTTATCACCCGTTTCGGTTCTGCTTTAACACTGTGATTTCTGAAGCGCACTGAACTTTCTGAGCAGCATCATGTGGTTGAAAGGGGCGCTCATCGATTGGACAAAGTAGGAGGGGTTTGTAACCTCACGGATTACAGACAGGGGTGGACTGGCCGTCTTGTATCATGCTTCATCGCATTATTTTATGGAACGCTACATCCGAAGCATGTATTTTTACTAACAGTCTGAAGGGGGCGACACCATAAGAAAACAGGAAAAGCCTTTCCAAGGGTTTTTATTAACAGCGAGTGTTAAACTTGAAACATACATGATCCCTAACGAGCGCATGATGAATGCTATTTTAGCGCTAGCCTTGTCCAAATATAAGGCAAGCGCTATAATAACTTTGGTAGATGTAGCCATCTTGTTTCAGGTCTCTGATTTTGCTTTTTCTGACTTGGTAACTGAAACGCTGGGAATGACGTCATTTTCAGCTCCGACATCTGACTTCCGAAGTTACTTGAACACAGCATTAGTACTATTGTTAGAAATATTATTTGAAAGCGTGAAGGTCCTTAAACCGTTTGTTTGTTAGTGGAACATTCAAAGACACCAGAATTGATCAGATAATCCATGATCAGAGCTGAAATCAATAGACTGTAATGGTACCTAATGGACCCTCCTCTCCTTCTCCCCTCCTCTCTCCTCTTCCTCCTCCTCCTCCTCCTCCTGTCTCAGGATGCTGACACCCGGTTGAAACACTTTAGTTAACAGCTCTCTGTCAGTCTCTGCGACAGCTCCGAGTGTGGAGGAAACAAACAGGAAATAGACTTTGTGCGGGGTAACAGGCAGCTCCAGCCAAGAGATCTGATTGGTCGCAGACGACCTGTAAACAAACATCCTGATAAATCCCGAAGCAGTGGAGCTGACAGGTTTCACTGGCTGTGAGTGGAAACGGGGAGAGCTAGTTAACAAACTCCGCACTTTCCTGCTGTTTGGATTTAGCTCACACGCTGAGCTCAAGTGTTAATAATCCAACATGAACCTGAAGACTGCGGCGCTCCTTCTTCAGCTCGACTCTGGGTTTTATCTCATTGTTTGAGTTTCATTTTCTGTGACAGAACAAAAGTCTGATGATTGAGAGGACAACAGTCAGTTCAGATGGAAGAAAAGACGTCTTTGTTTCCTCTCTTCTGTAGCAGGGCTCAACAGTTCGACCGTTTCACTCACATTTGTGACTAAAAATAGATGTGTGCAAATTGTAAATGTTAGTTTTAGGTTGTATATATTTTTCTGTAAGTACGGCGGTGAAGTTAGTTTTAGGTTGTATATATTTTTCTGTAAATACGGCGGTGAAGTTAGTTTCAGGTTGGATATATTTTCCTGTAAATACGGCGGTGAAGTTAGTTTTAGGTTGGATATATTTTCCTGTAAATACGGCGGTGAAGTTAGTTTCAGGTTGGATCTATTCTCCTGTAAATACGGCGGTGAAGTTAGTTTTAGGTTGGATATATTTTCCTGTAAATACGGCGGTGAAGTTAGTTTCAGGTTGGATATATTTTCCTGTAAATATGGTGGTGAAGTTAGTTTCAGGTTGGATATATTTTCCTGTAAATACGGCGGTGAAGTTAGTTTTAGGTTGGATATATTTTCCTGTAAATACGGCGGTGAAGTTAGTTTCAGGTTGGATATATTTTCCTGCAAATACGGCGGTGAAGTTAGTTTTAGGTTGGATATATTTTCCTGTAAATACGGCGGTGAAGTTAGTTTCAGGTTGGATATATTTTCCTGTAAATACGGCGGTGAAGTTAGTTTTAGGTTGGATATATTCTCCTGTAAATACAGCGGTGAAGTTAGTTTCAGGTTGGATATATTTTCCTGTAAATACGGCGGTGAAGTTAGTTTAAGGTTGGATATATTTTCCTGTAAATACGGCGGTGAAGCTAGTTTAAGGTTGGATATATTTTCCTGTAAATACGGCGGTGAAGTTAGTTTCAGGTTGGATATATTTTCCTGTAAATACGGCGGTGAAGTTAGTTTTAGGTTGGATATATTTTCCTGTAAATACGGCGGTGAAGTTAGTTTCATGTTGGATATATTTTCCTGTAAATACGGCGGTGAAGTTAGTTTCAGGTTGGGTATATTTTCCTGTAAATACGGCGGTGAAGTTAGTTTTAGGTTGGATATATTTTCCTGTAAATACGGCGGTGAAGTTAGTTTTAGGTTGGATATATTTTCCTGTAAATACGGCGGTGAAGTTAGTTTCAGGTTGGATATATTTTCCTGTAAATACGGCGGTGAAGTTAGTTTTAGGTTGGATATCTGACGGACATTCTCTGAGGATCTACCGGTGTCTTCTCACTCTCCATAACCGGGAATAACAACAGCAGCGCGGTTTAATCTACTCGACACCCTCACTGTCAACGTCGGAGTTGAATAAGGGACCGTCAATAAATTACCGGTTGATGTTCTCAGAAAAGGCTGTTTTCCTTCAATAGCTTCACTGTCATGTGACCAAAAGACCTAAAATTGTCCTAAAATTCTCCCCGTGTCTGTGTGGGTTTACTCCGGGTATTCCATTTTCCTTCCACGTCCCAAAAACATGCAGAAGTGGGGTCAGGTTAACTGGCCACTTTAAAATTGCCTGTAGCTGCGAATTGGCGGCTTGTCCAGGGTGTCCCCTGTGACCCCGGGAACAGGAATAAGCGGTAGAATATGGATGGATGGATATCTCTGAGACTCTCAGAAACAAACACCAACCATCTACAGACACACACATAGAAAGGCTTGATTACAAACACACACAAACACACACACTTCACTGAGTGGTGACAAAGAGACAGGAAACAGCGGCTCAGCAGCTGTGGGCCTGTTAGCATCAGCGCCTCGTAAACACCTGAGTCCTGAGCTGGACGGCAGCCAAACCGAGCGTGGAGGTCTTCATCAGACACTCCTGGATTCTTGTGTCAGGTGTTCATCAGGCTGCTGAAACTGTTTAACACACCTGTGTACTCCTCCAATTAACAAGTGAGTCAGTGTGTGTGAGAGGTCTCCTGTTCAGACTTTGTTTTCTTCATTTTCACCTCCAACCCTGTTCGGATTCCAACCTCACTAAATTTATCTCAAACAAATCCTCCACCAGAGAGGAGATATGAAGCTTTTACATCATTATTCAGGAAGTGAGAGCGGTGTAAGCAGAGTGAGACTCTCACACACTTCTTCACTCCGCTCTCTTTATTTTTAGACTTTTAACAGAGTTCCCGCTCGTCTCAGTCAGGGGTGTCACGGTTTGTTTCCTGCCACATGTAGAAGTAGTAACAGCCAGTAAATCACTTCTCTTTATAAAGTTTGAGTTAGTTTTGGATCCGTCAGTGAACGTCAGAGGAACGACCTTAACCCCTCGGCTCCTCCTCTGTCCGTTTTGAGGACATTTGTCTTTTTTGTCCTCTTTATTTTGAGCTGACAGTCACATTTTTAAAGACTGGGGCATCAGATTTGGTGAGAGTTATCACATCTCAAATATGCAGTTATTTTTATATTAGTGTAATCACGGTCAGATTTTAGTTAGAGGAGGATAAACACTTAAATAAATAAATGATTCCTATCTTACAGATATCTGCTGATTTTATATGTTTATATATAAAATTAATTTAATATGAACAAATGAATTTGATCGTATTTGATTTGGTAGATTTGAGGTTCGTGAAAAGGAGGTGAAAATGTCGTGTTTTTCTGCTACAACACTTTATCAATAACTATGACATGTTGCAAACAAATTGGCATAAAAAGGGAAATACATCTAATTTTTTATTCATAATTTTTTTAATGATCAGGGATGAAGTTGTTTAAGAGATATGAGTCAAAAAAAGTAAAAAAAAATGTTAAAAAAATGATGATTTTATGAACTCTTATCTGCATGTCCGTTTTGGGGACAAAGTCGGCTGGATGGAGCTAAAATACAGAAAATTGTCGCTACAAAAAGAATTTAAATTCACCAAAATCGGTTTTACTTCTCATTGTTGACATGGCCCAGACTTTATTTATTTAAAAAATTCATCTAGGTTAATTTATTTGGGAAATATGGTGATTTTGTGTTTTTTACCATTAAAAATAAATATGACATGTTGCACAAAAACTGGCATAAAAAGGGAAATACATCAAACTTTTTATTCATTACTTTTTTCATAGTTAGGGCTTAAGTTGTTTGAGAGATTTGAGTTGAAAAAGGTAAAAAAAAATGTTAAAAAAATGATTATTTTATGAACTCTTATCTGCATGTCCGTTTTGGGGACAAAGTCGGCTGAATGGAGCTAAAATACAGAAAATTGTTGCAACAAAAAGGATTTAAATTCACCAAAATCGGTTTTACTTCTCATAACTGACATGGCCCAGACTCTATTTATTTAAAAAAAATCATCTTGGTCACTTTATTTGGGAAATATGGTGATTTTGTGTTTTTTACCATTAAAAATAAATATGACATGTTGCACAAAAACTGGCATAAAAAGGGAAATACATCAAACTTTTTATTCATTACTTTTTTCATAGTTAGGGCTGAAGTTGTTTGAGGGATTTGAGCTGAAAAAGGTAAAAAAAAAAGGTTAAAAAATGATGATTTTATGAACTCTTATCTGCATGTCCGTTTTGGGGACAAAGTCGGCTGAATGGAGCTAAAATACAGAAAATTGTCGCTACAAAAAGAATTTAAATTCACCAAAATCGGTTTTACTTCTCATCGTTGACATGGCCCAGACTCCATTTATTAAAAGAAAAAAAAAATATGGCAATTTTGTGTATTTAACCGTTAAAAATAAATATGACATGTTGCACAAAAACTGGCATAAAAAAGGAAAATACATCAAATTTTCTCTTCATTACTTTCCTAATAGTCAGGACTGAAGTTGTTTAAGAAATATGAGTGGAAAAAAAGTTAAAAAAAATTTTTTTTTTAATGATTAAAACTAACAGGGTCCGAGGGTTAAAAATGTTGTTTTATCTGTTTTTATTATATTGCCGTAAATTTTATTACTTATTGATGTGTGTTTTTATTCCCTCATTCTGTACAGCGTCTTTGTGTTTTTGAAAAGCGCTTTATAAATAAAATGTATTATTATTATTATTATTATTATTATTATTATTATTATTATTATCTTATTCCTGTGGATTATAAATCGGTCTGTACGGAGAGCAAAAGCAGGCAGAACATCCTTTCTCTATTCAGGTGTTTCTCTGGCCCCTCCCACCTGTCACGTCTCACCTGACAGCACCGCCTCCACCAGGTCGCCCTCCTGGATCTGCGAGGCCGAGCGGAGCAGCTGCAGCACGTTTTCAGACGCCGGGTCATGGCGGAACAGCAGGATCTTCTCGTACATCCCGTAGAACACACACTCGGGGATCTGGCGGAGAACACGCAGGACAGTGTGTGGCGTTAGTTTGGAGTCACTTTGAAAAACAAAGCAGGATTTTTTTTTCTCCCTTTTTTTTTTTTTTGGATTTTATCCCTCGCCACTTTTTTTTTTGGCGTTGCTGGGAGGTTTTTGCAGCCAGTAAAAACAGGAGGGACAAAAAGCGTCTCCAGTCACACTTTAAACGTACATATGTGCATGTGAGGGAGTATTGTGTGGATATAGACTTTAAAACATGTTTACATACCCTTTAATGAGGGTCGTGCCAATAAAGCGATATTTAAACTAAAGCAAGAAAGAGAGGGGGGAGGAGAGGAGACGGCGTCCAGCGACCGTTCAGATACAAAGAGAAGAATAATGAGGAGAAATGAGAGAAGAGCAGAAATCAGATTAATCAAATGATCATAAACAGCAGTTTTGATGCATCATCCCTCCATTAATCTGATTCATTCTGGACCTTTTGTTTCGATTCGTCATCATCTCACAGATTTATGAATTTAACAGAAACACCTGCTGCAGCCGAGGAAGGATCACATGTGATTTCAGCGCAGACAGGATGTCAGCTGACCGTGTTTAAGGACACGTGAGGTCGTGGTTACCCGCTTTTAATCGCTCTGATGGATGCTCACATGGACAGAGTGGAAGAGCGCGCGCGTTCATGCACGCCGCGGCGTGGAACCGCAGGAAGGCGAAGGTGCACTTCGCTGTTCTGTTCGGGATCAATGAGGAAACGCTGAAATGAGCAACACCACGAGCTGCTGCAGAGTTACTGCTGAGCCGGCTATCGATCACACACACACACACACACACACACACACACTCCAGCTCAGAGAGTACAGGGGGATATCTGGAGGAAAAGACGCCACAGAACGAGGAACTGGTGATATGTTTGAGTTTGATTACAGCAGGATGACGAACCTTTAAATCTAATTCATGTTTCCTGGTGGCGGGCTGACCCTGATCGCCGCCACAGGAGGGGAGGGGTCACTGGAGAGCTGATATGGGATTTTTGGAGTAATAGTAATGTCACATGACTAGAATTCAACCATAATCAAACAGAAACAGAGCCGCCAAGCGTCACGCTTTGAGTGCGACAGTCACGCAATTTGACCCCATCAGTCCTCTGCGCCTAAATCTAACCAACCACAGAAGGCACCACGCAATATAAACCAATCAGAAGCAGCGTTAGGAAGGTCTTGGTGTCTCTAACGATCTACTCTAACTACCCTAACACTACGTTAGAGTTACCTCAGACGTCAGATGTCGATGCTGAGTTCCCAGCATTTCGGTTACAAAGTCGGAAAAAAGCAAAATCGGATGCCTGAAACAAGATGGCTACATCTACGAAAGTTACTTTAGCGCTTGCCTAATATTCGGACAAGGCTAGCGCTAAAGTAACTTTTATAAATGTAGCTATCTTGTTTCCTCCTCCGATTTTGCTTTTGTCTGACTTCGTAACTGTGACCCTGAGTTTTTTCGGGTCTTGGCATCTCTAACTATTTTATCACACACAACAGCGCCAACATTTAAAACCTGCTTGACGTAATGCAATATTGACAAATAAATGTATTTTGTCAAAATTCGACACGAATATAAAACATGAAATTACGAAATATTCAGCGGCAAATTTTGACGCCCCGTACTAAACACATCAAACCCGATGCAATTTTGCGACTTTTCGGGGGGAATAAGACTTGTCCTAGGGAAGACTTTTCCAAGGGAAAGTCCCGCCTACTTAGCCTCTGATTGGCTAGAAAAGCTGGAAACGTCATCACACGCTCAAGACAAACGGTCAGCAGGGTGTGTTAAGGGTGTTCGCCTTTTTTGACGACGTTTATACCTGGTCATTTTCTGAAACTTTGCAGGTCTGCAGAGACTTAAATGAGTTAGAGTTTGTTTTAGTCCCTGCAGTCAAAGATGATGGATGAAATGGTTCGGCTGGATTTAGCCGGTGTGTGTGTGTGTGTGTGTGTGTGTGTGTGTGTGTTCTAGTCTAAATGAAGTGTGTATCCTGCATCATTCTAAGAGGAGGAGGACAGACATGTTGATATTAATACACCTGCAGAAGTCTCTTCACCTTATTTAGCATCAGCGTCAGTGGAAACGTTTCATAGATGATGCAGAGTGATCAGGTGGTGACGCGGCGTAGACTCCTGACAGGGCGAGCAGGACTCTGACTGATCATTAACTAACGTTTAATAGAATCTAACACACACACACACACACACACACACACACACACAATAACACACACGTGTGTAAGTCACAAAAAAATGTGTTCGGCTGGAGAGAAAGAGGAGACGGAGGAGAGGGATCAGCCTTGAGTTTCTGCTGCCATGACAACAAGACCAGTGCTGCTGCCATGGCGACGCACACGCACTCACACACATACATAAAGATGTATTTCTGAAGTGTACTGTTGAGGATATTATTGAAAGGCAGAGACAGAAAGGGGCACTTAAGAGGGAGAGGGGCGAGAGAGGATAGCTGGGAGATGAAAAGAGAGAGAGAGATGAAGACCCCCCCCCACCCTCTTTATCTCCATCATGTTCGACAGTCTGACCGTCTTCCTCTTCCTCAGGATTTAAACAGTCACTTCCTCTCGCCTTTGTCCTCCATTTGCGCTACGATGAAGACCGCCAACCGAACAAAGAGGCGTCCACTAAACAGAGTCTGTTCATGACCAGAGTGTGAGACTGTCAGACAGAGGACAGCAGGTTTAAAGGTAAAATAATGGACACACTGAGGGACGGTGTCCACTGACAACATTTAAATACAGTGTCCAATCAGAATCAAGAGGAGGCGGGACTTCAAATATCGTCTTTGTCAACAACAATAGTAGAAGTCTGAGTGAAAAACTTCAATGAAAACTCGGCTGATGAATAAAAACTGCAGTTTCCTGAGTGTCCACTAGAGGTACGCTGCAGAATAACCACAAACCATATATGTACGGTGGCCAAGAACTGCCACTGCTGCGAATAAAAAAGAATGCAAAAAAAAAAAGGAGCCGCAACGGAAGTTACTGATGCGAAAAAAAGGAACAGAAGCCAGCTGTAAATAAAAAAGAAACAGTGAAGATTAAAAAAAAGCCAAAATGGAAGTTAACGACGCAAAAAAATCCTGCATCCTTTTATTTTTGCAGCAACTTTTTTTATCACCTTTTTTTTTTTTTGTGCCGTTAACTTCCGTTGTGATTTTTTTTCCTTTTTTTTTTGCATTTGTAAATTCTGTTGTGACTTTTATTTATATATATATGCACTGTTTCTTTTTATATTTGCTGTGGGCTTTGGTTTCCTTTTTTTTTATTGGTAACTCCCATTGTGACTTTTTCATCTATTTCTGCAGTGGGCTTCGGTTTCTTTCTCTTTGTTGCATCAGTAACTTCCTTTGTGGCTTTTTTTTTTTGCATTCTTTTCTTTTTTTTTTTTTTTTATCTGCAGCAGTGGCAGTTCTCGGCCACCATACATATGTACTTGTTCAAAAAAAGCCTGTCTTCTAAATAAACATGTTTACAGCCCGGTTCAAAAACTAGTCTGAATATCTCAGCTCTCATTTCTTTCACTCTGGACACTAAAAGATGAATTTCTTATAAATCCTCACAAACACACAGAAACACGTTTCTGACTTTAAAAACTAAAACTGTCGTTTTCTCTTCTTAAACAATAAGAAGAGAGGGGACTATTTTTAACAGCGGATGAATCCACTAATCTAGAATACGCAGAATGGATTTAAGGAGAGAGAATCTGACAGATAAGAGGAGGAGAGATGGAGGGAAAGAGGAGATGAATGAAGGATGGAAAAAAGGATGAAGAGAGAGATGAATAAAGAGACGTGAATGGATGGAAAAAGTGCAGATGAAAGAGAGAGAGAACAATGACAGGAAACACACATCTGTCCTCCTCGCCTCCATTCAGTGTGTGTGTGTGTGTGTGTGTGTGTGTGTGTGTGTGTCTATAATGGCCCTTAGAAGGACACTTCACAGCCGCAATCATCATCAGTTGCCAGGCAACGAGGAGGAACAGCTACCGACAGAAACACAGCGTACACACAGCTTTATTATTACTGTCACAGGGAGGCAGAGGTGTGTGTGTGTGTGTGTGTGTGTGTGTGTGTGTGTGTGTGTGTGTGTGTGTGTGTGTGTGTGTGAGAAGACACAGGGCTGTTCAGTGACACTCACAGTGTGTTGGACAGTGTTTCCTGTCATTACTGAGATAAAGTCGTCCTTTTTCTTCAGAGCTGAGGCTGAAACCTTTGACTGTCTTCAGGGAAATTTAAACACGAAATCGTCTGTTTATCGGCGTTGACGACATTTATTACGATCTTTTAACCCGGCCGTGAATCTGGTGCAAAGTACTGACATGCGTCTGTTGTTGTTTCCACGCCCAGTTTTCACGTTGTGCCCCCACGCCATCGCCCGTGGATACGATGACCTCTAAATAAAATGTGGTCAACCGTCTGACTGATGATCTGGAGGATGGATCCATGTGAGTTTGATAGTCCCCTTACTGAAACTTCTGCTTCATTCCCCATACTTTGCAGAACAACAACACGGCACATCCTGACAATCAGTCAGGAGTGACCATGGCTGACAGAAGAGAGGTTTGAGAGAAGCATCAGTTTCTGCTGAGTCTCAGTTTCACTGTAAATAGAACATAAGTATAAAGTGAGTCCCACTGAGGTTTCAGTCTAGCTTACTTAAGGTGGTTCAGACCTGAGAAGAAACAAGTTTTCGGATGATTTAGAGGTCAATATCAGGTCTCTAATGGCTCCCATTCATCTGTGTCTGTGAAGTCTCAGTTTCACTGTAAATGGTAAGTCGTAAAAATAAACGGATTAGTTACATTTTTACAGTCTCTAACTGTTCCTTTTTATCTCTTGTAAGTCTCAGTTTCACTGTAAGTAGTAAGTGACACTTTGCTCTGGTTTCTTTTAGGTCTTTGAACCTGTAAGAGAAACTAAATTTATGGTGATTTACTGATAATGTTCACAAACATTTCCTCTACTTGAATTATTCTTTGGTTTCAGGTCAGTCTCAGTTTCACTGTAAATAGTAAATCTTTGCTCTGGCTTCCTTCAGTGGTACAAACCTAACCCTCAATCTCCACCTTCATCCTGATCGTCTCCTAAAAGGTCGTATCCTCCGATCGTAGCTGATCGTAACCATTCAAGTTAACGTGTCGATTTACACCGACTTCTTTCTGTTGGACGCCGGAGCATGGCGGATAAATTCAGCACAGATTAACCCGTGCTGGAAAGGAAGTCGGACACAGACTTCAAAATAAAACATCCGGCTTCTTTTCAAAATAAAACACTCTAGAAGTCTAGAAGTAGATTTCCTCCTCTGGAAGGACACAATCTACTGCTTATATGTCTATGTGTCTGTCTTTAGAGAGACAACTCGTTAATTTGCGATTGAACGTGAGTTCTTGTGACTTCTCGCAATTCCTGCTGTCCGTAATCCACCATGAAATTGGCCTCACAAACGGATCCGGTAAGAATTGGCGTACAGGGAAAATCGCCACCGTTCTGGATGTGGTGGAAATCTTGGGTAAGGCTTCACTCTGAGTTACTTTGGTCAAAATAAAACCCTAAAATAATCTGTTACTCATGATTGACCCTCATATAAGTCGTATTGAACTCTTCCAGTTTTAACTGTTTGTCTGAAAAGTCTCAGTTTCCTTGTATCTGTACGAACACTCGGCTGTTTTCTGAGGCTCTAGTAAAAGGTCAGTCGAGGCCGATGATGAGTTGAAGAGCGCGATGAGTCGAGAGCTTGTGGGCGTGGTTTGGATCATGTCTGACCTTGTGGTTTACACTGATGTGATTAAATGAGACGGCGTCTGCTCTCTGTCCGTGTCGGGATGTAAACTCTGAGCTGCAAATCTCTGCGAGTGTTCGACCGAGGACAGAGCTGAGAGGTGAGGAGTGTCTGCTGAATCCAAACAAGATCCATCATCCTCCTGCAGAGTCACTTTGAAGGAACCGACCGGCCGTCCTTTATTCTAAACAAACATCCACCTTCACTCCTGAACGGGGCGCCGCGAATCTCACCGAGAGCGAAAACCTGAGAGAGATCCCGGCTCTGATTGGACCTGTGAAGTTCTGGAGAGTCTGATTCATTTAAGAGGGTTTATTAAAAACACCTGTTCTCACACACACACACACACACACACACACACACACACACACACACACACACACACACACCTTCCCGGGTTAATCAGTTCATTTGCTGCTATTTGAAGTGTTAAGTGTCGCGTGGTGCGAGCGATGTCACAGGTTTGGCGTGCAAACAGGTGTGGAGGTGACCAGCTGCAGAGAGTACACAACAACCCCTCTAATAAACACTGACATCCACATGTGTGTGTGTGTGTGTGTGAGATATGTGTGTGTGTTCTGTCACACGGTGTCAACCCGTTAGCGTCCTGGATCTCAGGTTTCAGGTGTGTTCGCCGCGCTCAGGTGTAAAAGTCTCACAGCGGGAAAATGAGGTGATTTTCACCTGAAATGAGACGATTAGTGAACGTTAACGGGTAATGGACACATCACACCAGGAGTATATTAAAGTGTGTGTGTCTGTGTGTGTCTGTGTGTCTGTGTGTGTGTGTGTGGGGGGTGTCTCCTCTATTTCATCCTTAATTTTGTATTTTTGTTCCTTCAAACTTCAGCGCTGTTTCGGTGAATCTGTTTGTCTGAAAATAATTTGAGGAACGAACTTTCAGTCTCTGACGGGTCTTCAGGTCTGAGTATAATGCTGTGTTCCAGTTGTCAGAGAAGTCGCCTGAAGTCGGATTTCCAACTCAGAAAGTCAGATGATCCTCACCAACCCCGACTTGGTGACAACGTCATAATCCAAGATGGCAGCACATCAACAGTTTAGAGTAACAGTAAAGCTCTAGTTATGTTTTATTTATTATCACTTCTGTTTGTTTTTGTGAAGTTAAATCAGTGGTTTTTGTCGTACTGCCCAACGTCTAACTGTGAACTGTATGGATTTATGTGCTGTCGAGTTAGTATATTTGAACAAGAGCACAGTAGAGTTAAATCAGCTAATTTTCCAATGAGGTTCTGTTACTGAACGGAACTACACCATGTTCTACTCAGGTTAGTACATATAGGGTCACAGCCATAGTACTAGACACCAAACATCTTTTTAACTTTGACTCATTTCGTTAACAAAGAGACTAAACACAACTCACCTACTCTCTTCCAGCAGACGCTTGTTTGTAGAGAGACCTCAGGCCAGTCCATTATGGACTACAGCGGGGTGCCGCAGCTCAAGGAAGAACATTTATGATCATTTCTTCATGGAAACACAATCAGACCGAGACGCTAAGGCAGAAGAACTACCGCGTCTGTAAAATGATCAATATGGTGATTATTACTTTAAGGAAATGATAAAGAAATGATCATAAATGTTCTTCCTTGAGCTGCGGCACCCCGTTGTAGTCCATAATGGACTGGCCTGAGGTCTCTGCACAAAAAAGGGTCTGCTGGAAGAGAGGAGGTGAGTATTTGTAGCTATAGAGTGGCGTTTTGGTTGGGGGCGTGGCTCTCTGTATTTCTATCCTGTAGTCGTTACTAAAGTTGGTATAACTAGAGAAGCAAGCGGTCGACAACATTCATCTCTGGAGGGGGGGTCTAACTCGGTGTTACGGTGCCGGAATTTCCCTTTAAGGGAGTATATTTCAGATCATGTCAGGTTACATCCTCATCTACAGATCTGCTTTATTAAAAACAAGAAAATCTTCACATGTGAAAAGGACTGAGGAAAGAAAGAGACTCTAATTTAAAAATACTCGTCTCTGGCAAACTGACGTCGGTGAGTCACATGTAAGAACACGGTTGTTCTCTGAGGTCTGGATCCAGATCAGATTTGGTGTCTGGACGGAGAGAGAAATCACATTCATAAGGACATGATTGTTATTTGTGTAAATGAGCGGAAAAACAAGCTCACATTCACAAACTCATGAGTTGTCAAAGTGAGAAGGAGGACATCTATCACATTCATAAGGACGCTGACACTGTCTGTGTGTGTGTGTGTGTGTGTCTGTGTGTGTGTGTGTGTGTGTCCTTTAATTGCGAGCGCTTGGCAACAGCTTCAGTTCATAAAGCAAAAGCCAGAAAAACAGAGAAACCCCTGCAGAGCGAGCAAACAAAGGGAAGGATTCATCTTGTTTCCAGCGAGAATTGACTGAGCTTCAGCGTGAGTCACCACACTGACTAACGCCGCCGCAGATTCGCCGCTTTCCACAATCACACACACACACACACACACTGTACGTTTTTACACGAGGAGGGAAATACCGACAAACACACGGGAAGCCATCAGGGAAATGTTGTGTGTTAATGGAGTCAGCTGCAGCGGGGCGGGGGGGGACATTTTTAGAGGGTCTGTGAACACGTCCAACACCAACCAACATGGAGGACGAGGAAGAGATAACCACGAGTACAGACCGAGGTCTTTGTACTGAGTCTCTTTATCAAGGTGGCGACCAATGTGACGCACAAGGTTCAACGTTAACCCGTGATTTTCACCACATCCGGAACGGCACTGATTTTCGCCGTCCACCAATTCCTACCGGAGTCCGACGATCCGCAGAGGAACGGAAAGAAGTCGGTGGAAATCAACACGTTAACTTGAATGGTTACAATCAGAGGATACGACCTTTTAGTAGATGTTCAGAATAAGGTGGAAATTAAGGTTGAGATGTTGTTTAAAACTAATAATGCTTTGTTGAAAGGACAACTGGACTTACTTGGGACGTTTCACCTCAGGCAAAACGTCCCAAGTAAGTCCAGTTGTCCTTTCCAAAACAGTGTTAGATTTAGATTTTGATCCGCAGAGGAACGTAAAGAAGTCGGTGTAAATCCACACGTTAACTTGAATGGTTACGATCAGCTACGATCGGAGGATACGACCTTTTAGGAGACAATCAGGATGAAGGTGGAGATCGGGGGTTAAGGGGGGCGACACCCTGAGAAAACTGGAAAACTGTCCCTAAGTGACGGATTGTCATTAACAGTAATGTGTTGACCCTAAAACATACAGGATCTGTAATGAGTGCGTATCGTCAACATCGTGTATCACACAGCAAATAGGTTCCCATTCTACTCAATGCAGACAGAGACGCAGGACGCATCACACCTCCGTCTCGAAACGCACCAAGTCTATTTTCTCTGCTCTACGCTTCCAACACACGTCAATCTACACAGAGAAGATCATTCTAGACAGGAAGTCAGGTACAGAAACCGTGCATGTCATCCGGCAAATTTCAAAATAAAACACCATATGCGAACTCCAGACTATGTATGTTCTGGATTCATCAGTAACAGAACAATCTGATGGTTGATCCCTGATCCATGTGGACCCCAACAGGACTTTGACCTGCTAACTCTGTCTGAAGGGAACAGCAGACAGGAACAGAGTTTACTTTATTAAACACCAGGAAACCTGCAAAAACACAAACTGGAAAATCACCTAAAGCTTTTTCACAGACAGTTGAGGATCAACAGTCACTGAGTGATATCAGAATTATCAGGAAATCGACTAAAGAAAGGAAAAACAACAACCTGCTGTGAGGATGTTGTTTACTCTACACTGAGACCAGCTGACCGCGGCTGAACTACGCTCCAAATAATGCTGATGCGCTGTACTAACGTGCTCAGTATGGATCCTGTATGTTTTCAACTTTAGAATAAACGGCATTTGAAACTTCATCCTCGGAGTACCACAAGGCTCCATCCTGGGGCCGCTGCTCTTTCCTGTGGAGATGTTTGCTGACGACGCCGTTATTTCTGTATCAACAAACACCTCAAGGCAAAACTGTTTCCATGTGTTTCCTCATGAGCCAGAAACCGTACATTGATTTAAGACAGTTATTGATCAGGAGGAAATACAGAAGGTGATTGAGTTTAAATATCTTAAAAATTTAAAGACCATCATAGAAACACCATGAAGACCAGTCTGGACTGACTCAGAAGATCCTGATTCTGACGGCCCGGTTAAACATGGACTCTGTGGTTTTCTCTGTCTGGTTCCATCAGAACTGAAGTCCATCCTGTCAGTCTACAAACTCAGAGACCCGGTCAACATTCATGATGGAGGGAATCCATGTTTTTCTGAACATCATGAGACTCTGAGAGGTCGATAGAGTTCAGTCTCCATCATTGACCCGTATTGACGGCTCAGATGGACCCCGTCGCCCGCGGCCATGAACATTACATACATACATTACATTACTGAGTCCATATATTATTGACCACCCCCCCTCTGCTCAGACATGTGTGGAAATAATGACAATGTCTGCTCAGGGTCACTCTGTCTGTCTGTGTTTATAAACAAGAACACTGAGGGACATCTAGCTGTCTGACTCTAGACCACCATACATGTATAGATATAAAAGATATAGATATATGATAAATAGATCAAATATCGATTTACTCGATCTGTGAACGTTAAAGAAGCATTAACTCAAAAGAAACGTTTGTAGAAATCGGAATATTCAGCGACGTCTTCAGGACAGACTCTAGACTGAGGCGCCCCCTGCTGACCCCTCTGGTCAGTAAAGTGACGGTGGCCTTTAAGGACATAAACCCTCCTATTATCACTATCATCAAAAATGTCCCTGAAGGTTATTTTGCACGGAGCAGCCACAAAAACACGGATGTAGAAACATGGCGTTGTAGGATGGCGGCCTCAGTGGCGGGGACTTAAAAAGCTCCCTCAGAGTTTGAGCAGCTAAAGGAGGAGCCAAATATACGTCCTACCCCGGCGCCTGTGTTGTTGCGTGTTTACGTTCTGTGGTCATGTGACCCACAGACTCTGCTCTGACATCATCAGGTCAGAATTCAAAATGACCTCCTAAACGTCTATGAGAGATGAATCCTGGACAGGAAGTGGTAGAGCGTCTTTGAGGTCATGTGACTAACCTCAAACGTCTTGTGTTGTGACTAAACCTCACACTGCAGCTGAGATCTTCAGACGTACTGTACCTTTAAAACCAGAGGGGGGGTTTAGACTCTGGACTAAGTCACTTTTTAGACCCGTTCCCACCTCCACTGCTGTCAGTCCCCCCCACACCCTCAGAATAATCCAGCCCGGGTCGACAGCTGCTGTTATGGAAGTTCTGGTTCTGTCAGCCATGTTCTCAGTTTTAGTCTGTGTTTAAATGTTAATCTGAGTCTAAATCTGAGACAAACTCACATTAACGCTGTAAATCAAACTAAAATCTGACATTTTCAGGCTCAAACTTTCACATCTGAACTCTGATCTCCCTGAACTCTTCCTCTGCTGAACCTCATCCTCTCTCTTGAACTTCTGTCTAAGTCTGGGGGGTCTGCTGAGGACGCCGTCTGCACTGTTACCTTCTGGTCCACGATGGAGCACGCCACCTCCCGGACCTGACTGAGGCTGAGCTCTGCGGCGTCCAGCAGCACCGGCTCCCGGCTCAGACCGATCTGGATGTGGAAGGAGATCACACCACCTCCTCCTCCTCCTCCTCTGTCTCCCCCGGGACTGGTGCCGGTGTTGCTTGTCCCCCCTGAGAACGGGAGCGGGCTGGGCGCACGGATCAGCGGAGGCGCACTCATATGAACCGTTTCTCTGGAGCTTTCCGACCTGACAGGAAACAACCAGGAGGCGCGACGACGGTGAGGAGGGTCCACGAGGGGGGAGAGTGGACGTGGATCTGAGCGGTCCAGGGGAGGATTTCAGACCGTGGAGAGGTGCGGGATGTTCGGACGCAGGAAACTCCGCGAAAGCGTCAAAAAGGAGAGTTGAAGAGGAAGGCTGGAGAAAAGAAGAAGAAGAAGAAAACAACACTACTTAAAAAAAACGAAACTAAAGAAGAAGAAGAGCTGAGAGGAGTCTGACAGAGACAGGATGTGGGACTACAGCAGCCATCATGACTACATGACTGGACCGGAGAGCAGCGTGGAAACCGGTGATGAGGGTGACAGAGCCGCGGACGTCAACAGTGGCTGGAGAGGAAGAGGAGGAGGAGGAGGAGGAGGAGAGAGGAGGAGAGAGGGAAACCTCCTGGACTGCTGATGAAGGACGACATCTTCACTGACGGTTTAAATGCTGATGTTGGTTTTATATCTCTGATCAGGTTATTGATCAGGTTATTGATCAGTTTCTGACTTTGATCCATTTCTGTTTTCAGTTTGTTCAAATTAAGACTCTTTAAAGTTTGATCCTGTTCTTATTTACATTCTTTCTGATCATATTTCACCTCATTTTTGCATCAAAAGTGGAATAAAGTTGAAATGAGTTCAAAAAGTTCTGAAATTCTGAGTTTTAAAGATTTAAAATCTGAATTTATGAACAACAAGTATCTAATAAAGTCCATATCCTTCAATTTTAAATGTAATTTGGGATTTCCACCACATCCGGAACGGCGGCGATTTTCACCGTACGCCAATTCCTATCCGATCCGTTAGTGAGGCGAATTTTGCAGCAGGTTACAGACAGCGGGAATCGCGAGAACTCACAAGAACCTGCAGATTCACATTCAATCGAGTTGTCTCTCTAAAGACAGACACATAGACATATAAGCAGTAGATTGTGTCCTTCCAGAGGAGGAAATCTACTTCTAGACTTCTAGAATCAGCATCTCCTCATCCATGGTGTCATCGGGGTGAAATGACGTCTAAAAACCTTTCACTTGTTCGTCTCCGCCCGTTTGCATGGTGTGAAATACGATCCTCCTGAAACACGGAGTGTTTTATTTTGAAAAGAAGCCGGATGTTTTATTTTGTGTCTGTGCCCGACTTCCTTTCCAGCACGGGTTAATCTGTGCTGAATTTATCCGCCATGCTCCGGCGTCCGACGGAAAGAAGTCGGTGTAAATTGACACGTTAACTTGAATGGTTACGATCAGCTACGATCGGAGGATACGACCTTTTAGGAGACGATCAGGATGAAGGTGGAGATTGTCGGTAAGTTTTGCTATTTTTTCCCAACATGAGCTCCAGAAAAGTTAAGATGTGGTGGAAAATATCAATAAAACAGGATACGATGGTTTGTTTATTATTTAAAGCCTGTATTAACAGGACTCTTCTCCTACAGAGCCGTGCTGTTTGGGATCATCTGAAGGTCTTCTCTGAAAAAGTCGTTGTCTGGATGGATGCAGATGTTCCTCCTAAACCTGGAGATGTTGTCTAAAACTGAGGATGCAGCATCTATGATTTCCAGTTCTTTGTTGGAAGGTGCCTTAGGCGAAACGTCAAACAAATCTTAACAAACAAACAAATCTTAAATTCTGATCCATCAGACCCCAGGACGGTTCTCCCCATCCCCCTTAGTCCACCTTAAATGGTCTCATGTCCATGGATGGATGGATGGATGATGGATGGATGGATGGATGGATGGATGGATGGATGGATGGATGGACGGATGGATGTATGGATGGATGGATGGATGGATGGATGGAGGTGTTAAAATGAAGATAAATCAGAGACGTCAAAAAGTCACAGATGGAGGAAAACGTCAAAGGACGGAGGGACGAGTGAGAATCTGCACACCTGTTGGATGTGAGCGCCGCTGCTGCTGTTGTCGCCTCAACCCAGAGACTGAGTGAAGTGTGCTGGTTGCTAGGAGACACACACACACACACACACACACACACACACTTAGACATATACCCAAAGAAACACTCCTGCCAACCCTCCCACGCTTCAGCCTTGCCTTCTTTTACTTCCATTTATTACTGAGGATGATGCCAGAAACGTGGTGTGTGTGTGTGTGTGTGTGTGTGTGTGTGTGTGTGTGTGTGTGTGTGTGTGTGTGTGTGTGTCAGTGAATGTTAATGACACACTAAAATCACAACAAACATCTCATTAGAGCCACAATCCTGTAAATGACTGTTGATGTTGAGACGGTTTATTCGCACAGTCATGTGACTTTTTGGTCGTCGTTCAAAAGTCGCTGTTTACAGTCGAATTGTGTCATTTTTGTGGTCTTTGTCGTCACTTTAGGCTTTCACTTTTCAATAAGCTGTTTTTGAATGTGGTTGGTGTTTAAAGTCCTAAAAGCTGCAGTTCTCTAAATGTCCACTAGAGGCTGTGACCAAAAGTGAGTCAGTCCTCATAGAACCTCATGTTAAAATGACAAACTTAACAGTGAGAATAAACATGTTCACAGGCTCATACAGAAACAATCCGACAGGATTTTAGGAAGAGGAGTTTATTTAGTATTTATCGTAGAAAAAAAATACAAATTAAAAAATATCGGGAATCTCCGATCTACGGTTTTTGGTGAATCCTTACAGTTTACACTTCATTTAGACGAATATGGTTGGGCAATCAAGACCAGCAGATTTTTACGTTATACACTCTGATATCGTAGCTCCATAAAGGTGTTCCACAGAGCTCCATGAAAGGCCCCTCTGTTTTCTATTCATGTGAATAATTGAGGCCAAAATGCGTCAGATCCTGAGATCCATCTTTACGCTGATGACGCTCTAATGCTGCGTTCGAGTTTCCTCGGAAGTCAGAAGTCCGAGCTGAAAACCACGTAACACGTGAGCTCCCAGAGTTTCAGGTACCAAGTCGGAAGAAAGTAAAATCGGAGGTGGAAACAAGATGGCAACATCTACGGAAGATATTTTAGTGCTAATACAAGCAAGGACGAGGCAAACGCTAAAACAACTATTGTAGATGTAGCCATCTTGTTTCGGCCTCCGATTTTGCTTTTTTCAGATTTGGCGCTGGTAACTCAGGTGTGATGTCAGTTTCAGCTCAGACATCTGAATTCCGAGGAAACTCGAACGCAGCGTTATATACTGCTGTGCCGCGACTCTGTTACAGGCAGCCAGTGTGAAACAGCTGTTCAGGGTGACATTAGAGACTGGAACTGGTTACTAGTTATTGAATTTCCTTTCGTGGTTCGATAAAGTTCTTCTTCTTCTGGAGCAGTTTCCTGTATCAGCTGATCGTACAGCTCTTCATCCTTCCTCTGCAGACTGCTCCTCCACCCCAGCTCCACCTTTTAGTGCTGAGTCAGCGTCATATAACCATCACTCAGTACGTTTACATGACGGGTCAAGAAAACCGAATTATCGCCTTTTTCCGATTAAGACGGAGTTTAAGAACTTCAATTAAGACACCCAGATAACGTGATTGGAATTCGATTTTCTCTACCATGTAACCAGCGTAGTCAGAGTATGATCGGTTACAGGCCACGCCCCCATAACCCCGTAACAAACCCCCAGAGTAGAGGAGTAGCGTTGGTCTCCTCTTTAGAAAAAGTAGCGCGTCCATCATGTCGGACAAAAACAACGCTGTACGATGCTCCATCTTCTTGTTTCTCCAAAATGCCCAGCAGCAGTTGTAGACACTTCTGACGTCTGACACCGACCTGCTGTTGTTGTTGACGGTTGGATGGGGTCGGAAACAGCGCCGCTGAAAAGACCCATATCGCCCCCTAGTGTTGGGGAGGAGGACACGTTCACGTCAATAATTCAGTTTTCTCAGCTGCATGTAAACGAGGACGAGGAGAGAAGTCTGATTCAGAGAAAAAGACGAATAATGGTGGTCTGTCCTGATGTCCTGAGGAGAGTACCGGTTTTGTTTTGGTTGTGGTTTGAAGTCCTGATCCAGATCCACAGATTTTTAGAGTTTTTCGGTGACACATGAGGCCTTGGCGTGTCAGAGTGAACCCAGATCAGGTGGATTAATCCAGGTGCTGTTTGTCCTGCTGTGAGACAGATTATCATCCAGAGGGAGTGATTTAGTGAAGTGCGAGGGAGTCAGATTAAATTTTCAGGACATGAAGCTTTAATCCCGTCACAGGAAGAACAAACCCCTGTGTGTGTGTGTGTGTGTGTGTGTGTATTATGTAAAGCAGACACATCTCCTTCCTCGGTGACTCACTCTCAGAGCCGTTTCTCTCTGTCGATCCTGAAAATGTGCAGCGTAGTAATCCGCCGTATTTATAGTCCGGAGCGATGAGTCAGAGTCGGGGTCGCTCCCGGACCGACGTCATGACGACACAAGTTTATTACTAAGACCAAAGATGGCAGAGATGGTCGCAGGTTTTCCTCTTATGGTGACGTCTGAAGAAGCTTCACGTTGACCTTAAAGGTTAAAGATGTTTATCAGTCCGATTATTGATTCATGGTTTTAATGATCCTGTCGGAGACGCATACCGGGTCTGTGTGAGTCCTTCATGGAGGGATTATAAAACTGTGGATCAGGACTAACAAATACTGTTGTGTCGTTCACGAACGATTCGTTCAAAAGAACCGAATCTTTTAAGTGAACATACTGAACTGAATCACTTTGTGGTCGTTTGTGTTTCTTTAAGGTCGTGTCCAGATTATTTAGAGTCACTTTGAGTGTCTGTGAGAGTTTAGTCTGTTTTTGTGTACTTTGTGGGTTTGTTTTTGTGTACTTCGTGATTGTTAAGTCTGTCTGTGTGGGTGTTTTGTGTTTCTCTGTTCACTTTAGTTCGTCTTTGTCTTTGTTGTTTCTTTAAAGTTGTTTTTAAGTCTATGAGTTTTTATTTGTTTTTTAGCTCTTGTGTTTTTTTAATCGGTCTGACGGTTGTTTTTTATTAGTTTTTTCGTTGTTTTTCGTCTCTTTGTTTCATATTTTTTACCCTCCTGTTAAAATCGTTTCTCTCTTTCTGTCTTTCTAGTTTCTTCCTGAGCTCATTTTATCTCCTTTCAGCTGTTTTAAGTCTCTTTTTGGAGATTTTAACTCTGATCTGAACATTTATTTGATATCAGCTGAACTCTCTGTGGTCTTGTTTTAACATCTCTGGTTTATAAATTCAGCTCTTATGATCGTCTGAAGTGAGTTTGAGGTCGTTTTGTGTCTCGTCTCATAGTAACAGGTGTTTTTCTTTTCTTTAAATAAGGTTTTAAGTCTCTTTTTAGCCTTTTTATGTTGCTGTAGGGTTTATCTTATCTCTTAAATTTGGATTTTCCTCTCTTTCTCGTCGTTGTACCTCTTGGTTTGTGTAAACCTCAGCAGCTGGTGAAGAAAGCAGAGTGTGTAGGGTGGATTAAAAACTGTATTGATCGGTGTTTGGCGTCGGTTTTATGTTGGTCACAGATTTACAGTTTGAGTCAGCGGTTCAGCAGGAATCCAGACTTTCCCTCCTCCAGTCCTGACTCCTCTGACCCGCTCTGTTAGAGATCTGTACACTCCTACAAACACAAAGAGAGTTTTTCTCTGCCTGATCCTGGTTTATCTGGACCAACGACATCTCCGACATCTCCGACATCCACGTCTCCTTCAGACTAAAACCTGATTTAAAGGATTAAAATCACAGAGGTGTTTCCTTCATGGACAAAGAAAAGACAAAAGTTTAGAGTCAGGATCAGTTTCTTATTTCTCAGTTTGTGTTACTCTCTGTTTTTTTTTTGCTTCACTCCCTCTCCACCTGCTCGTCACCCTCACCTGGTGTCAGTCTCCTCACCTGCAGATCGTCCTCCAATCAGACACTGATGAAGAACCATCAGTCTGGAAGATCCACTCAAGACCCTGTTTGAGGACTTTAAACCCTAAAGACCAAACTCATTTGATTTCACTGTAAAGGTGAAGAAAGAGAGATTTGGAAATGACCACAGAGACACTCAGGCCGCTCTGAAAGTGGGCGGGGTTTCCTCCATGTTTGATTTTATCATTAAAATCCAGAAACATCAAAAACTCCAAAAACTCCATCTGAAGAACAGAAGAGACTTTTTTTTACTGTATTATTTATTTTCTGCTTTAAACAAACAGTCTGATTATCTGTGTGTGTGTGTGTGTGTGTGTGTGTGTGTGTGTGTGTGTGTGAGTGTGTGTGTGTGTGTGTGTGTGTGTGTGTGTGTGTGTGTGTGTGTGTGTGTAAGAGGAGTGATAAGGTGATAAGGGCCGACAGGAAAGATAACAGTTATTATGGCTCTCAGTGGACATCCCCGACTCACCTACACACACACTTAAACAAACACACAAATACACACACTTAAACACACACACACACACACACACACACACAGGTCAATTTACAGCTAGCAACTGTAGATTTGTTCATGTCCCAGTGGGCTCGATTAGTGTGTGTGTTCAGCCATGTTCTGATTCCACACACACACACACACACACACACACACACACACACACACACACACACACACACACACACACACACACACATCACCAGGCAAACAAGAAAACATGTAGAAACTCATGTAAACATGCAGCTACATGTGGACACCACGTGTTTATTGTGCTGGTGAGTGTGCACGAGGGTGTGCACGTGTGCAGATCTGAGTAAACGACCATAAACAGCTGATTAAAAAAACAATCGGTAAATCTTTATTTACACTGAGTAAATGCCACCGTGTATGATGGGAATTCACTGCGTCTGACCGCTGACCTTCGTCTTTCTCTTCATCCCGTTATTCTTATTTAATAAAGTTTATCAATGAGACAAATGAAGAGAAGAGTGTGTGTGTTTGTGTGTGTGTGTGTGTGTGTGTGTGTGTGTGTGGTGGGGGGGCTCATTTTCCTGCAGGTCTGAGGAGAGAAAATGAGACGCAAACAAGCTGATGACACCTCGCTCTATATTTACACTTTAAAGCACCTGTGTGCCGTTTTTATCAGTTTGTCATCCTACCACTAGGGGGACAGCAGCTACGTGATCATGATTTCAGTGTGTACTTTAAATCTACTGAACTTTAAAGGGATATTCTGGCGTAAAATTAATTTAGTGTCAAACACACCGTAACACCGAGTTTCACTTTCACTGTAGTAAAATGAAAAGGTAAAGGTGTTTTTATTGAGCCGAATTATCAATAAAATAATGATTTTGTTAACAGGTATGGATTTATGTGCTGTTGAGTTAATATATCTGAACAAGAGCACAGTAAAGTTAAATCAGCTAATTTTCCAATGAGGTTCTGTTACTGAACAGAACTGCACCATGATCTACTGAGGTTAGTCATTTCTTCATGGTAATGATCATAAATGTTCTTCCTTAAGCTGTTATTTGTTTGTTGTCTGTTATAAGTTATTTTTTTTGGTTTGAAGTCTTTCAAAATAAAAGCAAATATACCAGGAGTACTTCTTTGAAAGTTTATTTGAAAATAAAAGCGAATATTATGGAAGTACATTTTTTTCTCTTTTTTTTAGGCAGAAGTTGATTTGAAGCCCTTCAAATTAAAAGCAAATTTAATAGGAGTACTTTTTCCCTTTTTTTTTGTTATGTCGAATGTTTATTTCAAAATAAAAAGCAATGATTCTAGGAGTATATTTTTTTTCTTTCTTTTCAATTCAATCACAAAAATATTTTTTTACATCTGAAGTTGGTTTGAAGCCTTTCAAAATAAAAGCCATTACACCAGGAAGAATGTATTTTTTCATCGTGTAAATATATTTTATTTGTTTAGCGTTTAATTTTGTGTATATAATGTTAAAATATGTTTTTTGTGAATTCATGTGTTCAACAAAGAGGAAATACAAAATGTGGAGACCACCTCAGACAAACTGGAGTGTGTGGGAAAAAACGTCACCTGGGGTCCTCTGAGTGGGGGTGGGTCCTGACAGTGGAGGTCTGCAGCCAGACCCCTCTCTGTTGGAAGAAAGAGCCCAAGAGTAACGTCAGTAAATCTCATATTTTTCATCAGGCCTGACGTTCGGGGTCCTGTTACAGTCTCTTAATTATGGACAACAACAAAGAGGGACAAAAAGGCTCCGTGTCTGGAGAGGGTTCCTGCGCTGCGTTTTGGTGCTCGGGCCCTAATAAGAAAAATAGTGGGTTTGTGGAGAGAATCTGTGACCTGCTGTGACTGCGGAGATGTTGGATTTTCTGTTTGTTTTTGTGTTTCATGAATATTTAACGTTTTCACTCGACAAAAACAAGAATAAAGAACAAAGAGCCGCAGCGGAGCGAAGCTTTAATCAGCCTGTTATGAATGTGAGAGTGATTGTGTTGTGCTTAAGAAACAGCCCTCCCACTGGAAACACACACACACACATATACACTACACACACACACACACACACACACGCACACCGCTTGTTTACAGACAAACATTGCAGGAAAACATGAAGTCAAATCATCATCTCGAGAAAATCAACACTTCTAAACAATCAAAACAATCTGCAAACACATGATTTATGAATTTGTTTGAATGTGAGTGTGTGAGTGTGTGTGTGTGTGTGTGTTTGTGTGTTTAAGACAGAGAGAGCAAACAAACAAAGGTGTACGATGTCTTTAAAGCGTTCCTGTCTTCAATACAGAATAAGTGGTTTTCTACTTTAAAGACCAAAACACAGAAATAAAGTTTTATTTTGAAAATATCCACAAACATGTGGACAGGATGGAGAAATACAAAGTTAAAAATAACAAATACTGTCAGTATAGTTTTATTTTGAAAGGCTCCAAACAACTCCCAGTCCTCACAGTGGAGGTCTGGGCTCTATTTTCGTGTCTCGCCGGCGGCATGGCATAGGCGCGGCATAAGTTAGGTGCGCCGCGCCAACAAGGCGTGCCCAAGCACATTTTGGTATTTTGGTGAGCGGCGCAGTCCGGCGTAAGTATCCCCCCTCCCTAACTCAGCTCCTCCCAGCGGCGCAAGTCGTAGAGAAGGAGGGGAGAAGGCGTGGAGTGGGTTTAACACAGCTGAGACCTGTTTTCACCAATCATATCACCTCCTCTCCTCACCTTTAAATCCGCCACCGACGAGGCGTATTACTATTTTCGTGAAGTAGTCAAAGAGATCAAGAGATGTCTGAAGACAGCAACGCCACACGATGGCGACAGAAGGCATCCCCTAAACAAGTGTCAGATTATTAGTTCTTATTGATTATTTGTTGCACTGAAATGTTCCTGACACTGTGGAAACCTGCCGGTGACGTATGCCGATACGACGCCGGTCTACCAAAATACCTCTAGACCAGCTGCGCTCCGCTTGCGCCAAAAGCTGACCAGGTTTGAATCGGCGTGCTTTCAGCGCACTTTCTATGCCGCTGGCGAGCACCAAAATGTCACCTGGCGCGCCACCACGCCCAGCTTGGCGGACCTCGGTGCTCCTCATTCCATGAGGCCAGACAAAAATACCACTGCGCGGGGTCCGCCACCCTCCGCCACGCTGCCGGCGGGCACGAAAATAGAGCCCTTTATCTCTTAATGAAACTAACTCCACATCCTGAAATCTACCACACCCTAAAGTGCACCGTGTGACTCCACCATCATCTAGAAAAACACCCCCCCCACACACACTCACTCACACTGTGGGAGTGTGTGTGTGCTCGTGCATGGATAAGTGGTTCACAGCAGGCTGGGTGACAGCGTGCAGCACACACAGCAGGACCTGCAGCACTTCCACAGATACATGAATCAAAGAGGATTTTCACATTTGACACCGTGTGACGCCTGAAGGTTCCCACGCTGCCGCCTGACAGCAGGACGCCGATCTGTTGTGATAATATTGGATCTTTATTTTGTTTGTGAATCGTTTATTTATTGTGTTTACAGACAACAACGGGAAACTGTAATGGAAGAAGAAGAAGAAGAAGAAGAAGAAGAAGAAGAAGAAGAAGAAGCTCGACGAGAGAGACACACAACTTGACAACTGGACTTACTTGAGACATTTCGCCTAAGGTGAAACATCTCAACTAAGTCCAGTGTTCCTTGAAACGAAGAATTAGAAATCATAGATGCTGCATCCTCAGTTTTCGACAATATCTCCAGGTTTAGGAGGAACATCTACATGACTTTTCATTGTTGCTCTGTAGTAGAAGGGTCCTGATTATTGATCAACAAGTTTCCGATTTAACAAAACTTTTCACCTTAACCCTCTCTTCCTGTTAACTTTAAGCTCCATCCAGACGACTTTGTCCTGTTACAGATGGAGGTCGTCTGTGACCTCCACCTAACGAGCCCCTCACTCAGCTCACCTGTCCTCATTACACTCAGCTGGTTTTCATCAGCGTAGGTCGTCTATAAGGAGGTTCTTTCACTCCGTTAGGGATGTGACAACACCTTCAGTTGGTTTCTCTTGGTTTGTGTGTTTGAGTGTTTGAGAGAGGTTGAGTTTTGAAGGAAGGAAGGAGGGTAAATTCTAGAAAATTCTACCTCTGTTTGAGGCCTTTTACTTTGGTTTGCCGACTTTTAGGCAAAATTAGTGGGTGGTTGTGTGGAAGTATAACTCCACTCCATCTTTTAGAACCCAAAGGCCTTATTTTTGGTTTTGTTTGAAGGTGCAGATGTTCCTTTTGTTACTTTCCCTGTCCGTGACCCTGTCCTTCACGTCATGTGACTTGCAAGATGAAACTGTCCCCAAAACATGCAGATAAGCGCTCATAAAATTATTTAAAAAAAAAACAAAATCCTTTTTTTTTAACTTATATTTCTAAAACAACTTCAGCCCTAACCATTAAAAAAGTAATGAATAAAAAATTTGATGTATTTCCCTTTTTATGCCAGTTTTTGTGCGACATGTCACTGTTAGTTTTTAATGGTAAAAAACACAAAATCGCCATATTTCTCAAATAAAGTGACCAGGATGAATTTTTTTTCTTTTAATAAATAGAGTCTGGGCCATGTTAATGATGAGAAATAAAACTTATTTTGGGGAATTTAAATCCTTTTTGTTGTGCTAATTTTCCGTATTTTACATCCATCCAGCTGACTTTGTCCCCAAAACAGACATGCAGATAAATGTTCATAAAATAAAAATTTTCTTAAAATTTTTACTCAAATCTCTTAAACAACTTCGGCCTTGACCATTAAAAAAGTAATAAATAAAAAAGTTGATGTATAATTCTTTTTATGTCAGTTTTTGTTCACCATGTCATATTTATTCATGAATCTATTGGAGCAGAAAAACACGACATTTTCACCTCCTTTTCTGGAGTCTCGTCTTCTACCAAATCAAATACGATCAAATTAATTTATTCATAATAAATTAATTTTATATATAAACATATAAAATCAGCAGATATCTGTAAGATAGGAATCATTTATGAGTGTTTATCCTCCTCTAACCAAAATCTGACCCTGATTACTCTGATATAAAAATAACTGCATATTTCAGATGTGATATCTTCTCCCCTGATGATCTGAAGGACCTGTTCATCCTCATGCATGTCCATCCACCTGCTCTGAACTGAGGACAAAGTTGAAATTGTCCAAATGTCCCCCTCTCTTTGTCCCATACTGCAGAACTTGGACGTCAGATTGTCGACTGTAAAAACTCACGTCATGCTCGGTTCTAAACATGGACGCAGATTCTCACCCGTGCACACACGCAGGAGCACACAGACTTTTCTCTACTTGACTGTCAGCTCAGAATAAAGATGAAAAAAAGACAAATGTCCTCAAAAGAGGAGGACGGAGGAGAAACAGAGGGTTAAAGAGTTCCTGATTTGTTCATCTTCACTTCACGGTTATTTTTAAAGTACATTAATGAGACGGTAACAAAAGGCCTCCTCAGGAGAAACACCATTTCTTCTCACGACATATGTTCCCCTGTAACACGTTGGAATAAATTACCAAACAGTCTTTATTTAATCATCCGAGACTATCGCCTCGCGCTGCTGTCGCTCGCGGCGACACATCCTAAAAACCTGCGCTGTAAGAAGTGACGGGATGCAGATGATTCCTCCTCGCTGGTTTTCACCTGGAGTCTGAAAAAAGAACAATATCAGCGGAACTCGACTTTTGAGACGGCCTCTAGTGGACCCCTGGGGAAGTGCAGCCTCTGATCCGACAGCTGTGTTAGAGGGTTTTACAGGCTGCATGTATCATGCATGAGTGTGCGCTGAAAACATCCTGTACTCAGAGGGTGGAGAGGCTCTCCAGAGCTGAAGAGAGATGTTTCTCCACAATAGAAGACAAAGGGCTCCAAACTGAACAGTGAACACGATGAATTTCACGTGTGTCTGTCATGAAAATCACCTCTGAATGAAGAGGCTTCCTATCGAATCAGTCAGTCAGTGCTTTATGAAGTGATTCTGAGTTTAAAATCATTTAAAATGGATGCAGAATCTATGATTTCCAGTTCTATGTTGAAAGGACAACACAATAAGTCCAGTTGTCCTTTCCAATAGAGTGTTTGATTTTGACCCATCAGTCCACATTAAATGGATTCAGGTCTAGAGAAGTCTTTGGTACTTACTTTGTAGAACAGGCCCCCGGACTCGACAGTGCGACCGTTTCATTCACATTTGCGACTTAAGTGAGTCGCAAATGCAAAGTCGCAAATAACTAACGCGGTGAAGTTAGTTTCAGGTTGGATATATTTCCCTGTAAATATGGCGGTGAAGTTAGTTTAAGGTTGGATATATTTTCCTGTAAATACAGCGGTGAAGTTAGTTTTAGGTTGGATATATTTTCCTGTAAATACGGCGGTGAAGTTAGTTTTAGGTTGGATATATTTTCCTGTAAATACGGCGGTGAAGTTAGTTTCAGGTTGGATATATTTCCCTGTAAATATGGCGGTGAAGTTAGTTTTAGGTTGGATATATTTTCTTGTAAATACAGCGGTGAAGTTAGTTTCAGGTTGGATATATTTTCCTGTAAATACGGCGGTGAAGTTAGTTTTAGGTTGGATATATTTTCCTGTAAATACAGCGGTGAAGTTAGTTTTAGGTTGGATATATTTTCCTGTAAATACAGCGGTGAAGTTAGTTTTAGGTTGGATATATTTTCCTGTAAATACAGCGGTGAAGTTAGTTTTAGGTTGGATATATTTTCCTGTAAATACAGTGGTGAAGTTAGTTTTAGGTTGGATATATTTTCCTGTAAATACAGCGGTGAAGTTAGTTTTAGGTTGGATATATTTTCCTGTAAATACGGCGGTGAAGTTAGTTTCAGGTTGGATATATTTTCCTGTAAATACGGCGGTGAAGTTAGTTTCAGGTTGGATATATTTTCCTGTAAATACGGCGGTGAAGTTAGTTTCAGGTTGGATATATTTTCCTGTAAATACGGCGGTGAAGTTAGTTTCAGGTTGGATATATTTTCCTGTAAATACGGCGGTGAAGTTAGTTTTAGGTTGGATATATTTTCCTGTAAATACGGCGGTGAAGTCAGTTTCAGGTTGGATATATTTTCCTGTAAATACGGCGGTGAAGTTAGTTTCAGGTTGGATATCTGACGGACATTCTCTGAGGATCTACCGGTGTCTTCTCACTCTCCATAACCAGGAATAACAACAGCAGCGCGGTTAAATCTACTCGACACCCTCACTGTCAACGTTGGTGTTGAATAAGGGACCGTCAATAAATTACTGGTTGATGTTCTCAGAAAAGGCTGTTTTCCTTCAATAGCTTCACTGTCATGTGACCAAAAGACCTAAAATTGATTTCAGATGACAGTACTTAAGTCGACCATTATTTTCATTGTGCCCTAAAGTTTTTTGTGTGCTCCTTACTTTTACAACTCAGGAGAATGTGTGAAAAAAGTTTGTCCAGTCCTGGTTTTGGTCCTTGTCTCCAGATGATGCTGAAACTGTTCAAGTTTTTTAAAATCGCTCAGCTTCCAAACTTTCTGAGGACTAAAGTTCAAACTCTGGTTATTTGTGTGAATTCCCCCTTTAGTCCGTCTATAATTAATCTCATCGATGTTCGATCTGACAGCTACATGTGAACTTCAGACTCCGGTGGAGATGCTGACAAAGAAAAACCAAATCGGAGCTGCACCCTCAGACGCTCCAAACTTCAGTTCGTCGACCTCGTCAGGTTTCGTCTCCAGATAAAATCACGTGCGGCTCTTGTCACCTTTTGCAGCGGCGCCTTCATCAACATATGTCGGAGGAAATGAAACATGAAAGCTGACAGCTCTGCCCTGAGGCTCGCCTGCAGGCGTCGACGCTCGTCAATATTTACATAAAACTCACCAGGGAAACGGTGAATATGAAGGTGACGATGCTCCCGCCCCTCCGCGCTCACCGCCGTGTGTGTGTGTGTGTGTGTGTAGGAGTGTGCGTCTGTGCCCCTGGGTCAGTGCTGGAGTCCTGTTTCCTGTCATTCACAGACATCAGGACTTGTTTTTGTCATCTCTGCATTTATGGGCTGAAAGAAAGTGAGTGAAAGCAGCACAGTGTGAAACCAGCGGAAACCAGTGGAAACCAGTGCATCTACTGGTTTTACTTGGTGGATGTCCTGGATCTCCTGATCGTCTAACTTTAACTACACCAGCTTTGTTTTTTTTAAAGCTTTTATTCCGTTCCAAAACACTCTTTTGGAAAGGACAGTTGGACTTACTTGGGACGTTTCGCCTGTCCTTTCAACGAAGAACTGGAAATCATAGATGCTGCATCCCCAGTTTTAGACAACATCTCCCGGTTTAGGAGCAACATCTGCGTTCATCGGGACACCAATTTTTTTATAGGGAAGACCTTCAGATGATCCCAAACTACATTCTGACAACAGTTGAAATGTGGAATGTAGAACTCTGGCGATCAGCTGAGGGGCCCGGCGATCCTTAGAGGAACTGAAAGAAGTCAGTGTAAATTGACACAAGTTTAGGAACTCGCGCAACACTGTGACCACAATCGGTTAATCGATTTAGTTTCAACTCAAAGAAGTTGGCGTCCGGCTCGACAAACACAAGAGACCGAATGTTGAACAATGTTTTAAAGTTCACCTTGAGTTCGTTTTACAGATGCATCTAGTTATAAAAGTTGGTTTAACCGGATCTTCTTACCCACGGCGATCTGCTCTCTCTGCATCCCCGTTTTTTCCTCCAGCTTCGCCATCTGATCCGTCACCAAGTTCTTCTCATGGAGCAGGTCGTGAAGCGCTCCTCAAACGGACTCATTTCCTGAGCCTGTAACCGACACAAACTGCACAATAGTTATACGAGACGAAACTCGAAGGATTTCTGATAAATAAATGAGTTATTTCACCGACCTTGGTTTGATCATTTGCCTGAAAACTTGCCGTAGGATGACTGGTTTGCTGACTCCGCTGAAGTTGCGGTTGCAGAGGGGGAGGAGTTTGAAGGAGGAGACAGATTTTTCATGAAACATCATTTTGACCTGATGAGGTTTTTCTTGCAACCCGTCCTCGGCTGAATTGGAGGCGCCGACTCGAACAATGTGGACATTTTTCCATCTCGGAGGAAAAGAAACACATGGCGGCGTCTCTCTGACGCCTCGTGTTTGTTTCTGTGTTTCGTGTTTGGTGAGAGCGAGCTACGGTTCCACGAAAATGTGAAAGTAATTAAGATAAACTGTAACATGCGGGAGGCGTGACCTGTGACCCGCACACAGACACGTTTTCAGACTTCCTGCAGCGCCTCCCCGCCCCTCCCACCGCTGCCCTCTGACTACTGTTGTACCTCGCCACGCGCCGCCGTCGGCAAACTTCTCCTCCAAACATTTGCACAACAACAACGACAGCAAGTTTACTGGGAAGAGACGGCGGCTTTTTAGCACTTTGCCGCTTCTCGCACACCCCACGGTGACGGGAATCGCACCCGCCGAGGGGGGAGGGGGCTGCAAAGATGTATCGGCGGGTGGTGGGTGTCAAATCTGTCAGAGTGCTGTTCCCTCATGAGTGTGTGTGTGTGTGTGTGAGAGAGTGAAGGGTGTGTGATAGTTAACTGATGCATGAGTGTGAATGAACTGTGAGTGTGCGTCTCCACAATGGCGTGTGAATGACTGTGTGTGTGTAAGTGGGAGCGTTCTGAGCATGCTCAGTGCAAACAGGCAGACAGACTCTATATTAGAGGAGAGAGGAGTGTGTGGTCGTTTTCGAATTCGCCGTCTATCCTAACAGTTCATCCTGATTTTTACCAAAATCTTGTCTGCAGTAGGTGAACAAAAAACCCGATGATGTACTGATTCAGGAAAATTTCACAGTATGCATCTGACCAGTCTGCTTCGCCTACTGTTACCCACAATGCAAAGTGCCTGGGCAGACAGCGGAATAGCGGAGAGCGGCAAAACTTTTCACCCGAGCATTTATTGACAGCCAAAAGATTTCTCCTTCTGACTTCCTGTCTTCTCATTTGAACTCTCTGGAAACACCGGGTTGTAACCCCACCCTCCTGGGCCTGGTTCCCCAGGATCTGCTTCAGGATGACACTTGTGCCGAGCAGGTTTTGAACCAGGAGCCGGTTTCCAACCAGACTACATGGCTCGCATGAGGGTGTTAGTTGTCAACCACGCTGCGCCACTGCGGTACTTTGGCTCCTGGACTTTAAAAGTGGTCCTGAATGAGGTTCGAACCCACGACCTCAGGAGTCCCAGTCAGTCTCCTTATCCTCTGAGCCACATGGACACACAGGAGTACACCATCTGTTTCCTCTTTCACTGTCCTTTGTAGACACTAGACTTTAAAATTCACCTTGTCCCGAATAAGGCTCGAACCCATGACCTCAGGAGTCCCAGTCAGTGTGAGTAGAAGAACAACTGGTTCCATTTAGACGGTGTTGTCCCTTTCGGCAGTATATTCCCAGCAAATTATGGGATCAAGGCCCAGGAATGAACCAGGGGATCCGAGTCGTGCTTGATGTCACGGAGGGACTGAGGGATTGCAGTGTCACCTGTGACAATTTCTTCACCTCTTACGAACTCGGACAGCAGCTGCTGAAAAGGAAGATGACCATGGAGCTCCTACTTGGGCTGTTCCTGCCGAAGGGAAGAGCGGCGATCACATCAAACACAGCTGAGGCCACTGGACGCTCATCCAGTGGAAATATTGGTTATAAGCTGCTCTTATTTGATAATTTAACCTTTATTGTGGTTTTTCATTTGTTTACATTAGACTTTCAGCTCAACATGTTGAACAGATTTTCACTAAAATCTGAAGTGAAACTTCTGAACAGGTCCAAGGACAGACGGAAAGTTCTGGACTTCATTTGCATAATATACAGAAAGAACAGTTCTGAATGTTTACCTCTACATCTGACCAGCTGAGACACATCCTCCTCCTCCTCCTCCTCCTCCTCCTCCTCCTCCTCCTCCTCCTCTTCACACGTCAAGGTGTGTGTGTGTGTGTGTGTGTGTGTGTGTGTGTGTGTGTGTGTGTATTAATTGCAGCAGCTCTGTTTGGTCCACGTCTGCAGGTTGTTCGTTAATTGGTGCTGGAGGCTCCGCTCGTTAGCTCGACTCTCATCTGCCTCCAAAACAGCCTCACACCAATTATACTGCTCGATCGCCCATCCTCTCTCTCTCTCTGTTCATGTGTCTCTCTCTGTCTGTCTACCATATGTTATCATTATTATTATTATTATTATTATTAATTTAAATCTGCCCGTCATTCTGACCCTGAACGGCTCAGTGCTGAAATAAAAGGTCCGTTTGTGTCTTTACTCTAATTATTCTCATTTAGTTTTACAGAAATGCTAAAAAAAAGTTTAAATCAACAACCAAACTTTTTATATTTAACCCTCAAGAATAAAATAAGCTGTATATTTTTGCATTAACATCCTGTATTTGATCACTGACTTTGACACAGACAGTCTAAAACTTTTAAAAACTCTGTAAAAACTTACTTAAGTCAGTTTGATCGGACTGTTTCTGACACACTGATATAAAAACATGTCCTCTTCACTGACTTCCAAACATCTCCTCCTCTCTCTCTCTGTTGATTGAAATCTCAACAACCAATTACAGCTCCCCCCGTCCGTTGCCGTCGTCGTTGTTGTTGTTTGTCAGACGGCTGCTGTGCTCTTGAATGCACCACAACACCCACAAAGAAAGTCTATTTACAACCAGAGCGCTGTTGTTTAGCAATAAGAGACCAGCATGGATCCTCAGATGTCCCACTTAGCTTCAGCAAAAACAACAACTCGGGGACCTGAGAGCCAATCAAACGGCAGCGTTTTATGTGATGTATAAAATTAAGTAATGGTCACAGTTTTCATTTTGTGTAGGTGAATTTTTACAACTCGCCGCCAGTCAAAACCTCCTTTTCTTGGTCCATTACATCCCTCAAGTTAAATAACTATAACTTCATTTATTTATTTTACTCCTTATTTAGTCCTCTAACGTTTCCAATCAGGTTATCAGAGTTTAGAAATTTTTGTTGGATTTTATTTTGTATTTCTTTTAGGCAGATTATTATTATTATTATTATTTATTTATTTATTTATTTATTTATTTATTTATTTATTTATTATTATTATTATTATTATTATTATTATTATTATTATTATTTATTTTTATTTATTTATTATTATTATTATTATTATTGTTATTTATTTTTATTTATTTATTTATTTATTGTTATTATTATTATTATTATTATTTATTTTTATTTATTTATTTTTGATGTTCAGTTTTAGTTAACCTTTCTTAGTTTTATTTTTTTGTTGGATTTTATTTTGTATCTCTTTTAGGCAGATTATCATTATTATTATTATTATTATTATTTATTTATTTATTTTTTGATGTTCAGTTTTAGTTTAGCTTTTATTAGTTTTCGTTTTTTGTTGCACTGGAACCCCCCCACCCCAAAGGAGAAAAAAAAAGTTCAACATAAAACAAAATGATACGATACTTCTAAAGGATGTGACATGATACGAGGATACACTGCTTTTTTGATAAGAATAAGAACTTTAATGAACTTTACTGAATATTTATATAAATTGGCCCTCACAGATCTTGACTATGCAGATGACAAGTCTGCTCTCCGACAACGTGGAACAAGAACTACTGTACAGGGTAGAGCTAGAGTGCGCCAAGTTTGGTCATCACCTACAACGTTCCACCAGAACATCAACCTCTGACTACAGCAGGGGGCGCTGTGCTGAAAGCAGTCGAGGACTCCAAATACCTGGGCTCACGGGTCAACTCAACTGAACAAGATCTAGAAGTGAGGAAGGCACTTGCATGGAGAGCCCTGAACGGCATGACCAGGGTATGGAACTCCAACCTCCCCCGCCAAATCAAACTCAGCTTCTTCTATGCGACAGTAGAGTCCGTTCTCCTCTATGGCAGTAGATGCTGGACCCTGAAACCAACCCTGGAGAAATCTCTAGATGGTGCTACACCAGGATGTACATGTGACCAGCAGAACACTGTACAGGGAATACCAAGGGTGAGCGAGAAGATCACTGTAAGGAGAAGGAGACGAGCAGGACACTGTCAAAGACATCGGGAACTGTGGGAACCAACACATGGTCATCGGTCAAGAGGACGTCCTACACTAACATACGTGGACATACTCAAGAAGGACGCAGGAGCTCAGAGGACCAACGAACTGGAGAGATGTAGGAGAATCAGGACGACTGGAAGTGACGATGGAAGGCTCGTCTGAGGACGACCTAGAGATGTGTAGGCCTTAGGACCTTCTCCTCCCTAACATGGACTCATTTCAGATCATAGATCCAGTGAAAGACGATCGTAGAGGATCCTCCATCTTTGGACTGGCTGCTGTTCGTCTACCTCTGTCCCTCCTCCTCATTCATTCATTCATTCATTCATTCATTGCTTCCCCCTCATGTTTTCATTTGAGACCTCTCTGTTTGGTAAAAAGGCGTCCTCTCTCTCTCTCTCTCTCTCTCTCTCTCTCTCTCTCTCTCGCTCTTATTATCGTGCTGGTTGAGAGAGCGTGTGGGCACATTACAGCCTTTCAATGAAACCCTGCTCTCAATAGGAAGGTACAGCTGCGACACTGTGTGTGTGTGTGTGTGTGTGTTATTGAGTGTTTGCACGTGTCTTTCTGTGTGTGTGTGTGTGTGTGTGTGTGTGTGTGTGTGTGTGTGTGTGTGTGTGTGTGTTGAGGCCCATTAGTGAACACTTGATTGGCAGACTCAAGGACAGTGTGTGCTGCAGCTCGGCTTCATTAGCACAGGTGTTGGAGTGTGAGTCTGTGTGTGTTTGTGAGTCTGTAGCAGAAGTCTTTCATTAAACACTCAGGAGCATGTTGAAGTGGCAGCGCCCCCTAGAGGCAGCAGGAAACACGAGTCTGGAGCTACAACACGCTACAGCAGGTCCGTTTGACAAGAAACACTTCTGTTACAGACACTTGTCTTACTTTGTTAAAGCGGTTTACCTGTCCAGCAGAAAGGTTACAGGGTCACCAAGATCCCCAAGCGTCCCCCATCGTTTATGTTGACCCGGCTTTTTAGCTCTTGTCCGGTCTACCTCCGTTTTAAGCGCCCGTTATTCCTCCAGAGTCTCCGGTATTTACTTTGTTTTCTTGCTTGTGTCGGCAGTCGTGGCCAAAGGAGGATTCAGACAATTTTCCGAACTTTCTGGTTGGTTTCTACTGTCCGATATTGTAGCACGCTAACTTTGTTTGGGCTCCTGAACGACACGGGGGAGCAGCGTTTTCTTGTTGACTGTTTTCTTGTTGACCGGTTTGGTGTTGACTGTTTTCTTGCTGACTGTTATCTTGTTGACTGTTTACTTGTTGACTGTTTATGGTTGACTGTTTTCTTGTTGACTGTTTTGGTGTTGACTGTTTATGGTTGACTGTTTACTAGTTGACTGTTTTCTTGTTGACTGTTTTTGCTGACTGTTTTCTTGTTGACTGATTATGGTTGACTGTTTACTTGTTGACTGTTTTCTTGTTGACTGATTATGGTTGACTGTTTTCTTGTTGACTGTTTACTTGTTGACTGATTATGGTTGACTGTTTTCTTGTTGACTGTTTTCTTGTTGACTGTTTTTGCTGACTGTTTTCTTGTTGACTGATTATGGTTGACTGTTTTCTTGCTGACTGTTTTCTTGTTGACTGTTTATGGTTGACTGTTTTCTTGCTGACTGTTTTCTTGTTGACTCTTTTGGTGTTGGCTGTTTATGGTTGACTGTTTTCTTGTTGACTGTTTACTTGTTGACTGATTATGGTTGACTGTTTTCTTGTTGACTGTTTACTTGTTGACTGATTATGGTTGACTGTTTTCTTGTTGACTGTTTTTGCTGACTGTTTTCTTGTTGACTGTTTTGGTTTTGACTGTTTACTTGTTGACTGTTTTCTTGTTGACTCTTTTGGTGTTGGCTGTTTATGGTTGACTGTTTTCTTGTTGACTGTTTACTTGTTGACTGATTATGGTTGACTGTTTTCTTGTTGACTGTTTTCTTGTTGACTGTTTTTGCTGACTGTTTTCTTGTTGACTGTTTTCTTGTTGACTCTTTTGGTGTTGGCTGTTTATGGTTGACTGTTTTCTTGTTGACTGTTTTCTTGTTGACTGTTTTTGCTGACTGTTTTCTTGTTGACTGTTTTCTTGTTGACTGTTTTCTTGCTGACTGTTTTCTTGCTGGCTGTTTTCTTGTTGACTGTTTATGTTTGAGTGTTTTCTTGCTTGTGTCGGCAGTCGTGGCCAAAGGAGGATTCAGACAATTTTCCGAACTTTCTGGTTGGTTTCTACTGTCCGATATTGTAGCACGCTAACTTTGTTTGGGCTCCTGAACGACACGGGGGAGCAGCGTCTGCCTCACAACCAATCAGGTCAGAGGAGGTGGAGAACGGACTTTTGAATATTGACTTATATTAAAAGATTTTTTGTTTATACACTGCAAATAAAGATGCTTCTTTAACGGATTACTGCCGACCCCACCTTTTTAAGTAAGTTAGATACCCTAACTCCTAATGGGCGAATGATTTGGTGGGTTGTTAGCCTTAGCGGTACTAGCACAGCGTCTACGAGGTCATGCTAGTTTCCAGTTTTGAAAATCTAGGACTTCAAAAGCAAGTGGCTGATTCAGTCGGGTGTTAGCTTTTCCAAACTCGCTTTAGATGCCGATGTTATGGTTTAACTTTACATGATAATCTCACGTGTTGATGTCCAGCCAAGCTAGCAGCCAATCAACAGCACTGTGAGCATACTGACTATTCAGATCATACGTCAACATCGCCACCATATCGATAGTATGTAGAATGATGTCATACGGTCCGGTTGGTTGCTAGCCTTGAAAACCAAAGACCGGTTTGGTTGATAACTGGATCAGTTTGTGGTTTTGTTGGAGATTTAGACTTCCTGGACTTTTCGGTGGCCTTTATCTTTGACCTTTTCCCCGCGGCGTCCTTAAACAGGTTGTGTTTGGTCGCGGTAACGTCGTGTCCGACACGAAAACCCGAACCGTGTTCCTAAAACCGCGTTTAGCCGGAGAGACTCTGAAGTTCGAAGGAGAGAAAACAAAAGAGGAATTGAAAAGTGTTTGCAGACTCGTTTCATGGAGCGTGTACACACACTGACTCACTGTTTTTGTTTTCTGTTTTGTGTGTGTGTGTGTGTGTGTGTGTGTGTGTGTGTGTGTGTGTGTGTGTGTGTGTGTGTGTGTGTTTGGGGTGTGTGTTTTCAGCTGCCCTGTGTGAGTAGGTGTTCACAGCAGCTCCCGGCGGGCTCCACACATTCAGCTACTGAAGCCTTGTTAGAGCTTATAATGAGCCATAAAAGTGCTCAGCTGTATCCAACATGCATCACCTGTCTGCACACGAACACACACACACACACACACACACACACACACACACACACACACTCCCGCAGGAACAAATAAAGCCATATTGTCCCCAGTCTGATTGCTGTGATAATTAATGTAGCATACGACCAGAAAAACACACTGAGGCCAATTAGAGAGAGAGAGAGAGAGAGAGAGAGAGAGAGAGAGAGAGAGAGAGAGAGAGAGAGAGAGAGAGAGAGAGAGAGAGAGAGAGAAACTTGGAGGTAGATTACAATCAGACAAATCTCTGTTTTGGTTTCTAAAACCGACGATGAAAATGTTTGAACTGTCGCACATTTAAAGTTCATAATATCTTCAACCGTCACTTCAAATATGAACGATTTCACTTTCTCTCCATCGTGAAGAAGGAAAAACTGATAAATAAGAACGAGGGAGAGTCATGGAGGTCCAGAGAACTCGTTCCTGTCCGGTGTACTCACACTTACCCGAGATTTCCACTGCATCCTGAATGGCTCTGATGTGGAACAGCTGTAATTTTTGCCGATATCAAGTTGTCTCTCTAAAGACAGACACATAGACATATAAGCAGTAGATTGTGTCCTTCCAGAGGAGGAAATCTACTTCTAGACTTCTAGAATCAGCATCTCCTCATCCATGGTGTCATCGGGGTGAAATGACGTCTAAAAACCTTTCACTTGTTCGTCTCGTCTCTTTCACTTTGTGTCTGTGCCCGACTTCCTTTCCAGCACGGGTTAATCTGTGCTGAATTTATCCGCCATGCTCCGGCGTCCAGAAAAAATAGAACTCTTGTGATCAGCTGAGGAGTCCGGCGATCTGCAGAGGAACGGAAAGAAGTCGGTGTAAATTGACACGTTAACTTGAATGGTTACGATCAGCTACGATCGGAGGATACGACCTTTTAGGAGACGATCAGGATGAAGGTGGAGATTTGGGGGTTAGACAACCTATCTCACCTCTACCTTCAGGCTGAGTTCATGTTTTGATCAGGCTGATTGACTCCAGCTCTTTTGCGTCCGGTCTCTCCCATCATTAATCATTAAAGCGAAACGATCGTCTCAGAGCTGTTTTCACGAGAGTTTGTCTACAAGAAAGTTCTTGAAATCCTCCTGGAGTGAAGACAATGGAACCTGGAAGGTGTTTTTGAAAACTCTTTAAAACTCTTATTAACCAAATGTAAGTCCTTCTCCACCAAAAGTACCAGGAACTTTTAGCTCCAGGAACATTGAAATAAACGGCCCGTTGTCTCAGTTTCCACCACGGTCTGATGGTGAGTTCATGAAGTCACTTGTAGATCGTTCTATCGTCCTATGGCGCCTCTTCGTTTTCTACACCTCTCTGTTTGAAGATCGTGTTTGTGTGTAAATGAAGCGCCCGTCGATAATGTCCTGAAAACTGTTCAACATCCCCAGGTATGAAAAAGAGTCATAACTGAAGTTTGAACAAAGAGTTACCTGTTTTAAGTTCCTGGACCTGCAGAGGGTACTGTCTCCTGGGGTAGGGACTTTTGAAGGGTAGATCGAGAACCGAATGAAGACTAATGTCACATCCTGTTATTTTATGCTCAGGTTAAACGTCTTTTCTAGTTTTTGTAAAAAGTATCTGTTTTTAAACTGTTTTTTAGAGAATAGAGTCTGTTTTGGTGTCATGTGTCTGCGTCATTTCACAATAATCATTAACAGTCAGAGAAACAGGCGGGAACGAGGTCTGTGTGTTTTTCACACTCGGTGGGTTTTGTTGAGGCTTCAGGAGTGACGTCCAGGCGTAATTAAAAGCAGCAGAGCCGCTTTCACCTCACAGCCTGGAAACATGTGGCAACTTGTTAATTTACCTCCTCCCAGAGTCTCCCAGAGGAGAGGAGAGGAGGAGGCAGATGGGATGGAGTCACCTGAGGCAGCAGCAGGAGGAGGAGGAGGAGGAGGGGACTCCTATTAAGACCAAGTTTAGCTCCCGTCACAGAGAAAAGGATGTTACTGTATTAAAAACTCTGTAAATGACTTTTTGTGAATGTAGAGTCGAGTGTCTTAAAGATGCTCCGAACCGCTTACTTCTCTAGTTATACCAACTTTAGTAACGACCGCACAGAGCCACGCCCTCAACCAAAAGGCCACTCTATAGCCACAAATAATGCTCAGAACAGCACCTAACTTCATCAACAGGACATATAGGGTCACAGACATAGTACTATATTCAGAGTTGTTCTAACTCCTAAGAAAACAAACTTAAGCGGGGGCGTTTCTCCACCTCTGTAGTCTATAAGCTGGGCCAATAAACTTCTACTGTAGTAAAATGAAAAGGTAAAGGTGTTTTTATTGAGCCGAATTATCAATAAAATCATGATTTTGTTAACAGGTATGGATTTATGTGCTGTTGAGTTAATATATTTGAACAAGAGCACAGTAAAGTTAAATCAGATAATTTTCCAATGAGGTTCTGTTACTGAACGGAACTACACCATGATCTACTGAGGTTAGTACATATAGGGTCACAGCCATAGTACTAGACACCAAACATCTTTTTAACTTTGACTCATTTCTTTAGCAAAGAGACTAAACACAACTCACCTACTCTCTTCCAGCAGACGCTTGTTTGTAGAGAGACCTCAGCCCAGTCCATTACAGACTACAGCGGGGTGCTGCAGCTCAAGGAAGAACATTTATGATCATTTCTTTATCATTTCCTTGAAGTAATAATCACCATATCAATCATTTTACAGACGCGGTAGTTCTTCTGTCTTAGCGTCTCGGTCTGATTGTATTTCCATGAAGAAATGATCATAAATGTTCTTCCTTGAGCTGCGGCACCCCGCTGTAGTCTGTAATGGACTGGCCTGAGGTCTCTCTACAAACAAGCGTCTGCTGGAAGAGAGTAGGTGAGTTTGTGTTTAGTCTCTTTGCTAAAGAAATGAGTATTTAAGTGAGTTTATGAGTTAATGAGTTTATTTATGAGTATAAGTATTTAACCAGTAAATTCTTTAAAACTCCTCCTCTGTAGCTTTTGAGGTGAGGCGCTCTTCATGTGTGTTTCGCTCACGTATATCGCGGCCATATCGCGCGCTGACAGCTTGAAATGAAAAACAGGATTGTAAAAAATTCCTAGCGTCCGTCTCCTGCTGCCACAGCACAGATTTACAGCAGCTGATGTGAATTATTTCATTTCAATGTTAATTATCCTCCTCTTTAAAACGTCACAGCTTCTCTTAATATCCTCCAGAGGTTAACACGCGGGTTAAATACATTTCACTGAGCCTATTATCCAGAACAGCGTTACCCACAATCCACTTCACCTGTTTAACAAGTTTGACCCATTTAAAGTTAAACGTCCTTCATCGTCTCAAACGCATGTTTTGAAATGAAATGCGACCCGAGACGTTTTGGCATCAGAATGATAAATAACGTGACTCAGAGCGCTATAATACGACTATTTCGAGTCTAGTTTCCATGACAACGAGAAGATCTATTTAAATTTTGACATTCATAATATATGACATCTTACTGCACACTTCTTAAATATAGACATCTTCATCCCTGTAATACGTAATCTGAAACAAACTGAACTTTTCGATAAATACGATATTTCACCTCCGAACGTTTGAAAACATGTTTCTCAGTGATCTGAATCAAACTCCTGCTCGGCTTTAAGTGGTAAATATGTGTGATCGACAGTTTATAGACAGTGAAATATACAGTCTGTGTCGACAAACGAGTTCATGTTTGTTGTTGACAAGTGTCAGGAAGAGAGTGAACAGCAGAGCTCTGCGCAGTGAAGAGTGGAGAAGTTGATGGTTCACCTCCACCACCAAACTGACTTCATTCGCTTCAATACAGGATGGAGCCGAGCGCTGTGAGCTGCTGCGATACGATCTTTGTGAATCCCTCAGATCTTCTTCGTGAAAATACGTTTCTGTTTTGTTTTGGTTTTTCCTCCAGACAGCTCCAACCGCAGCCCTGAAACCACTTTTTTCTTATTCTAAAATCATTTAAAGTTTTCGATGTCTGCCAAAGATCCTTCTATTTCTTAACTTGTTCATATGATGAAGAAAACAAGATTATCTGTTGTCTTCTGTGTGTCGGGTTCAAGTTTAAGAATTCAACCATTTTTTAGAAGAGTTCAGGACCCAGAAATGACCCCTGAGGGACGCCACATGGTTCAGGAGGCCATAAAACACTAAGAAGTTCCTCCAAAGCTTCTCAAGTTACTAAGTCTGGTTTAAAAGCAGAAAAAGTCAAAAACGTTTTCTGTGACTTTATCAAACAAAAGGTTGTGTATTGTCTTTGAGGAGTCTTTGATAAGTACTTTTAGAGAAGAGTTCAGGACCCAGAAATGACCCCTGAGGGACGCCACGTGGTTCAGGAGGACTGAAAACACTTAGAAGTTCCTCCAAAGCTTCTCACATTACTAAATCTGATTTAAAAGCGGAAAAAAGTAAAAAATGTTTTCTGTGACTTTATCCACTATCGTATTCGAGGAGTCTTCGATAAGTACTTTTAGAGAAAAGTTCAGGACCCAGTAATGACCCCTGAGGAACACCGTATCTTCAAACTGACTGTTGATATCAGGACAAAACAAACTTTCTTATTGGAGTTAAAATGATTTATAGTTTCTTATTAACTGATCACATTTCAGTCAAAACTTTATTAGATTAATTTTACATTCAGCTGCTCTGTAGATGTTTTATTTTGACGGGGTTTGAGGAAGTTAAAAGCTCCAGTATTGAGTTGTATGTATTCAGTATCTCGACTGTGTGTACTTCCAGCAGCTCTGTGCTGTTTGTTGTCGTCCGTTAGGATGAAGGCGGACATTTTTGTGTTTATTTACATCAACTATATTTCTATTTACACGTCGTGGTTTTCTTTAATTGACAAACACATGAAGCTTTAATGTAAAGACGCGTCTGAATGAGTGTTAGCCAAACTGTCAAAACCCACTCTGATATCCTCTGACCTCCGCGCACGCACACGCACACATGCACTAGCACACGCACACACACACACACACACACACACACACACACACACACACACACACACACACACACACACACACACTCGTCTGTTTACTAGGGGGTGTGCATGCTCTCCACTTGTTTCCGTGACAACAGGGAGAAGATGTTTGAAAATATTGTTTTTTTTAAGTCGGCGTGTTCGCAGCCGTTCAGAGACGGTTTTTAGAAAATGATCTGAGGGGGCGGAGACTTTTAGACAACCTGGGGGCAGGTGGGCCGACCCCGACTCGATGGTGGTTGATGGATTTTTTTAAGGTGGAAAGTTGCAGAATATCTGAGGACATGGATGTATCCTGTCAAGTTCTTCCTCATTTCAGCTACTGTCTCTCTTTTAGGTTACAGGAACACTCCAGAGGCCTCCTCCGCTGTTGCCTTGATACATTTTTGTGTTTCTCTGTCTGAAATGACAAATTTCCGACTGATGCTGCGTCTCTGTGTGAACGTCAGACTTAAGGCCCTAAAACAACGGGGCCGACTCGAAATATTCAGAGGTGAATTTTGACGCGCCTTACTATACTTATCAAGCGCGATGTGTTTTGCGACTTTCCGGGGGGAAAAGACGCATCCCAGGGAAGATTTTCCCGGGGAAAGTCCCGCCTCCTTCGCCTCTGATTGGCTAGAAAAGCTGGAAATGTCACCAAGCCAAACAGTCAGCACTTACAGCCAATCAGAGGCCATAAGATAAGCACATGAAACTCAGGACTTTGGCGTCTTAACTTCATGGATGGTTTCTGGATCAGCGTCCACAGTTTAGGGCTTCTGTGACGCCTCCTCAGAAACCAGGGAGAGACACCGCAGAGACTTTAGTCAAAATGATAATGAACAATCAGAATAACAACCAAAAACTGTGAATTTAAAATCCTTAATTACATAATTTTATTCTTTAAACGAACTTTGGATTTTGACGACAAATGAAGGACGTCCATAAAAGCAGAAATCCATCAACGCATGCTCAACGTTTGAAGCGTTCCTGATTAAACGGCTCCTAAATTTACTCCAGATTAAATTTTAAAGAATCTGCTGAAAGTTTCACCTGCTGATCTGATATTAGGATTAAATAATAGTGTAAAAAAATCCGGATAATTCAGGATAATAAGGTTTCTGCCTGTTTAATTTGGAGCAGCGAGTTTGTCTTACTGACTGATTTGTTTTTACTTCACGTTTTTACAGTGTGTTTTATTCTCAGCTGTTTAATTTACTGTGCTTTTACAGAGAGTGTGTGTGTGTGTGTGTGTGTGTGTGTGTGTGTGTGTGTGTGTGTGTGTGTGTGTGTGTGTGTGTGTCAGTAGTCATTATAAATACACTGACATGTTGGCTGCTTAATTAAGGTGTATAATTCTTGTTGTTCGGTGCCGTCACATAAAGAGAGATGATAATAGTGTGTGTGTGTGTGTGTGTGTGTGTGTGTGTGTGTGTGTGTGTGTGTCTGTGTCTGTGTGTGTAGTAATTGGATGAAGGTTGGTGCTGTGTAATAATTGGACGTCTGAACTACAAACACGGTGACAGCAGCAGCAGCAGCAGCCTGCAGCCTCGTCCTGTTTGTTGTGAATGTAAAGGGAACAAACAGCGGCGGCCATGTTTACACCGACCGACTGTAAACACGCGAAATGACGAAACACGGAGCGAACAAAACAACACGCCGCTGCAGCCCACCGGCAACCAGGTCACACAATAAAACACACATAAAAAAACACACACAGTTCCTACTGTCAACAGAGGAAGTCATCGACACAACAAACTCTATATTCTGACTGTGAATACGCAGCAAAAACACTTTAATATATTTTTAATGTAAACTAAATTACAGAGTTTGCATTTAAACAAAGAGAAGCTGTTGTATTATTCACTATTTAAATATTTTTTTAAATATTATGAAGCTTTTAACAATTAAAGTGCATGACATTTTAATAAAAAATAATATTATTAAATATATTTGTTATTATTTACACTGGAATTCTGCCCCTTTATAAGAGTTTAAATTAGTATTTATTTAGTATTTATTTAGTATTTTTCCTGCAGAGCAAAATCAAACTAAAGAAAAGCTGCACTGTATTTATTATAAAATACAGGACTGCATGTGTGCATATATTTATATAAATGTATATGAATGTAAAAGTCTTTAAAATGATCTTACACTAACAAAGTTTAAAAAAGGTGATAAAAAAAACATGCAACTGTGAAAAATTTTAAATGTTATTTTATTTGCATTTTATTTTCAGTGTGCGTATGACATTAGTTTTATATCTAATATTATGTTTAGGTAAAAATTTCAATAAAATAAAGTTAAAAAAATCACTAGTAATGGTTTAGAGCTGAATAAAAGCTGCACTGATGGATTATAAATAAACTAAAATACTACAAATATATAGATGTGTTGGTTTATGAAGTATAAAACATGTTTTACTATATGTAACAATAAAGAATGAAATAAAAACATGAAACATATATGATAAAATTTATTTAATTTACAGTCTAATCGATGTTTGTAATAAGTTATAAATACTACATCTAAAACCATGAGCCTTATTTTTATTCATGTTTAAAAAATTAGTAAAAAATATTAAAAATTAATGATAAAAAAGGATAATATAAGAATAAAAGATTACATATGCATTTAGGTATATCAGTGAATTTAATATTTTAAAATCACATAAAACCGTATTTATTTTACATCATAATGTTATATTTTTCCACTTTCATCCATTACAGGGTTGGTTTTTATTTTGAAAATTTGTTATAATCAATGAAAACAAAAAGAGAAAAATATTAAAGCTATTTTGGTTTTATAGATTTAAAAGGATCTCTGAAAAAGACACAGATTTATTCAGATTTATCTCTAAATATGTGATTTCATGACAGACAAACAGGAACCGGCTGCAGCTCCATTCACTGTTCTCTGCTGCCATCTACAGGCTGCTGCTGTAACTGCACCCTGACACACACACTCTCACACTCACACACACAAATGTGACACCGTGGTGTCACTGTGGTAAATGTAAACAGAGAGGGAGAAGACAACATGAAGGCAGAAAACAAAAACAGAGATTTTGACGGTGAAACACCTGACAGAACGACTCGGCGTGACGAAGAGCGGATCAAACTTTCTTCTTCTTCTTCCCTCTGACTGATTTATTTTCACTTCATGTTTTTAACACAGACGAGAACGAAAACAAATAAATACACAAAGTGAATCACAGAAATAACAATGAATACTTCAGACTGAGGCAGACGTGGTCTCTGTCTGACTTCAGGGTTCCTGTTTCTGAATTTTCAGATTCAAAACGTTAAAATCATCGAAACTACGAACAAAACAGAGAAGATCAGACCTGATGATGATGATGATGATGATGATGATGATGATGGTTGAGTTTGTTTCTGCAGGTTATTAAAAGATGTTCCGATGTTCAGTTCAGTTTGTTTCGTAGCGACATAAAACGCTATATATGGTTTTGGAAAGTCTAGTGTGAGAGTTTGTCACATTTTCGCTCCTCTATTTTCATGATCTGGTCTAAACAGCCATGCAGGAGCCTCATTGGTCAACACAGCTGTCAATCATCCCACCACAGCCCCACTTTTGAACACTAAAAAACTGACCGGGACTAAACTATTTGGAAAATCGAACACTTTGATGTGAATAAACATGATAAAAACAGACTTTAAACGCAGAGACGGTGTCTGAGGAACATTTAGCGGACTCTGGTTTTGGCGTAAAACTTTGACCCATGTCTCATCTGTTAACATGGAGGAACTGGGTTTATGTGGTGTACTGCAGCCTGTCAGCAGAGGGAGCTCTACATGTTTTGATGTCACCAGACTAAAGTATGAATTGAAGTAAAGTTTCTGTTTCATTTGTAGATGTGGCGTCTTCAGGTTTTCGTCCCCGGTCCTCTGGTTCTGATGGTGTCCCACAGTGACGCGTTGACACCGTGGATCTGATTTCTCTGAGTGTGATTGGACGTCTCTCTGTGGATTTCAATCCTGTCTGGTCTGCAGATTGAATCCTGATTCTTCCTCTTCAGGGAGTTTTCTTCACCGGCCAATCGCGGCGCAGAGATATTAATCCTGTCATCGTCTATATGTCGGCGTCGGGGTGTAACCCCACCGGGGAGATGGTCCGTGTTTGTCCCCCAGCCTGAAGCTCTCGTGTTTTGAGGTTCCTGGTCTTGAGTTTCAGTCGTTGAGGTGTTCAGATCGGTATTTTCCGGCGCTCTTTTCTTCCTCCCTGAAAAGCTTTTGTTGCAGATGTGTGGTTTCCACCTGCCACCGAGTGTGTCATCCATATGATTACGTACCTCATTCTATACCTTCAAAGGTGTCGTGTCAGGTGGGAATTGAACTGGCGGCTGTGGGAGGGGGCGGAGGGCGAGTCTCCCCCTGTCATTTCAGAGAAAAAGGAACTTTGTCTCCGTTTCTCTTACAGCTCTGATTAGAGGCGTCGTCGGCGTGTCATACCTGTGATTATGTGTGCTGTCAGTGCGTGTGACAGGTCAGTGAGTAGCAGAGGGAACCTGTGCCGTAATGTGACTAATATATTGTGCATCACAGTGCAGTGAAGCTTGACAACATTAATAATAGCTTCATCAGCCTGCTGACAAATTACCTGCCTCGGTGTCACGGCCTCCAGAGGCTTTTACGCTGCACGCGGGAACCTTGTATCTCCACCTGAAGCTAATGAGACGGAAACACGTGAAACTTTAAAGATCAGTCTGTTAAAGCAGAAAGAGAGGAGACAAAGACCGACGCGGCAGGATCGGGGTTATTCTGCATCTGGGAACTTTGATCGAGTCTCTCGGGTCATTCTGGGAGAGGATGGAGGACTCTTCGCAGAAACTGTAAAAATCATTCAGTTCATCTTTGTGGATCTAAAGGACAAATTGCAGTTGTTGAAATTCATTGAGTTGATAGATTTTAGTGTTTTGCAGGTTATGGATAAAGCTCCGTTCGGTTATTCCCTTCAATCGAATAAGCGAAAAACAAAAAAACGAGTCAATATTTTGTTTATTTGTTTTTCTATAAAACCAAAAAAAATAAAGGATTAGTTTTTGTTTCTTATTTTCAGTTCAAAACAGAAACTATAATAGAGAAAGAAACAAAAATAAAATAATAAATCTACTTTTCGTTTTCGGGTTATTGATGTCAGTAGTCGCCAACAATGTGGACCAAAAACTCCAGGCCAGAGCAGTAGAGAAAGGCTAACCTGTTGTCATGGAGACGGACGCATCATCCTACATATTATCCAAAGGCTACGTTCAGACTGCAGGTCAATTCTGATTTTTTAATCATCTGTGACTCATATCTGATTTTTTCATCTAAGTGTGAACAGGTCAGTTCTGATTAGTTCTAATCCGACCCAGGCCTCTTTTCTATGTGGATATAGATCGGACATGTGGTCGCGTTCATCAGACCTATACGTCGTCAATATCCGAATTGTGCATCATAACCTTCGGTGTGAACGTAGCCAAAGTCGCCAGGGGGGTCGCGCTGAAAGAGGAAGATCTGACCAACCAGAGCTCTGTTACAATGAAAGATTTTGGCGCTCGAACCGCTCTGTCGCATCTTTCGCCATGGTAACTGTCACTGAGGATCATGGGAAGGCCAATGTAGCCTTCCCAATGTATTGATACATTGAAATCAATAATTGTAAATTAGGGTTATTATTTTGTTTTCATTTCCTTCTCTATTATATTTTCTGTTTTGAGCTGAAAATACGAAAACAAACTATTTTTTACTTTTTGGTTAAACAGAAAAACAAATAAACAAAATATTGACTAATTTTTTTTCCGTTTATTAGGTTGAATGGAATAATTAAATGGACGGATAATACATGGATCGAAAAAGTTACCAGTCAACATCCAGAGACCATTTAAAAAAAAAGAGTCAAAGTCAGTTTGTCGAGTAAATACAGAGAAATATCTTCATCGAAGTCTGTGTTTGTTTGTTTGTTTGTTTTGTGTAAAAACGTGAATCAACAAATTTAGGTTCTTTTCTGTTTGTCTGAAAATAAGAAATAATGAACTGTAACAGCTCTTGTTTATCATTATTATTATGTGTTTAGTTGAATATCTTATGAAAGAATATAAGAGTTTTCTTCTTTCTGCTCCTTTTCATTCACATGTTTGAGATTTTTCCTTGTTTGTATTAAATGTTTTAAATATGAAATGAATGAAAGAAAGTTTGAGAATGAAAGTTCAGACTTGCTCCAGTAGAGAGAGTACTGGGTCTGTTTGAACCAGGATCAGGGGTCAACAGGGACGGTAACAGAAGGGGCTCCAGAACCGAACCCTGGGGAACACCATCAGTCACAGGTCACAGAGTCAAGCCCCGCCCATATCAGCTGACAGCTCAGTCCACTGCCTTCACACGTTAGCGACTGTGAAACTGCTTCATCGGTACCTCTCGGTTCCTGCCTAAAGAAACCCTTTTTTGGAGTTGTCTTCAGTCTGTTTCGAGGAACCTTTTCACGTCAGTTTAAAAGAACTTTTGGTGAATTTTTTTGTACGTTTCAGGGTTTATTTTAGCACCTGTTTGAGTAGAATTTAAGTATCTTTTTAAAAGTCTATTTTAAGTAACCTTAAACGATACAGGACTGTTTTGGTCACTGGTGTAAAGGAACCTTTTGGTGTCTGCTCCGAGAGAGTCTTCAGCACTGTCTTAAGGTACCCTATAGTTCCTGATTTTCCAGCACCATTTCAAGGTACCTGTTGTATCTGTTTCAGGAACCATTGTCTCATTTATAGGAACCTTTCAGCATTAGTTCCAGCTGAGTTGTTTCGAGGAACCTTTCTCATTGTTTCACGGTCGATTTCCTCGCTCTGATTCTGATATTTTCAGGAGTGTTTCTGATCTGAACGGCGCTCAGAGGGTTTTTTCACGTCTGTAAAGAGCTGCAGAGGCTTTTGAGGCCGATCTGTGATATTGGTTTTGGATAAATAAGATTGACTTGACTTGACTTCATGTGCAACATTTCTAATTCTGGATATAAAAGTTTGTTCCGGCTTTTAAATCTGCAGGCTTTTGAGAAACGCGTGGACAATGGCGCTTTCTGAAAACCTTTTTCTTGGTCTTTTTAACCAGGAATAATACAGCCGGGATATTTTAACCATGAAAAGCTCCTGCCGTCTGTTTGACAGGCAAAGATTGGAGTTTGTAACAGAAGATTAAAATGTCTCAGTAACAGTGAGACGGCACAAAGGAAAAGCTGCACTAATAAAACCCATGGATGGATGGATGGATGGAGGGATGAATAGATGGAGGGATGGATGGATGGATGCAGCTTGACTTGCCACTGCGCCCTGCTCTGAACCCTCTTTGTACTAAATTAGGGAGAGCGTGAAAAGACAGAAAGAGAGAAAGTGGCTGCTCTCTCCTTCTGCTTCTTGTTGTGCGGTTTAATTTCCCCCAGCGCCGGTGCTTCAGCCGAAATCTAATTTGAGTGAAAAATGGCAATCCAGCTGTTCGGTTGACAGAGCCCAACCAAAACATGGTTTTCTTTCAGCGCAAAAACATGCGGCGGCCATCTTCATCTGCACATCAATGGCTGCTGAGCGGAGGCTGAGCGCCGCCCGATCAGGGTAGTAATTACAACGTTTGTGCATGTGTGCACGTGCATTTATGTGTGTGTGTGTTTTGCGCGATCAGTGTGTGTTGCAGGCGGGTAATTTGCATCCCTCCTCCTCCTCCTCCTCCTCCTCCTCTCTGTGACGAAGGAACGAATACACAGAAAGAATGAAGGTATTGAGGCTGCAATGATTGCCATGAGAGGTTTCTCTCTCTCTCTCCTTCTCTCTCTCCTTACCTCACTCACTCTCTCGCCCCCAGTTTGCTTTGTGTCGTCAGGCAGGATGAGATGAACTACGAGTTAAATACCCCCTCTCTCTCTCTCTCCCTCCCTCCCTCCCCCTTTCCAAATCTATTATGCAAACAGAAGTGGTTAATTGTCCACATATTTGCATGCAGCGGGTAAATGAATTATACAAGGACTCTGTCGCCTAGCAACTGTCCGGGGTGAGAGAGAAGGGGGAGAGGGGAGAGGTGAGGAGGGTCGTGATTGGAGGGTGGGGATGACATCAAGGTGTCACGGAGCGCGCTCAGAAGACAAAAGGTGTGATCTCTTTCACAGAGTAGAAGAAGAAGAAGAAGGAGCAGAGGGAGATCTACCGTTCCCTCAAACCTCGAGTCTGAAACTAAAGAGATGAGGAACCATCTCCAGGTGTGTGTCGAGATGAGGCCCCATTTCAAAGGTCCCTGTCTGAAGGGACCCTTTAAGGTTAAAGGGGACCCTCGAGGGCCAGTTTTCAGCTTTCGTTAAACCGTTGGATCAGGGTCCTTTAAGGGTTTTATGTCAAAGGTCAGAGTGTCCGTGATCATCAGTGTTCAGGTCCTTTGAGCGGGTTTATGGGGGACCACTTAGCAACCGTCTTTAAGTACCTTTGAGTTTCTTGGTACCCTTCAGCAGTTATCTCACTAGCAATCTCCACCTTCCTCCTGATCGTCTCCTAAAAGGTCGTATCCTCCGATCGTAGCTGATCGTAACCATTCAAGTTAACGTGTCAATTTACACCGACTTCTTTCCGTTCCTCTGCGGATCGCCGGACTCCTCAGCTGATCACAAGAGTTCTATTTTTTCTGGACGCCGGAGCATGGCGGATAAATTCAGCACAGATTAACCCGTGCTGGAAAGGAAGTCGGGCACAGACACAAAGTGAAAAAGACGAGACGAACAAGTGAAAGGTTTTTAGACGTCATTTCACCCCGATGACACCATGGATGAGGAGATGCTGATTCTAGAAGTCTAGAAGTAGATTTCCTCCTCTGGAAGGACACAATCTACTGCTTATATGTCTATGTGTCTGTCTTTAGAGAGACAACTAGTTATGGTGCAATTGAACCACAGGTTCTTGTGAGTTCTCCTGATTCCTGATGTCAGTAACCCGCCACAAAATTCGCCTCAACAACGGGTCTGGTAGGAATTGGCAGACGGCAAAAATCGTGGCCGTTCCGGATGCGGTGAAAATTAGGGGTTTGGTCGCCTTCACACCAGCCTTGTTTAGTCCACTTGAACTGAACCCTGGAGCGTTCACCTCCTTGGTGCGGTTCGTTTTGGCCTCGAACTCTGGTGCAGACCAGTCATCTGCTCTCAGGTCCGCCTGGTACAGGTGATCTCAGACCGCTATCAAGTGAACTCTAGAGCAGTTTACTTCTGGTTTGAGCCCCATCCGCACCAATCACAGGAAACGCCCTTTGAAAAAACATGGGGGTAGGCTCTCGTTGTCTTCTGTGA